TGCAGTGTGTGTTGCATAATCTGCTTTTTTTTGCTCCTTTGTCATTTTCCAGCAACTTACAGCAGTAAAGGAGAAAGGAAGTGCACTCCATTACGACTTATAGATACAAGCTGCAGTTAAACAAACAAAACAAAAAAAAACCATACTCCCTGTTTGAATTGTCCAGCTTTTGCAGATAATCTTGAAAGAGATAGAAACAGGACTGTATTGTATATTAAACTGCACCTCCTGCACAATCTGGCTCTTATCAGGACAGATGCATTTATCTGTCCCAAATAAAGGATAAAATATGAGACTTTATATTAGAGCAGGCTTTAGATTGAACCAAAACAATAGGAAAATCCTTAAAAAAAAAAAAAAGTGACATCAGGATGAAGCCCCTCCTCATAAAACTCCCATCAATAAAGGTCAAACCCGTGGGGAGGGTTAGGAGGATTAACAGGATGACATGATGGATGGAAAACGTGTTTAGATTTGAGATATAGATAAAAAATGAATTATAATAAAGCGGAAAAAAGTCAAGGGCACAAACAACAATCACATGTCCTGTATTTGACTTTTATGTTTTGGGTCATAAAGGGAGGAAGCCCTACAAATTACCTGCACCAACCCCCCACTGACCCCATTGCACCTCCTCCCATGACCAGACTGTCTGATTCACATAAACAACAAATAAAAAAAAAAATAAAAAGTACACATTTTGCAAGGGCTTACAAAACGACCATTCACAGCATTTTAGTAAAGCACTATCACAGTCAGTGAAATGTGGGTGAGATTGTGTGATGGTCTGGGGGAGTTCTTCATCTTCAGGCTGCAGCCTAACACTAAAATGAACAGTTAGACTCAAAAATCCTCCACTGTGGTCAAAATAAAATGATTCAGCAGAGGAGAGACTAACTTCTGTAAAAGCCTAACTTCCAGTTAGGTGGCAGCTCATGGTTAGAATTTAGTCCACCTTTGTTCATATAGCTTTTGAGCTTAGAGAACATATTATTATTGCAAAACTGTTCTTTGTATCAATCTAGAATTACAGACTGATACTGAAATATATCTGGTGATCTCAAACATTAAGTAGTAACAAAAGCAAAACAACAGATGTTAACAGATATATCCATCTATGCAATGCATAAGTAGGTCTTGGATTGTAAACACATAAAAGTGCAGAAACTTTAAAAGGTACAGTGGAGGATTTTCACGAATTTTTCACGAAAAGACCCGCTCGCTCCACCTTAACAAAAGAAAAAGCACATGCACAACCCTGTACCTGCTCCCAAGAGAGAACGCCTATTAAATGTATGCGAGAGCGTGCACGAGCCCATTTCTCCTCGTGCACGCTCTGTTTAAAAGTTGCTGTTTGCATCGATTTGCAATTTGTTCACTATGTCAGACTCACCACTGGTAAGTGAAAATGGGGACGAGTACGTAGGACACCCTTACATAAACAGCTCACCAGAATGATTGAAACTTAGGAGGACCATTTATTTAGATGATCCACCCGGAGAAAGAACATCCTCCAGTATACCTCTAAGTCAGAAGAAACAGGGCATCCAAAACCCCACTGAATTTTGAAAATGTTCAGCGTGGAAAGTATAAAGCCTGCAATTTTCTGACTTTGTTAGTTCAGCAAAGGGCAGTGATATACTCCACACTTCATAAAGTATTCATGTTCTTGCATGACTTGATGTACAGATCTACTTTTATGTTTTCTAGAAGCTGCAGTGTTTTAAAGTGGGTCTGTATTTGAAGCTCCACCAGTAATTGGGGGGGGGGGGCCCCATCTGCCCACCCATCATAAAACTTTCTAGAGGTCGGCCCTGCACTGAAAAAAAAAAATCAAAATCTAGATAGATATTTTTTTCTTAAAATAGGTGTGTTTGTTCTTGGATTGAGGAGGTAAAAGACAAATTTTGCCCATGGAACAAGACAATTTACATTTAAAGTAAGAAAACACTATCGCATTGTCTTATTTCAAGTGCATATTATCTAATTATCTTACTTTAGGAGTAAAAATACTCATTACATAGGCAAACTATCTAATTTACCAACTCAAATTAATGATAAATACGCTTAATTTTGAGACATTTATACTTATTTTCTGTAGATGTTTTTTTTCCAGTGTGGCTGCCAGAATTATACATTTCTATGAAACACCGATCAGTACCTTGAGGTAGTCGTTTTCAGATCTCAGTTCATCTATCTCCCGCAGCAGGTCATCCTCTGCTGCAGCCTTGCTTCCTGCGCTGCTGGAGGCTTTCTGCGCTTTCTGGGGCCCCTGAGAGGACAGAGCCCCCATCGGCTGATCCCGGTCACTAGAACCGGTACCGGACTCTGCGTCGCTGGCAGGTACCGGCTTGTGTTCGTCAGACAGCGGCTCGGACTCCGACAGGTCGGAGCTGCTGTCCGTCTGGGTGACCCGGCCGAGGGTGGCCCCGGTGGGTACCCTGATCGGGGATCCATGGCTGAGAGGCCCCGCGGTGGGTTTGCCCTTCTTGCCTTTGCTGAGGACCGGGCTGCTGGTGCTGGCGGGTTTGGGCTCCGCGGCTGCCGCAGGCTGCAGCACCTTGCTGGGCTTTTTCGCTGCGGGGGACCTGGTGCTACTTTTCGGCGCGGCTGGTTTCTCTTTGGCCCCTGTTATGTTGCGCCTGGAGCTGCGGTTCGGATGCGCTGTGGACACCGCGGCGGACTGATGCTGCTTGCTGAGTTTCGGGGATTTGGGGACGATGGCAGGTGGTTTGTTGGAGCGGGGGTGCACATCCTTCAGGAAAGGTCTGGCAGGGGAAGGCGCTCGGTTCAGCCTCTTCTTCTCCAACTGTTGGCTCTGCGGCTTGGAGTCAGAGCCATTGGAGCTCTCCATTATACAGGAGGATGATGAAGGAGGCGATCAATCCACGGCACCGGGGGGAGGCTGTGACGCGCGCCTGAAGGGAAACAGCCGGGTTGATGTGCCTTCTTCTCCCTGATCGGGCTAAGGATGCGCATCCTGCGGCGAGCTTCGTTTTTACTCCATCGTTCAGCAGGTTGTCATTGTACTCCCCTCTGCCTGTGGAGCTTTCTGAGGAAACACCGCAATAAAGGAGATGGGATTACCGGCAGGTTGCATCTGCAGCCCGGGCTGCTTCAACTCAACTCTTCAAGCCTCAGAAGTGAGTCGGAGCCGCATCACACCTCCTCCTCCTTCGCAGAAAGGCTCTCCATTCCTGTTTCAAGCGCACCGGTCCCGCCGTGAATAGCACTCCACATATGTAACAAAAAAAATAAATAAATAAATAAATCTGCCACCGCTGCGGTGAGAGGATCGACGCCCGTGGATTCCTGCGGAGCGCATGCGCTGCTGTGCGCTCTGCTGCGCATGTCCTACAGGATGCTGGACACTTTCTCTCACGCTCCAATCCCCACCCTGTTTATGGACATTATAAAGGAAACACCTCTCATAGAGTATTAAAGTGAAAGTTCGTTTTAGGACTTTCTAAACTCTCCAATAAATGGACAGAAAGCTGTGGTTAATTTCAGGAGAGTGAAACCGAAACATTATTTGCTGCATGTCTTTCTACAACCGTAGTACTTCTACAGAAATGTAAAATTGGCCTAATTCCTCTTTCCATAACAACCTAAAGCTCTGTAAAATTAAGTGGAGTTTCTGTTAACAGCTATATGCTCAGTTAGAGCTAGACTTGGGCTTTGACTAGGCCATTTAAACAAATTGGTAATTGAAGGTTGTTTCTTTTAATGTCTGGCTCTGAAAGCAAACCTTCATCCCACAGCGCAAAAATTGAAATCATAGCCAATTTTTTTTTTTTTTTTAAATTGAGCGGGTAGGTGAGACATTTTGCCAATGGAACAAGACCATTTACATTTAAGATAAGAAAAAATGCGATTGCAGGCTCTTATTTCAAGTGCATTATATCTAAAGATCTTATTTTAAGTGTAAAAATACTTAATTCCTGCTCAGTTTAAGGCTAAATACACTTATTTCAAGAAATTTGTATTAAATTTTAGATCGTCTTTGCAATGTAGTCTCCTGTGTTTGTATTCACTTTGACCAGAATCAGAGTCAAGTTCATTGCCATGTTTGCACTCACAAGGAATTTGATTTGGTGTTGAAGATGCAGACAAATAAGCCCTCAGTAGAGGGCAAAGACCTTGTTGATGAGGCTGGTAGTTAATGGGAGGAAACTGTTCTTGTGGCGTGAGGTTTTGGTCTTGATGGACCACAGCCTCCTGCCAGAGGGAAGTGTCTGAAATAGTTTGTGGGTGGGGTGTGAGGGATCAGCCTGCACCTCTGAGGCGTACAGATCCTGGAGAGATGGAAGATTGCAGCCGATCACCTTCTCAGCAGACCGGATGACACACTGTAGTCTGCCCTTGTCCTTCCTTGTTAATGCTTAACTAAAAAGGGCATCATCAGTTCTAGTTTTAATCCATGTTGTCTAGAGCATTTTGTTTTATTACATGTCTTATGCCATTTGATAAAAGCCTCTTTTTTTACATTTGCTGTGTCATTTACAAGACTAAAAACTTCCCTAAACAGGATGTAAAACTATGGTCTTTTCAAGAGATTTTCCCACCTGAGTTGTGGAATTCTGCAGCCTTTCCAGAGCATCTATTGGCCTCTTGGCTCTTTCCATCTTAATCTTCGTTTGTCAGTTTAGCTGGTCACCCATGTTCTGCTATGTTTGCTGTTCCACAGACATTTTAATATTTGATGCTCAAAGCTTTCGTGTGTGCTGTTTTAGTTTTCATGATGCCATTTACTCACCAGCCTTCAGGGTACAGCTGTACCAAAGTGGATGGTTACAAAGTCAAAAAAATGTCTGAATACTATTGCAGAGGGAATTTCTGATTCTTATTTGCCATTTAAGATGTTTTAGTTTTAACTGTGATCCCTTTCCATAGGGGTAACTGACATATCAGATTTAAGACTTTTCATTGACCCACCTCCCTTTATAATTGTCTCAACATGTGCTGTTTTTCTTTCAGAGATAGAAAAAGTACATTCACGCTTTAGTAATAAATATAGACATCTTTAATAGCATTTCATTAGTTCAAGAATGCCACAAGTTATAAATACAGCCAATCCCCTTTAGTCCACTCAGAGACTGGTTTGACACAATATAACAGACATTCATCATAAAGGATACTCATTGCAGATACGATGCAATTCTTTAAATGTATAGTTAAAAACAACAAAGTAGTAAAAGGGTTAGTGCCAAAACATCTAGAGGAAGGTTCATTCCCAAACAAACAGCACAATCTGAAGAAATGCTCACACTTCCAAACATGTGATGACAATCCAAATGTTCTCAGATAATCCCTGCACAAAGGGTCTCCTGCTGGATGATAATCTCATTGCTTAAATGTGCATAGGCGATACTATCAACACGTTTCTGAACATTTAGTATTTGTCCAAAGAACCAATGCTTGTTGATTCTGAAAAAAACAGAAAACTTCAGTTGAACATGTCAACTAATGTTAGATCCAATTCTTTTTAGTGTCTTAAATGAAAACTGAAGATATTGCGAAAATTTCTCAAATAAAAACAAACATTTGAACAAGCCCTTAATTTTACACTTTGAAGAAATGCAAGATAACTAAAGGTCTAAATGTGTTCTGTTATACAAACACTTCTCTGTGTAAAAGGTGAGGCTTAAACCGGGGTGCGGGTTGAGTTAGATGCAGTATACAACTTCAACACTAGATGTCACAACATCCAACGTGATGCAACTTTAATTCATTACGGTTCAAAATCAATTCCAGACTGTGCAGCTCTGAGCCAATCCAAGTTTCCTGAGTTATACAAACAATAACCATGTCACCTTTGACCTTTCTCCTCCCCTTTTCCCTCTGCTGTTGCTGAATTCAGAAAATAACATAAAACAAAGAAGTATTAGTAACAAGAAAATGTAAAACCAGCTGGCGTTGTTATTGTCATTTCCCTCAGGTTAGCCAGCATCACAAAAAAAAAAAAAAAAAAGAGTTCCCCTGGTTTGCACAAAGATGCCCAAGACTACACTACCCATAATCCCCTTGCATCTACATCCCACACAGAGCGTAGCCACTGCTGAGACAGCTTCATTTTCATTAGTGCCAAAGTACAACGCCTGTCTTCTGTTTTCCTGCACACAAGTTTAAACTTTGAAAAGTGCAAAACATTACAATTGATATCAAATTAATTTCCACATTACAGCCATTTTAATACTTTAAGGTAATGTAACATAAATTGATGACTCGTATAACCTTCCTCTGTCCAAATAGCCGCTAAACCTCATCCAGTCACTACAGCTACAACTACAGCTACTATATTTATTTCCTATTGTGCTTTTTTTCAACTTTAAGTCATTCTGTCAGTAGGTAAAACAACAAAAGTCCAAGAAAAATACAAACCTGTCTACTGTACCTGGAGACATGGAGTTTGAAATGAACTCAGGAAATGTGAGAAATCATCCCTTTTGTCAGCAAGTCTTAAAACTAAAAGATAACCTCAACTCAAAGGATTTTAAACTTAGTGAGAGGGACGATAAAAAGGAAAACGGGAGAAAAGCTGTGAGGCATCCAGTGATTCCCTCTGTTAGGAAGGATCTCCATCTGGAAGACATACCTAGGTTAACCATCCAAACAATGAGGTAGTCTGGGTCATGTGTAGACAGAAGGGTGGTAGGAAGAAGATTCTCCAGGCTCAAGTGTTAGTGTGCTGCAGCTTATAGTGTTCAGTAACGCAGGAGAGAAAGCAACAGAGAAAGAGTAATACTGCTTATTTCATGCATCATCACAGCAGCAGGTGACAATTGTAAAGTGCTGCTGTGTGCTGCCACCATGTGGTCATGATGGTGCGCTGCATGTTTCAGAGAGTGTCTGCTTGAGATGGGGGGGGTTCAGCAACAGCGCATCCGGGGAGGGGGCAACTCCGGTGGCACTTCAGGTTCAGGCTGCAGAGACAGAACGCTGTTGGAGAGCTCCTTGTTAGGAACTTCAAGAGGCATCTGAAGAATCGGGGGACAAGGTCACAGAAAGGAGAATTAGTGAGACTAAACTAGCATCAAATAATGGCTTCTTAACAGGTTTTCTGTGACTTTAATATCTAAAAGTACAATTCCTAAAAAAAAATAAAATAAAATAAAGGAGTGAGTACCTTTTTAGGATTCTTTTATTGACCCTAGTTTAAAGGAGGTTCTCAGAGGATTTAGCTTCAATAAAATGTGTGTTGTTTTTTTTTTAACAAATCTTTAACTTAAAAGATAAAGGGACGTTTAGGTATAATAAACAAATTCATGTAATAATCAACAAATTCATAATAATCATGTATAATTTCAACAGAAAATGTCTTTTAAAAACCCCAAAAACACTAAAATTAATGGAAAAAAAATAAGTGTCCCGTTTCACATAACCAATTAAACATAAGGCATCTCAGGCTTATAATTAGCTTTAATTTAGATATATTACTCTATTTTTTGTCAGGTCACTAAACAGTACTTAGGTGCGCATCAATGCTCTGCTCAGGCCGCTTGCCTAAAAGCTCACCTATGAGTGTTATATCTGAGTGAGTCATGTGACTCCGAGCGACGCTTTACAGCAGTCTGAGCTCCCCTTAAACACGGCCGCTAACTAAGCTAAGTGTTGCCTGGCGACCAAACCTATTCAGACATACTTTCGCTTCTTTAATGTAGGCTTTATTCTAGATAAATGTGGCTTTGCCTTTTCAAATAAAAACAACATCTCAATCTGGTCCAAAGCGGCTTATGAAGACATGGACGAAATTTGGATTTAAGAAGTGGGGGGATGCAAGTATTTTTTTTAAATATAACTAACTTCAGGGTGTTTTACCATCCAATCACAGACCCAATTCAGTGGCGTATCAGATATTTGTAAAGTGAGCTTCTCAGGAGTGACAGGGGTGACAGCCAATCACATACACACAAAAAAAAAAATCAGGAGCTTGTGGGCAGTCCAAATTCAGGGAAGCGGGCTTCAGCTTAAGCTGCGGTTTTCCGGGTCCTAGTCCTCGATGATTGTCTGTGTACTGTAATGTGACATTGTTTTTGGACAGTAAAACGTGCAGGGGACCAAAACAGACGTTTCACAAAAACACAGGGGACAAATGTGTAAAGGCAGGTCTACCTCTACCTCTATCCCTTTCTACTCGTTTTTGTTGAACATAAGAAAAGATGTTCAGTATTCTTAGCTGTAAACTGCATCTCCCTCCCAAAAAAAAACAATAAAAAAAAAAAAAAATCATAAGACACTAACCTTGCTAAGAATGTCATCAACAAGCTTAAGGAAAATCTCATCCACATTAAAATTATCCTTGGCACTGGCTTCACAAAAGCGCATTCCACTTATTCGAGAGGCAAACTGTAAGAGACAGAAAATGACAGAAATCAGGAATTTCCCTCCAGCCTCAAAGAATCTGCTAAAGCTGAGGAAAAGCATTAGCATGACAGACGTATAAAGCAGGTCAAGGGTCAACTCATCAGCCAGTTCAAACGAAAGAAAGATTTTACTCTAGACCAATTGGTATTAGTGGTCTGAATGTGTGACCCACCCTCTCTCCTTGTTGTCTAGAGATGATCCGATCAGTCTCACAGTCCAGCTTGTTCCCCACTAGCAAAAGCTCTGCTTCCTCTGAGGCATACTACCAAGAGCATAGAGGAAAACTTATGTTATTTAAATCAGCTTTTACATATATATAATTTTTTTTTTTTGTCGCTCAGGCAGCTTCAGAAAGTTTCCCCGTTCTTTTCCAAAAGGAGGTATCAGAACACAAACCTGCTCTTGTAAAAAAAGAAAAAAAAAAAGAACAAAAAAAAAAAAAAAGAACACCCATTTGCTTATTAAGAGACTTCTTAGGGCGATAAGTGGTTTTATTTAGAGGTGTTCATTTAAAGGGGAACAAATGCAGTTTTCTAGATATATTGGTAATTTATAAAATATAATCTGTGCAACCCATTTTGTGTTTTTCTTTTTTTGTTCATTACACAGTTATAAGGTGTTAACTAAAATCCACTGAGGTTTGTATGGATAGTCACTGAGGATAGCCACATGTGAAAAAAGAGCTGCTATGGACGAAGGAGCTTAAATATAACCATGAAGTCATCAGCCTGAACAAAACAACAGGGATATGTGATTCAATCAGTCCAGTGATAATTTAGAGAGAGCCTCAGCACACAAAGGGGGAGGGACTTCTAGGGCCGGGCTGCAGTGTCCCTTCATAACGCAAAATGTCCCTAATAATGCGACACAATATTAGTAGGGCAGCAACAAACAATTTATTTACAAATCGATTAATCTGTCAATTATTTATCGATTATTAATTGGACAGCCAAAGATTCCTTTAAGAAGAATTTTTACAAATATGAACCAGGTGAAACTCAAACTTTTCTACTTGTGGAGTTCTGGATAGAAGATATTGACAGACAAAATAGTTTTTTTTAGTTTAGCTTAGTGCAAAATGTTGACATATATTTGAACAATCTTGGCATAATTACTGCTCTACGTAGGTCGCTCTGTCAGCTAAAGGCACGTTTTAGAGTCCCCATAATCCAATTAACGATTGATTACTACACTATTTGACGAATATTTCAATAATCAATTACACCGATTGTTTCAGGCCTAAATATGAGACACACATTTGTTTGTTTTTCAGTTATTTACCTTGTCTATCATTTTCATCCATTTAGGAAGGTCCTCAAAAGTCTCCTGTTTTGTGATATCATAAACCAGCACTATTCCTTTGGCTCCTCTGTAGTAGGCTGATGTGATGCTGTTAAACCTCTCCTGGCCTGCAGTGTCCCTGCAAAGACAAAAATTGAACCCAAATTATCAACTTATCCTCTGAATAGAATTGAAAAAAAAAAAGTATTTGAATCAGAAATAATAAACTTTAAATTTAACAAGATTTTCTGTGTTTTTATTGAAAAAAAAACAATTATGCAAACTTGATCTAAAAGCAAACACAAAAGGTTTCATATCATTGTTAAAATCTTCTCAATGTTCTGTGGTATTTTCTTGCATTAAAAACAGCCATAACATTATGATCCTTCCTTAGAAGGTACATTAACATTTTTTATTTTTTTGAAGAACACCATGTACTCCTTGCCTTCAAATTAAACTTTCAACAGGATGTGTTTGTCTACATCATAAGAGCCTAAAAAACACATTGAGGTTCGTAGTTTTACTGTTAAACTTTGGATTTCAGCAATGCACCGTACAAAGAATTTGGGGTTGCTAGAAGCAACATTCTGCTGAAGGCATGGAATTCTCTATACACAATAAAACCCAAGTAGTAAAATAACAGTAAAGAGTTAAAACTGAGGCTGAGTTTTCAATTTCCACAAGTTTTCACCCACGGTTGTGTGTATAAGCAAAAAAGAAGATCAAATCTTTGCGATCATGATGTTATGGCAGAGATAAGTCAGCTGTTAACAGATTGATCAGAGGAAAAATACAACAACAAAAATCATTAAAACAATATGTGCTTTATTTTATATTTAATGATTTTAATGAGGATCATCTGGGTCTAAATTGGAAACAAGACGAGCAGTATTACTTTACCTTCAGCCAGCTAGTTTCTCCCTTTTCCCCAGTGAGTCACAGTCAGGCTTATGAGCAGGAGAGTGGACAGAGACAGCAGCAAATGGAAGGGTTAGGTGAGACAGGACACAGCTGAGGTGGAGCCTGATGAGAGCTTTTGAACACCAGAAAATACACAACCACACACACCTGCTAGGTGACAGCCTTCCAGATCAGAAAGAGGACCAGGAGGAGTGAGGAAAAGCATGATGGTGATGGAGGGCGGGTGTTAGTAAGAAGGACAAATCTGCCAGTCACACAAGCAGTGAAGTTCCCACAAGCTAAGCACATTTACACAACAAAGACATCCTAAAAAATTGATTTTGTTCAGCTGCAATTTTTCTGTGGGTTTAATTCATCACTTGTCTTCAGTATTTTAAATGTAGACTGTTCTAAGTTTAATTATCTAAAGTCAAAAAGAAATCTTTGAGGATTTAGCATCTTCACTTACTTGGATTATTTGCATATTTTTTTGTCCCCGTACTAATAAACAAACCAGTCTCAGAGGTCTACACTCTCAGCCTAACGACTTGTTATTCAGACACAGAACATTAATTCTACCACTAGAACTAAACATGTGCTAAATATGTCAACTCTAATAACAGGAGTGGTTTAATGCAGACAAAAGAGCCCCAGAGGTAGTTTTTATTTGATCAACAGATAGAAAATGTATCAAACAGGCTTCACAGATCAACAACAATTTTCTATGATTTCTTTTTTAAGGTTTAATAAATTTTTTCCTTTATAATTAATTACATCCAAGCCCTTTTTGTATGCATTATCTCCATCAGCAAATCCAATACTGCAAATGCATCAAAGTTATTTATTCAGATAGAAAACTCAAAACAAGAAGAACTGATCACTGCTGTTGCTGTAGCAGCTAGAAATGTTTCCCACAAGAGTAGCTGCTTTTGCACAAAGAGTAACAAGCGATATACCTTGTAGTACTTAAACGTGTGTGGAAGCTTTGTTGGGCTTGTGTTAATAACTATCTGGGTTTAAGTCTTTTATTGGAGTAAGAAATGCTTATACTAGCTAATAATTAGATAAATAAGATCGTCATTAGTGGTTGACATTTTAAGAAATTACTTTGTTTTGACACTTTTCCCAGTGTTTAAAACATGCAAAATGTGTCGTTACAGAAAGTTGTGTGTGGTTTGACATAATTTTATTTTAAATCTGAAACATACTGAAGAGCACGGAAGAGGATTAGGGCCAGTGAAAAAAAAAGTTAACTGATTTTTAAATCTTATTTCAGTTTGATATGGGAAAAAAAGTCAGAATTCTGACTTAAATCTCAGAATTCTGACTTTTGTTTCCTCAGAATTCTGACTTTTTTCTCAGAATTCTGACTTTTTTCTCAGAATTCTGACAGCTAACAAACATGTTAGCATCAAGCCATAGCCATGTCTGTTTTAGAGACTAGCTCTCTTGTTTTAATGACCTTCTGCTCCTCCATTAATGAGGGGATCCCTCGGGCATGTAAAAAGTTGCCTAATTCCGTCATTTTCCAACAATGTGTCACTGGCCTTCTCAAGCAACTCACATCTTTGTCAGTGAAGCTCTGTGCTCCCACATCTCTTCCTTTATGGTGCCCATCTACAATAAGATCCAAAATTCTGAGATTAAAGTCAGAATCCTGAGAACAAAGTCAGAATTCTGAGAAAAAAGTCAGAATTCTGACTTTAATCTCAGAATTCTGACTTTTTTCTCAGAATTCTGACTTTTTTTCCCATGTTAAACTGAAATAAAATTTAAAAATTAGTTAAACTTTTTTTTTTGTCAGTGGCCCTAATCCTCTTCCGTAGAAACAAGTCATTTATTGTGGATTTTTGTTTTTTGACTGGGACAAGAGCCCACTTTTTTTTTTTTTAAGTCCCTATGTATCTGCCAGGTTGTATCTGCTGGACATGGAGTGAGGGCTGGAAACTTAACAACAAAAGTATCAATATTGAATCTAAAATGGCAAAACAGTGAGAAAAATAACCCTGCATCGCAAACTCAGTCTACAATGCCCTTTTCCTCAGTATCAAGGAGAATGTTATCTAGTGTTTGTAATTACTGAAAGTAAATCCATGAAAGTTTGGTTTGGAGCAAAACAAAACCTAACAAAAGACTAATAACAGAGTATTTTTGCTTTTCTGTATTTAGGCTACTATCTGTTTTGTTCCATTCAGGATAAAGTGTTTTCTTCTTTTGTTGGAAAAGTTGGAATTTTTTTCACCTTTGTTCCAATACTTATAAAGACAACAACACACAGCGGCTCAATTTAACTACATAATTATATATGAGGTATTAATAAATCTCATTAAGCTGCTCTTTTTGCCAAAGAGCTGTGTTGATTTTACAGATCTGTAAAGGAGAGGTCTGTGTTCACGCCTTGAAGCTTTCTCTAAACTCTTTAAATAACACTTCAGAATGTATATGTAATAAATAAGAAAGAGACGAGATTTTTGACATAAATTGCAATCTTACTCAGACCAGAGAAATTGCTTAGTTACAGAAGTCAGCGCTTACCAACCGAGCTCACTTCTCCTTGAATCACAGTTAAAGAAGCAGTTTATACAGCTTCAATACGCCACATCATCACATTATTACATCATAAACGTTTGTAAATGAGGAGACATCCATGGCTCCAGCCTTATCCAGCTATTACTCAGTGTCTCAGATAAAAGAACAGAGAACTCGCGGTTAAGAATGATCCAATCCATCTGTTACCCCCATTTACATTACAAATCAATTACAAAGTTATGAACACAATGATGATGATAACTATATATCCTGACAGAAGAAATGTTCTAATTAGATAAACTAGTTGGGGAAACATTGGTTCTGACATGTAACAGGCAGGTATTATTAGGGTTTAACAGACTCACACATCATCAGTAAAAATAAATTTAATAGATCTTAACACATTTGCTTTAGCAAATGTGTTAAGATCATGGACACCCGATTCTACGCTAAGATGAAACAACTTTTTTTTTCAGTCCATTTATTAAATAATTTTTTTTTTTTAAAACACACTATTCATGATTACTTTCCAGATATTATCTGGGAATTTTAGGATCAGATACTCTTGCTGCCTTATGTGACAGACCTTTTTGCGCTGCAGCTCAAACTTTAAAGTTCGCCCAAAGAATCTGTTTAACTCTGTGAAGTATAATTTTAAAACGACACATTTTTCTGGACGTGTGCAAATAGTTATCTGTATAACGAAGTTTGCCCTTCTTCTAGAGTGTAAGCTGGCTTAACCCAGTATGCCAATAAACTAGACAGAAAATGTAACAAGCAACATTTCAACATTTTGGAGCAGAGTCCAGCCAACAACTCACCATATCTGTAGTCTGATCTTCTTTCCTCTTAACTCAACCGTCTTGATTTTGAAGTCAACACCTTCCAAAGGAAACACAAGGGTAAAAATAAAGAAAAATACCATCATTTTTTCTGTTGATCTAATTTTTTTTCTTTGACTCTTTCAGTAGCAGGTTTAAAGTTTCCAGTTATGGAACAAAGTTCCCTTTAAAGCTTTTCATAAATATCCTTAAACGTTTTCTTATTTTCTCCCATTAAAAAAAACAGACCTCATTGTACTTTGTTAGGATTTTATTGGATGCAGGAACATATCTAAGGATCTGAGGTGAAGGCTTCTTTTTACCATTTTGATCTTTTAATAGAAACATGAACATTTTCAAAAATCTTTGGGTTAATTAACAGAGAAGGTCCACCTGTATGACTTCAGAGGTTTGCTGAAGAACATTAGTGATCAAAAAGCAAGATTACAGCACACCTAAGCCATCAGCCTGAAGAAAAAAGGAAAAATATTGAGTTTTTTAGATACACAACTAGATGGGCTGTGGTAACGATCGAGCAGCGGCGAAGATTTGAAGTTTAGGATGAAAAAAAATCTGACAGGAAAACTGGCAGTGTACTGCTTTTATGAACGGCAAGAAGAGAGCCTTTTAAGAAGGTACTTTTCAGAACTCCCATTTGCATTTTGGTAAAGGCCATGTAGAAAAAATGCAAAGCTTTGCAAATGAAATTTCTGTTTTAACTGCAAAGCCTTGCCTGCTGCCAGAAAAACCAACAACACATGGCATTGATAATAAAATATGGTGGCAGTGGATAACTTTTCTTTGGAGCTAAATACTGCGCAATGCCTGAAGCAAAAAGTATGCAAAAGACTAACAACTGGGTTGGAGACTGAGCCATCTTCCGAACAACTATAGTGAACAAGAATCTAAAGCTATAATGGAATGATTCAGTTCACAGCATGTCCGTGTGGTAAAAAGACCAAACCATCATGTTCCTTTACTAAATTCAATTGAGAATGGGTGCAAACCTTAAAATGTTATGTTCAGACACTGCAAACCAACAGGTGACATTTCATAAACAGAATAGACTAAAGAATAAACCTTCACTTGTGCAAAGCTTGAATAGAGATACTATAATTATTTTATTTTTAGTAAATAATTTGGAAAATGTTTTAAAACATTTCATAATCAAAATGAATACATGCACCACCCCCATATATAATGGGGTTGTCGAAAGCGTCAGTACTCAGAATTTTATAGATATAAAGATAAGATACCAATTTGGTATGGTATAGATAGTTAAGAAAAGCGTTGTTTACATATTTTTGCTATAGTTCATTTTAGATTTCTGGTATTATTTATTTTGCATATGAAACGGCTGGGTTTTTCTAGTTTAATAAATTTTTTTTCATGCCTATGAATATTTCCTGTTTTTTAATCCCATTGGTTTTAGACTTGGTATCAAGCATCAAATATTATCCTGGTGATCAATATTGAGTTTGAAATGTTTGTATCATGACAACCCTGTGATGGAAAAATTCAGTTGGCTAACTACATAAAATCCCTATAAATTAAATTACAAATTGAAGTCGCAATGGGGAAAATATGTGAAAAATGTCCAAGGTGTATAAAAATTGTATTTATATCAACTGACCTTACTGGTGATTGTAACAGTTTCTACCTCTTTAGTTAAATAACACGCTGCTGTCATTTTGCACATCTCAGATGTTTTCAAATATCCGTTAATGTAAAAATGTCCATAGTTGTATACTGGTTATTCATTCTCCAGGTGCACAATTTTATATTGTTACAAGACTTTACAGTACATTATTTTATTGTTTAGCTTCTAACTCTTCATTATTATGTTATTCTTATACATTTTTTCTAAAATCCACATTTGTGTGACCATTTTTTCTATAATATTTTTGCTGCTATAAACACCAGAATTTCCCAATTTAGGGACAATTAAGGGATTTTCTATTCTATGTTATTACTTTTTACTGCATACTTAATAACAAAATTGCTATTATTGATGAAAACACAACTTTGTATGAAAAACAGAAATATCCACAGGTGGCCTGTGCTTAGAGGAACATTATATCTGTGAGCTGCTTGGTCACAGGAATGACAGGGAACAACATGGAGCTCCATCATAGCAGCTGCTTGTTTGAGGCTATTTTAGGACTGGGCTTTATGACTGGATGGGGTCCAGGTCACAGGACTGTTTACAACATCAAACAATAGAAATATCCATTTATGTTTGATTACACAAACGTAAAACATCATTGTTTGCAAGAAAACGTCACAATTGAAAGTATAGGATTGGTTATAGTGAGTCAACTGGACCAGAGTCGGTTAAATAGGCTCCAAGAGGAACTATAATTTAAGGAAATATTTCTATCTTCATATTAATTCGCACATAAAACACATTTTATAACAGCAACTGTTACGTGAAGAGTTTATTTCGAAAAGCCAACATGGAAACTCCAACTTTAATCGGTTACTATGTTGAAACTTTGTAGTTCTTAATCATTGCGGAGAGTTAGCATTAGCTCTGCTGAGGAAATAGCACTCGACTCATTCCATTAGAGGTTTAACGGTCTTTTTCCTCCAGGAAGTAGTCGGGTCCTGTTTTTTCTGACCAACTAAAACTGTCCAAATGAAAAGCAGAAAAAAAAAAAAAAATAAATCCCGAACCTCACCTACTGTCGATTTGCATGACTCGCAGAAAGTATCGTCGGTAAACCTCTCCATGAGGCTGGTTTTACCAACTCCACGGGAGCCGATAATTATAATCTGAAGTTTGAAGTCAGCGGGTCGGGGAGGCATCTTCCTGCGGCGGGATTGAGCTCCCAGAGCGGGGGACGAGTTAGCGGCGCCCCCGCTGCCACCGGAGGAGGCGGCGGCGGCCCTCCGCGGGATGTCATATCTTGGATCCATCAGTGATTCCTCATTTATGACAACAAAAGTATCATGTGAACAAACATAAGCTGAAGTACCTCCAAATTAAATTGCTACTTTCAACTTTCTCTGTTGTCCGGGGAAGTTAGGGAAAGTTTGGTGCCCGCTAATAGTTGTTGTTGTTCAGCCATTAGAGACCGTGAATGCCGTGACGTCATTTCCGTTTCCCAGACTCTTTTTATCCAAATATTTACATTTTAGAATATAAAATCGAACAAAAAGAAATAATAAACCACAAATAGTCAATTGAATAACTCCTTTTTTTATGTTTGTAAGATTAAAAATTTAATGAATGTACCTCATATGCTTTTAGTTGTTTTATGGATTGTAAATACAAAAGCAAAGGTGTCTAAATATACCTATGTAATTTTTTTTTGGTTTATAATATATGTCTTAATTTTAGGAGAACGATTTTCATTTAATAATTTTTGGTCCGGGGATGTATTTGCCTTGCCCACTGTGTCAGAGGGCCATGTCTTTTGATGGATGGGGGGAGTGGGTGCTCTCCAAGATGGAAGTCTGCTTTGACAGCTTGGTGCAGGGATGGAGATGGACATGCTGCCCCTGTCATCAGCACACATACATACATGCATGCTTAGTGTAAAGTTAACAGATTTATCACAGGTTTATCCAATTGCAACTCCACATAGGTTACCCTTCATACTTTAGTCAACAATTTCCTTTGGCTATTTTTGATTAGCATGGTTTGCTGACTGCACTGGACTTGACCTGTTGTTGCTCCAAACCAGCTGTGTCAAGTAACGAATTACAAATACTTCGTTACTGTACTTTTTACTGTACTTTTTAGGTATCTATACTTTACTCCATTACTTATTTTTCTTCCTACTTCTGACTTCTACTCATTACATTTTCACACAAGAACCTGTACTTTCTATTCCTTACATTTTTAAAACAAACGTTACTCATTACTCTTGGCTTTGGTTTAATGTTTATAAATATTTATGTCACATCATGTGCGCCATCCATTGCAGATTATTGGCGTCGTCCACATCTAGTGAAAACTAGTGTAACTGGATGAGTCATAGAATGCAAACACTCATTGGTTAGCTAAAGGAAATCATCAGAAGCAAGCAGGGGTTCTTCAAACTGCAATGGTGAATTGTCTATGGCATGCTACAATGTAGGATTCAGAAAAAGATTTTGAAATATCTGAAAGGTCAGACACAGATGAGAGCGTATCAGGAGATTGGGACGGAGACCAACCAAACCTCCCTCATCCTTGGCCCTATAATTTTTCTAAATAGTCAAAAAATTGAGCTTTCAATTCATGTAGTGGCATCTGGCTGTTTTTTTTTTTAGGTTACTTTATACTTTTATACTTTAAGTAGTTTTTAGAGCAAATACATTTTTTTTTAATTGAGTGAAGAGGTCAAGTTGATACTTGAACTTTTACCAGAGTGTTTTTAAACTGCAGTATCTATACTTCTACTTAAGTAACAAATGTGTGTAATTTTGACACCACTGCTCCCAGCTGGTCTGAGTTATTTGCCTTGCTTCCCTCCTCAGTCATTCTGGAGCCAAGGTGCATCATTGCTTCAAGTGAAGTTTAAATCTTGCAGTTGCAAAATTTTTATCATTTCAAGTGAAAATTGCAAGTAAAACACAAATTGTATTAGTGCAGCTTGTTGATTTTGAGGCAATATTGAGTCGTGATTTACTTAAAAACTCTGCCCCATGAAGGTAACCCCCTATTCCATGTGGCATGGTTAAAATAGCTGAGGAAAGGTTACATAAAAAAACAAAGAAACATGGAATGTCTTAAAGTTACAAAAAATGTGAGATTCCAATTTTAGTTATTTTTTGGAGAAAACCTTAGATCACAGAAATTAGCTTCCTTACCTGAAAGAGATAATCTGGCACTGAGGGTTTTTTATTTATTCCTAATGGAACATTTCCTTAAGTCACCCCTCAGAGACCATGCAGACCAGCTTTGATGTAAAGTTCTTATCACTACAGTGTTTTAAAAAAAGTGTCAAAGTAGTACAATATTTAAATATATTTCAGTTCGCATGTTATGTGAAAGCAACCTGAATAAACCCTAAAGGTATTAAGCTCAAGCTACTAATAGTGGAAGGATGTTGATCCATTTATACCTGATGGTAGTCTTAATACTTAGTAGCACAGCGATGCCCCTGAATATTTTTTTATTTATATTCATCATCTTTTTGGAAGATGATGTGATATGTACGGAAGAGGATTAGGGCCACTGAAAAAAACAAAAACAGATTTTTTAATTTTATTACAGTATAATATGAGAAAAAAGTCAAAATTCTGACTTTGATCTCAGAATTCTGAGAAAAAAAAGTCAGAATTCTGAGATCAATGTCAGAATTCTTAGATTAAAGACAGAATTCTGACTTTTTTCTCATATTATACTGTAATAAAATAAAAAAATCTGTTTTTGTTTTTTTTTCTCAGAATTCTGACTTTAATCTCAGAACTGTGACTCTTAATTTTGGATCTTAATGTAGATGGCCACCATGAAAGAAGAGACGTGGGATCTCTCAGCTTCACTGACAAATATGTGATTTGTTTGGGAGGAACAGTAACACATTGGTGGAAAATGACAGAATTAGGCGACTTTTTACATGCCCAAGGGGTCCCTGGTGATGCTATTTCATTAATGGAAGAGCAGAAGGTGATTAAAACAAGAGAGCTTGTTTAGTCTTTAAAACATACATGGCCACGGCTTGATGCTAACATGTTTGTTAGCTATCAGAATTCAGTCAGGATTCTGAGATTTAAGTAAGAATTCTAACATTAAAGTCAGAATTCTGACTTCCCCCCATATTAAACTGAAATATTTAAAAATCCGTTAACTTTTTTTATTTTTTCAGTGGCCCTAATCATCTTCCGTAGATATGCCTTATCTTTATTCATTTCATTATTCTTTTGAGTGTGTGATATTGTCAAAATGTGCTTTATATATTGACTGAAAATTTAAATTCATAAGAACAAAGAATATACATTTATTTTTCATGAACCTTGTAATGGCTAAAATGGGCCTGGAATCGAACTGTTTGGCAAACGAAATGCATCCTAACAGCTGTTTGTCCTCCGCGGCACCCGTAGGCTGCGACAATGAATGACGTTTCATTAGAGGAGGAGTTCCTGTTAATCCAAACACAGACGAGAGCAATATTCACGGGTAGTTATCGATACCTGGACTATTATACAGCGCTGACTCTACCGGGATGGCGGCTCAGAAGATAAACGAAGCCCACGAACACATAGCAAAAGCTGAAAAATGGTGAGGAGCGACATAAATGAGGCTAATGGAGTCTCTGTTTATGTAGCTAGCTGCTGTCAGGCCACTGTAGCATCTTTAGCACATTAAACTACGACATTGATTTAGCTTTAAAGGATCGACACGATCTCAGTTTATTTAATATAACCTCTTTTTCTGTTTCTAATTAATTCGTGTTTTTAATGTTGTAGCTTAAAGACGAGTCTGACCAAGTGGAAACCTGACTTTGACAGTGCGGCATCAGAGTACGCCAAAGCAGGTAAACCAGACCTAACCCTGTTTACTCAGAGAAATACGGCTTTTTGTAAGAGTTTTACCGCATTAAGTGTAAATCTCCTGTATTTTTAGCTGTTTGCTTCAAGAACGCAAAGCAATATGAGCAAGCTAAGGATGCTTACCTGAAGGAGGCGGAGTACCACACGGAAAACAAGACGTATCCTGTCTCTGCAGCACTCAGCATCTCATTATAAACACATGGAGCAATGTTTAGACCATTTACTGTCTAAAGTGGATGTGTTTTTAAGCGTTTACTGTTTCGCATATCTTAAACGTTTTGATTTGATCCAAGTATACAGGTTTATTCTACATTTTATATATTTGTATATATATATATATATATATATATATATATATATATATATATATACATATGTGTGTGTGTGTCTGTGTGTGTTTCTTTTCATTCATCCTTTTGGTTGCAAAAATATATATAGAAAAACCAAAAATGACCTAAACAAGCCCTTTTTATGCCTTTTTGTTAAGAGAAAGGCGACATAAAGGTTATCCTCTAAATGTGATCTGAATTCCTGTCACACGTATCAACCTTTACAGAATCTCAAACAGCTAAGGGTTAATTTTCTTTATATATTTTTTCACTTGGAATTCACCAGGATCCAAATGTCCTTTTAACCTAAATAACAAACCTCCCATCTTGGACCTCAGAGGTCAAGCAATCAGACCATCCTCTGCAGAGCTCCATCAAATCATCAGTCTAGGACAGGCCACAAAATAATAAGACTGCACTATATTAAACTATCCAAATACTAACTGTATAACAGATATTCTATTACAATCTCAATCCAGTTTGACCAGCTGACAATAACAGCGCTTCAAAGATAACTGAGTGATGGACAGTTGTGTTTTTTCAGCATAGATTGAAATTATCTTTATAGAAACTACAAATCTTCTAATATAAACAATCAGCTTTAACTAGTGTTGCACTGATACTGATAATGGTGGTATCAGTATCAGCGAATACCAACCAATAGGGCACAGATACCATTTAGAGAGCCGAAAGTTTATTCGACTATTGTCACCCATTCCAGGTAGACAATGAAAATTTCTACTGGATTCACTTTGTATTAGTCTATTTCCTGCTTCATAAAGATAGACAGCAGCTTGACAAAGCCATGATATTATTTTACATCCAAGTAGTATGCAGTTCTTCATATATACACACATACAATAAATTTGGTATCGGTATCGGGGCCACAAAATGGTATCTGTGCAACGCTAGCTTTAACAACCTGTAATACAGACAGTATGTTTGTTACCTTTTTATATTCAATTTCTGGCTGAACTTCAGTAATTACACTTTAAAACATGATTGAATGTAGTTATTTAATTGGACATTGTCTTATGTTAGACCTATTTTTAATATAAAAACTTCTACTCTCGGGCTCCTTTTGTGTGAAGAAGTGAGTTCCTTCTTTTCATCTGTAATTAAACGGATTGATATCCAAGTTAGACTATGATACTCTTTTTAAGCATGACCTGTTTTGCATTTGTTCTCAATGTTTCCTTAACTTGAGCTTCAGACTCTTTCATGCTGCAAAGTAAGTATGTTTTAAAGCTGACTTTTAACCAGTTGCAAACAGGAAACTAAGGGTTTGGCTCTAATTGTCCTCTTTCTTCAGGGCTATTGAGCAGGCCGGGATGATGATGAAGGTAAATGGTAAAGACTTTATAGATCTGCTCTGAGGTGATATTCCTGCAGTTTTAATTTGTCTGCTGTGTTACAACAGGAGCAAAAGAAAATGCCAGAGGCCATTCAGTACATAGAGAAAGCCTGTATGATGTACATGGAGAATGGGACCCCCGACACTGCTGCCATGGCCTTGGACCGGGCTGGAAAGTAAAGCAAACCTTAATTTCTCCAGAGAAAATGATCATCACCATCATTAGATGATAACCTTTGTCCTATATTGTGTAATTAAAACCACACTCTTTAATGCAGCGTTGTCAAACTGTGAGCTGCTGGTTGTGAATTTTGGGCCAAAGCTTAAAAAGATAATGTGTAAGATTTGCTGTCATCTTATTGTGAAATGAGAAATATTTCTCCTTCATTACCTCCTCCCTTCTGGCATTTTAATGTCTGTGGCTTCATCATAATTTTTTTTTTTTTTTCATTTTCTTGGTGATGGTGAAACCATTTCTTGCGATGCTGCAGCATGCAGTAAGCACTGCCCCTCATTGTGCTGCAGTAGTGCAGACTTTCAGTCTCCAAATGATCTTCACCACCGCCTCTCCATCGCACTGAACTGCCAGCCAGAGGAAACGCCTTGTTGTTCCACTCCTTGGTGTTAATTTATCCCCTGCTGGCGTCTGTACTTTCATGATTGCAGACTGGCATGGCGCTTCACATGTTTATGTAAAAACTAATATGAAATTCCCTACTTATGGAAATCTGATTAGTAGTGGAGGTAATAATACACTAATAACAAAACATATTGAAATGCAGCCATCTACTTCGGGCAATAAAAAGGGGAAAAAACTGTTACACAATATACCTTTAACTTAACGTTCCTTTAATGAGATGCCACAGGAAGAGCCAGAGTGAGCTTAGCTTTCAGAGGCTCTTTGGAGCCTAGAGTGCTGCTCTGCTGACCGTCCCCAACCCGTTTCTGTTTCACTGCCATGCAGGAGGTTGAATAATTTTTTGTTTTTTTTTCCTATTTACAGAAACCACCTGCTCAGCTCATTGGCGGCGTCACACAATTTAATTTTCATTTTAGTTAGAAAATGTTATTGGTCTCATGTGACTCAGGCATTTTCTTCCACACTGTTAATGTCAAACTGGACTTTAATAGTTTTTTAATAGTTTTTCTTTACTCTCACCTGAGCTTTGAATCTCTACAGCTCCTCCAGAGTTAGCACAGGCCTATTTTACCTTTTCTTTAAGATCGAAGGTTTGCAGCTTTGAAATACTTGTTTGTTTTCTAATGTTTGTTTAAACAATGGACTTGGGTATCTTCAAAGACTCTGATATTTTTTTATAACATGTCTTCCTTTTATATATATATATATATATATATATATATATATATATATATATATATATATATATATATAATGGCCCCATATTTCATTTAGAGCTATCAGGGCAAAGACGACAGAATATAAATATGCAACACTTTTCTGATTTTTATCAGTCAGACATTTTCAAAAACATTTATCCCTTGATGTCCGTTTCACAATTCTGCACCATTTTGCTATTGTAGATCCTATAAAATATCATTGACATGCAATAGTGGGTTTACAATCTAGAAATGAGAGAATAGCATAGCGGAGCTTTGCAAAATATCATACATTTATGGTTTCCAACTCTTTAGCATCAGGAAATGAGAAGATAGCAGTTCCCTCTTAACTAAAACACATTCTTCCTCCTCAGACTCATAGAGCCCTTAAATCTGGAGAAAGCTGTTGATCTGTACCAGAAGGCAGCAGGTGTGTTTGAGGTGAGCACTTCATTACATGTTGAGTAACTGAGCTTTAAGTAATCTTTCTATTAATAAATAACTTCTTTGTATTATGTTTGCAGAATGAAGACCGTCTTCGTCAGGCAGTGGAGCTGCTGGGCAAAGCCTCCAGACTCCTGGTCAGGTTAAAAAGGTGAAGGAATCTGGGATCATTTGGTTTTAATTTTCTTCCAGTTTGTGTAAGATAATTAAAAACCATAAATGTGATCATGAATGAAATATAAATGCTTATTGTTCTGCTGAACAGGCTGGATGAAGCTGCAGTCGCCCTGCAGAAAGAGAAGAACATGTACAAAGAGATCGAGAACTTTCCCATGTGTTTTAAGGTGGGTCAGCTAGGTGTTTTGGTTCTAAATGATAGAAGACATTCAGGACTCGTTCTGGTCTATATATGCTCTGATTTAGCCAAACAGTTTTTTAAACCACTTTCCTACTCAATCAGCCCATAATAGTCTTAACTGGACTATTTTACTTCTCTTGGATAGAATGTAAATAAAAAACAGGGTGGAGCATAATGGTTTTAAATGTTAATTCTGTCTGATCATCTGAATGATGAGTTTCTTCAAGCCGGACAAACATTCATTATGTCTCATTATGATGCGAAGGTCCAAAGTTTATCCTCGTAGACGTTCAACCATCCAACCGTTCCTCCATTTTTCTGTCCAACCTGTTGTCTGTTGGTCTGTTCAACCCGTCTTATGCCCAACCATCTGTTTGTTTATTATTTCTGTTCTTCACTTTGCCCATCCAACCTTTCTTCACTCTATCCATCCATTCTGTTCTCCATTCACCCGTACACCTATATTCTGGCCATCTATCTATCTATCTATCCATTTTTTTTTCATGCAGTCATCTGCCCACCCATGGTCACATATTTAATTCCTACTTTTGTCATCCATTCATCCATCTTGTTTTTTCTTCTCTTCATCTTCCGCCCTGCCATCCCTCTAGCCATCTATCTTTTTAAAATTTGTCCATCCTTTTCTCCCTCTACTCATCATGTCTTCTGTCGTTTTGTCCCTCTAGCTATCCTCTTGTCCCTTCGTCCCTTCACCTCCTTGTAAGTTGATCCATTCATCCACTTATTCATCCTGTGGTCGGTCCATTTGTCTTTTTGTCCTCCTGTCTTTCCATTCCTGTAGCAGTCCTTTGTCCCTTTAGCTGTCCCCTTGTCTCTGTGATTATGTCCCTTTATCTTTCTATGTCAGTCTGTGCTTTCATTTTCCTGCTATCTGTGCATCGTTGTTATAAATCCATTCTTCCTTCCTTTGATTAAAATATCTGCCCTGACTTTAATGTAAACGTCCTCTTTTAAAATGACTCCTGTTGACAGAAAAATCTGGGAATTCGATCTCGTAAATTTGAGATTCTGAAATGTGTAGGAACTCATTCTATAGAGAACAAAAATACAATAAACTGTACAAGGTTTTGTTGTGTAATGAACTATAACCTCAGGTCAAGCCTATAATGAGGAAAACAGGTTTTTTCATTTACTGAACGGCTATTCTGATTTTCTAGAAAACCACCGCTCAGGTGTTGGTCCATCTTCACCGAGGCGACTTCGTGGCAGCGGATAAATGCGTGCGGGAAAGTTACAGGTACGCCGTCGGCTCCAAATCCCCCCTCACCATCTTTAACATTACTTTCTAAACTGAGGGGCAGCTTTTATAAAGTACTGCTTCTCCTCCAGTCTGCCGGGCTACAGCGGTAGTGAAGACTGCGTTGCCATGGAGTCGCTGTTGCAGGGATACGATGAGCAGGATGAGGATCAGGTCTATCGAGTCTGCAACTCTCCTTTACTGAAGTACATGGACAATGATGTGAGTACTCATAAAATAGGATAGAAAACATTCATACAGGGAGAACTTTCCAAAAAAAAGTTTCTACTATGGTCAAGTGAAGAATAGAAGAAAGAAAATACAGTTTTAGAAATACTAATCAGAACACAAATCTACGAATCTCTGTGAGACGTTTGTTAATCTAGATGGACAGACAGCATATTTGCACATCCATAATTGAGTCTTTCCACAGATTAAAAATTAGATCTAGATGTGGACTTTGATTAGGCCATTTTTGCACATAAATATCCATGTTTTATGTAGCTAACTGGGATGGAGATTTGTCCTCCAGCACGAAAGCGCTCCTCATTTGGATCATTTAATCTTAATTTATGGAGCTATTCATATTCACACACATGAAACACAGTGGGCTTTACAGAGGTTAGAAACAGGAGAAACTCTAGAGACACACATGCAATAAAATGTTCAAAATCAGTATACAGAGAGATTAGACAAATGATTATAGTGACAATAATATATGTTACATTCATGCTGATTTTGAGCAGTTTCTTCATTAGTCAGTTAATAACCTGCTGCTGTCATTTTGCACATCTCTGATGCTGCTGCTATTTTCAAATATCCATTACTGTAAACATGTCCATAGCTGTAGATTGGTTATTAATTCTACAGGTGCACAGTTTTATATTGTTAAAACACTTTACAGTACAGTATTTTATTGTTTAACTTTTAACTCTTCCCTATTATGTTATTCTTATACATTTTCTAAGGTCCACATTTGTGTGACATTTTTTACTGCTGTAAATATCAGAATTTCCCCATTGTTGGAGGATAAAGGGATTTTCTATTCTAATAAAATAAACTGAACTGTTGAAGACATTGAGGTGATCAGTGTGGAAACAGATAAATATTGTATATTAGGGAAACTATTAAAACACCAACATTGAAATCATATAGATTTAAATGGTACAAAGGTACCATTTAAGCAGTTTTTCTCATGTTATGAAACTGGCCCATATACCAACCTCTTTATATGAGGCTCTGTGGCCTCCAGTAGGTTTTATTCCAGGCTTACACTGTATTAATCTAAACTCCAACTTTCTGTCAACCTGAGCAACTAAAAAAAAAGCATCCCAGAGCACGATACCTTTACCATCATGTATCACTATGATCACTGTGTGTTCAGGGCGCGGTGTATGTCCCTAAAGTTCTCCAACAGATCCGTGAGGTCTTCACAGAAAAACTGAGCTGTAACTGACATCATCTGGACTCTAAGCGCCACACTTTTCTGATTTTTATTGCTGAAATGGTTGAAAAACATGTATCATTTCTGCTTCACCTAAGAAGTGTGAGCTTCTTTGTGGTGTTTTTACTATAATCCTTAAAATCTGAGTAGAATGTGACTAAATGGAGAAAACGTTTGCTAAGCTTTTACAGCATTAATTTAAAAAGTTGTCTCACGTAGCTGGTTAACAAAATATAAATCCAAGTGCCAATGGTTTAATGAAATAAAAAGCTTATTTCTCTTTAAAAGCCGCTCTCGTTTATGGCTTTGTCTGAGAGATGAGAGATGTTTTAAATTCCTGTTCTGTGTTCCAGTATGCCAAACTGGCCATTTCACTGAGGGTCCCCGGAGGAGGAGGAAAGAAGAAGAAGGCCGCGGCTTCACAAGGGGGCACTGGCGGGGCGCCTGCAGCTGCAAAGGATGAGGAGGAGGACGAGTACGAAGGCGGGTTGTGTTAACCTCAACCCATACTGTCCATCACCACTTGAACATCGTCTGTGTTTTAAACCCTTTCAGCCCAAAACAGCGGCCTGTTGCATCTTTAACAAGCTAAAAAAACAAGGGAATAATAAAAACCCAACGGTTTAAACAAGTGTTGCAGAAGAATGAATATTAAGCCTTTAAGTTTGTGTTCATTGATCTGCCTGGTGTGTGAACATGTTCTGTTATGTGTCGTCTCAGTGGAGCTGTACATTTAGCTGTTATTGTTTGTGGGTAGATTTCTAAACATCAGTTCCAATCATAAATACTCTTAACTGCGATTGGACCAGCGAGCTGGACTTTTATTTGTACAGAGATAATTTATTCAGTATTCACTGCTGCTGGGAATGATACCGACTCTATATGCAATCGGACTGGTAATAATGCATGTTTGAAACAAAAAAAATTATCATGAAACATCCAAAGTAACTATTAATAATCTAGAACAACCCTGTTGTCTTTAGCTTCAGTGACTGGAAAATCAATCAGATTTGATCCAAATGTTCCCCAAGTTTGATCTTCTACTTCACAGCATATGTTACCCTAAAATAAAGATGTATAGATCAGCGTATATCGCCTTTTTTTTTTTAAATGTTTAAATAAGAGCAAGTTGTATTGAGAACAATCAAAGGGACCATAGATTGATTTTTGTGTCAATGAGTTGTCTGTTTAGAAATATTCTACTAGGCCTATTAAGATGATAAAGTGGTTGTTTACATTTTTTTCATTTATCCTTTTTCTCTCTAACCCAAATTCCCAAGTGTTGCAACTTCTAAATAAACAGGTTTCATGGCCCTCGATGCTTTCCATTTGTCTCTCCTCCATGTTCCTGCTCTGACTGGAACATATTCTAAGTCTTCACAAATTTGAACCTCAACATCAGCCAGAATGGCCTCAAACAAATCTGAAATGACTTTGCACCTTCCATCTTTGATAAGGCTAATACTTTCTGTCTGTGAAAGTGATATCTAATGTGAATGCATGTATGCTGCTTTTGTGATACCTCCCATCCCAAATGACTGCACTGATCCATTTGGACAAAACATCAGCTAAATCGAGGAACGCTTTTTTTTTTTCTCTGACTTGTTCATCGAAGATATTTTAATGTATGTATGAATGATCCCATTAGAATAAACATTAAATATTTTAAAGGTCCCAAATTTTTAAGATAGTTTATTTATTGCATGGGATATATATATATATATATATATAAATCTGAATAAGAAACCACAAATATTCTGACTTACATTTAAGAGGTAAGGACACAGCTTTGATGCAAAAATATTTAAATCTGGAAATACAGCTTCATTTCGCATGAGTTATTACAGCACTTTGAAATATCTTGATACTGAAAAGTGCTATATAAATAAATTTACCCAATGTTTTAACAAGTATATTTAAACTATATCTGTATACTGTTTGTAAACATCTAATAATAAATCAAAAATTTCCTTTTCAATTGCCCTTTGCAAAAACGGGGCTTTTACTGCAGGCTTAAAGTCCAGCCTCTTCATCAAATTCAAGGGGCTATAATTTGTTTTACATTTACAAAGCAGATTTTACATACTATTATTTTTAATTTAATCTAAATCAACCTCAGTTTATTAATATGTCTGAAACTTAGGTCATCATTTCAGTGGAATGTTTCCGGAGGTCTCCAGAAGGAGGCATCCATGAGCAGTCATAACCCCTCAGAAGAATCTTCACATTAGATTCCTTCACAAGGTAAGTGGCTCATCTACAGCTGGTAGCTCCTGACAGCTGCTTATATGTATACATTGAGTCATGATCATCAGGAACACAATATATTAATATATATAAAAAAAAAAACCTTCACCCATCGCAGACAGTCTTCACCCCCTTTTTCCTCCTGAGCTCGGGTTCAATACCAGAGGCCTGGGAGCTTGATGGTTCTGCCCAGTATCTTTGCTGTTCCTAGAACTGCACTCTTCTGGACTGAGATCTGCTGTAACCACTCTTCAAGTTTGGAGGTCACTGCCCCGAGTGCCCCAATGACCATGGGTACCACTGAAGCTTTGACCTTCTCCAGCTCTTCTCTGAGCTCCTGGTATTTCTGTAGTTTTTCATGTTCCTTTTTCCTGATGTTGCAGTCACTTGGTATTGCTATGTCAACCACAACGGCTCTCCTCTGCTTTTTGTCCACCACCACAATGTCGGTTGGTTCGCCATTACCATTTAGTCCAACTGTATCTGGTAGTCCCACAGGATCTTGGCTCGGTCATACTCTACCATCTTTGGAGGTGTTTCCCAATTTGACCTAGGTGTTTCCAGCCCATACTCTGCACAGATGTTCCTGTATACTATTCCAACCTCTTGGTTATGCTACTCCATGTAAGCTCTCCCTGCCAGCATCTTACACCCTGCAGTCATGTGCTGGATTGTCTCAGGGGCCTCTTTGCACAGTCTGCACTTGAGCATGTCGTCTGTTGGAGCCTTGTCCTTGATGTACTCAGTCTCAGGGTGCTGGATTTGGGGTTGTACCCTCTGTGTATGGTTGGGAGCTTTCATGCCTTAAAACCTGTGGGCTGTACCTCCTCTTTTGGCCAACTTATTTTTCCTGCAGTGTATCTGATTACTGGGAAAGTATAGCTATTTATTGCCTGAGACTTATTCATGCCATTAAGCTGGCTCCTAAGGACCTGCCTTACTCGTTGGAGGTATTTGGCTGTAGCTGCTTTCCTTGTCACCTCTTCAAGGTTGCAATTTGCTTGAAGCTGTCTTCAATGTCTGCTATTGTTCCTTCTGGGAGGGAGAACCCCTCTGTGTGAACTACCTTCCCTCTTTCAGTTACCATCCGACCACACTTCTCTAGTCCGAATGACATCCCGATGTCAGTGCTGAAGATCCAGCTGGTATGGATCAGCAGTGGTCGCAAAAGTACACAAATTTGTTACTTAAGTAGAAGTATAGATACTGCAGTTTAAAAACACTCTGGACGTATTTATTCAAGTAAAAGCAAAAAGTATGTGTTCCAAAAACTACTTAAAGTATAAAAGTATGAAGTAAAAAAAAAAAAACAGTCAGATGCCACTATATGAATTGAAAGCTCAATTTTTCGACAATTTGTAAAATTCTTTGAGATAGGATGAGGGAGGTCTTGTTGGTCTCCATCTCCCGATACGCTCTCTCCTGTGTCCGACCTTTCAGACATTTCAACATCTTTTTCTGAATCCAACATTGTAGCATGGCATAGTCAATTCACGTTTGCAGTTTGAAGAACACCTGTTTGCTTCTGATGATTTCCTATTGCATCCACACAAATTTGACGAATAGCTAACCAATGAGTGTTTGCGTTCTATGACTCATCCAATGACACTAGTTTTCACTAGATGTGGATGGCACCAATGATCTGCATTGGATGGCGCACATGAGGTGACATAAAATTTTTTAAACATTAAACCAAAGCCAAGAGTAACAAGTAACGTTTGTTTTGAAAATTTAAGGAATAGAAAGTACAGATACTTGTGTCAAAATGTAGTGAGTAGAAGTCAGAAGTAGGAAGAAAAGTAAGCAATGGAGTAAAGTATAGATACCCAAAAAGTGTACTTAAGTACAGTAACGAAGTATTTGTCCTTCGTTACTTGACACCTCTGTGGATCAGTGAGTCAATGTCTCACTCATTCTTAGCGTACAACTTGACGTCATCCATGTAGAGGAGGTGACTGATGGTGGCCCCTTTCCTGAGTTAGTATCCGTAGCCAGTCTTGTTGATTATTTGGCTGAAGGGGTTCAGGCCTATGCAGAACAGCAGTGGGGACAGTGCATCTCCTTGGTATATGCCACATTGGATGGAGACTTGTGCAACTATCCTGCCATTGGCAGATGGTGTTTCTCCACAACCTCATTGAGTTTGCAATGAAGGCTCTTGAAGTCCTGTTGATGTTGTATAGCTCCAAGCATTTAATGATCCAATTATGTGGCATTGAGTCGTAGGCTTTCTTGTAATCAATCCAGGCAGTGCTTAGGTTAGTGTTTCAGGTTCTATAGTCTTGAGCGACTGTTCTGTCTACCAGGAGCTGATGTTTGGCACCTCTGGTATTTTTGCCAATTCCCTTCTGAGCTGTGCTCATGTATGGATCCATGTGCCCGCTTATCTTAGCCGCTATGATGCCGGACATGAGCTTCCACGTTGTGGAGAGGCAGGTTATGGGCCAATACTTGATTGGAACTGTACCCTTTGAGGGGTCCCTCAGGCTCTATTGTGCACCCTTTGGTTATCCATTCAAGGTCATTCCCATCTCTCAGCAGCTGGTTAATTTGTGTTGCCAAGTGTACGTATCATATTGGGGCCTGGTGCTGTCCAGTTTTTCATGCCTGAGACTCTTTCTTGGATGTCTGCCACTGTGATGTTGACTGGATTCTGTTCAGGGAGGCTGCTGTGGTCCTCTTTCAGAACTACCGGCCACTGTTCCTCCCTGTTGTGTGCTGCCTATATATATTCTCTTGATGACTATGCTGGGAAACGGCTTCTTGTTGTGGTGAGAACAGACACAGTTCTAGCTTAGATTATCCAGGAACCAGGTTATCCAGCGAAAGCTGCTCCAGCTCACCATACTCTGTTGAAAGTGGACTTATTAAAATGAGACCTGAATAAATGGTTGAGGTGCAAGTAAAAAGCTTTAACACCCCGAGACCCAGATGTTTGCAGTGCCTTATAGACATTCTGAAGTATGAAATAAAAATGTCCCTATGAACCTACAGCAGGGATTTCTACATTGATGTTGCTTTTAATATGAAAGCTGGCCAAAAACAAACAAAAAAACAGACTGCAAAGGTGAAAAGAAGGAAGGACACAAGTAAAGACAGAAAAGAAGGCTGGAAGAAATTATTTATGTCATGAGGATAGAATGGAAGACATTAAGTTCAAAGGACACAAGCAAGGAAACAAGGTCACAAGAAGGAACATGAGGATAAGACAAGAAACAGGAAGTACAAAAAATGACAGGCTGAACACAAGGATTAGATTGAACGGAGGAAAAGGGGAGCATAAGAAATGAAGGAAAGGTTGACAGAAAATACTAATTAAAATGAGGGATAAGGGAATGCATGGTAAAAGAAAGGGATCGTGAGAAGGAAATAGCATGAGGAAAAGAAGGAAAGAATTAAAAACAGAAAAGAAAGACGTTAAGAAAGAAATAACATCAAGAGGGGAATAATAGAGAAGACAGGAACAGATACAGGAAAGACAAAGATACAGACACAAGAAAGCAAAGAAGTACGCAAGGAAAAAACAAACTGAAAAAGGAAGGCATGAAGGATCCAAAAACAGAAACAGCCAAATTATAGTCAGCGAGGACTTATTAAAGGAAAGGTGGATGGGTGCAACTTTTCAACATCTGGGTACAAAGTATGTCTATTTGTCCAAAATCTAATTTTCTTATTAATCAAGACCCCAAATATCTAAATCAAATGACATATTTACCCAGTTTTTGTTGGAACCCTGATAGTTAATTAGCAATCTGAACGTTGTTTAATACTGATAGCAGATCATGACCGTCCATGCACAGCTGCTTCCTCCAAAGCATACTCCTGCATATTGAGCCACAACAACTGAAGGGAGCACTCCGTCTGAGGCAGCTGCTCTGTGATTGTACAGCCGTATTTGATTATCTGTGGGAGCCTACATTGGTCAGACCACCCAATCTCTCTTAGATTCCCCACATTAGAAGAACTGGAGAAGTAATTACATCGAACTCATGCACATTCTGAAGTATCATTAGAATAGCTTGATGGAAGCAGCAAAATTCTAAACAATTTACTAAAGTTCACAAAAAAGTTTCTACACTCACTTGAGGTGGTTTCTGACTTAAATAAAAAGTAGATGCAGATAAGAGGGGATAGAAACTCATTTGTCTAAAAAGTTCCCATGAAGCAAATACTAACCTCACATGAATGGTCAACTGTTTCTGCTGCCAGCGTCCCATTAGAATCGTATTTATCTCTCGACGTCTCCAGATGGCATCTCACATCACTTACGCGACATAATACATGATAAAGTAGCAAAATGTTGGTCTATTAGTGCGTTTTTTTCCGTGATAGCTTGCTACCTCCATTTCCTGTATATTACAGCCAAGTGTAATGTAAACATATGGAGACATTGTGGCTGGTTATTTTGCTCCAGTGGATGGAACCTTCTAATTCATCTTTTCTCTTTTTTACATTTTTAAAAGTTTGCTCAAAATTTGCTTGAAATTTGAATGGAATCACGACTAAGGCTGGGAGATTGCTTTTGTTGCTAACTAGTTATTGTCATAAGCCATTTTTCACCACTAAGACAATATGGACTAACACAGAGCTTATGGAAAGCAAATCTTTCCATAAGATGCTGGTTTGTTAGGTTTCCAAACTGCTGCTACTTGTTGGATGACTTGCCAGTGATAATGAATGGAAACTCCCCACTAATCTTTAGCACACTGCTTCACACACTGTCTTGTAAATAGTGTTGTTAGAGTGGCTCAGGTTATCCTGAGCGATCTGCTATAGGCTTAGACTGCTGGAGGACATAGGGACCCCTTTTCATCATTCTGCTTCATTCTATCTCTATTTCCCCATTCTTCAGAATTTGTTAGTTAAATCTCTAACATTATGTTCTCTGTACTTTTTCCTCATAGTAGCTTCATCTGGCTTGTTTCTGTTTGGCTGTGACACCATCCTGGTGAGAATTATCAGCTGTGCTGCTGCCATCAACGCCTTGAATGTTGGAGCTTGGCCTGTTTTTCAGTCTGGTTCTGTTTCTCTGACTGTGATTAACTGCATGTGATTTATTTCATCCTTACATGGGATCAGGCTCAGAGCTCGTCTGCAGGCTGTGTGTTTCCTGGACGGGTCTGCCTGTGGAGCTGATTAACAGTTCCCTATTGTATCTCTGCTTCTGTTTGTCTGCTTCTGTCTCCTTGAACCCCAGTCGGCCTCGTCAGATGCCCGCTCTAACTGAGCCTGGTTCTGCTGGAGGTTCCTTTCTGTTTAAAGTGAGTTTTCCTCTTTACTGTCACTACAAGCATGCTTGGTGTGAGGAATTGCTGAAGAGTCAATGAGTCGATGCAATCAACTGGTTTTCCTTAGAAAACTTTGAACCAATTTCACTGTATGATCTGGTTAAATTGTCTCTGTAAAGGGCCTTGAGATGATGTGTGTTGTGAACTGCTGCTATATAAATATACTAAATTAAATTGAAATGGTGCAGATCCACTTGTAGGTTGTCTCTACTGCAGCTGCTTTCCATCATCATTGTGTTGCAGCCAACACACAGGTTCTCACGGTGCCTCTCCGCCTCCAATCAACAGCACAAAACCCTTTCAAGACATCTTTATTTGCACATCTTATCAATTTGTCTTAATATACAGCTAGGATTTCACATTTCATTTCTCAGTGACCCATCCCTTCAAATAACATAACCCCCCCCATGTATGTACAAGTTGTGAAAATGATCATGGCAATAATTAAGTTATTCACTCATGCTAAAATGCTATTTAATGCATAGTTTGGGCCAAAGGGCTCGTGTCTCAGCCCTTTTTGTGAGGAAGTTTCTTCTTCTGGATGCACAACTGTAGCCCTCACAGCTGTCTGTGTGTTTGTGTTAAAAACAGCGAGGCCCACGGGTGTTGGAGAGAGAGAAAGAGTCATGATTATTAAGATTGAGTGGATATGGTTGATTGGCAATGATGTCGTTTCAATACATAGACAACCCCCCTCCCCCCGCTCCAGGATGCAGTAAACAAACTTGACTTCAGTCCATCTAATTATATTTTTCATGCCATTTAAATAGTTCTCACCTTTTCTACAATCTCACATTCGTTTAGATCCGTTAAAGCCTACATATACGACATATATGACGAGTATTGGTGAAAACAGCTCTTCCTGAGAAAGATGTGTGATTCTGAACAATTTCAGTTCTACTCATACAAACAAACAAAAAGGCAAGAAAGTCACAGAATAGTTTCCCTTTTCTTGGTTTCACAGAGCCTCTTGAAAAGCAAAATAATGTTTTTTGGTCACCAATGGCGTCTTCTGTGTGCTCCCAACCTTAAAAAGCTTTGCAGAAATGGGGGCTCAGTTTTGCACCAAACCCAGATCCAAAGTTTCTAATTGTTGGGGGTGGGCGGTGTCACAGATTGTGCTCTGGTTATCACTGTGCACATGCTCATCAGTGGAAAGCCCTTAAAACAGTAATGCTGCAGCCACGTTCTACAAAAACCTTATGACCTACTGAGCAGTAGTAACAACTTTGTGCTCGATTTTCATTGTGGCGCCAGTCCCCTGTTTTTAACAAGTAAAAAGTACCAGTATTAGTTCAAATCTCTGTTTCTGTGTGAAGCCAGTGCTACATCACTGCGGTCTGAGCTCAAACTAGCCCCTTGCTCCTCGTTGCGCTTCAGCGGCGATCACACAGATCCCGTGAACATCTCTGGAGCATCCTCGTTAGTTAACCTCCCGTCTCACTGAGTTTTCTCCCGTGTCCACTTGATCATTGTCTCCGGCGATCGGTAGAGGAAGATGAGTTTGGCATACATGTCTTCTTCTAGGTCCAGCTCCCCTGTCTCTCGGACCAGGAAGATGTCGGTGCACAGCTTGAGGATGCGGTCCACGTTGGGCAGCTCCTCGAACATGATGGTGTGGGAGATGCCACTGAAGAACTCGCGCACAAACTTGCCGATGACCAGAACAACGGAGGCGTACAGACCCATGATTCTAGAGAAGCATGAGGAGAAAGAAAAGACAAAAAGGTTCCTAAGTTAAGTCTGTTGTCATGCAGCTGTCTTCAAAATTCAGTCATAGAGCATGTGTTGGTATATTTTAGCACCTTAAACCAATCAAGCCTTACTAATACTGAGACAAACATAGAAATCAAGAAATCAGAAGATTTTACATTCCAGGAAATCTCTTTCTAGGAAGTCAAACAGTCCGACTTCCTAGTCCCAACATTACTTTTCTAATATCACTTGAGGCAGTACTGCCAAACACCTGAATAGGAACCCGTTGATCTATTAGCACATACCCGTATCCTGCCAGAAAACCCAGACTAGGCGGGCTGACTTGGTCACTAAACACATAGATGTGCAGGCCTGCTTCCTGCTTTTCACCCTCTATCATTATAGGTCCGGGTTTAAGCTCGTCCACAATCCACCATTCCTGTATCTGATCAGATGATTCCTGGGCCCGCTTCAGACTAAGGGAAACGTCAAACATGTTGTCATCACCTGTAGGAATAAGGAAAAATATTTAATATGTAGAAATAAAACTGAAATACTGACATCCATCCATTGATTCAGACAGAAATCCAATAAATTAAAACATATTTAACTTGGAAATAAACATTCACTGACAATTTCAGAATAAACTCGGGGAGCATTAAGTTAAAGTTTGGATATTTCTTGATTACGTTTTTTTTTTATGGGTAACCTGATAAAATAAGATTGATTTTTGTTCAAAAGCTGCTCACCAAGCTGTTCGACAGGAGTGGCATCTGAGTCACTGGGGGCTCGAATGTAGCGCGGAATCAACTTTGGGATAGTCCTGCAGAAAAAGGCTCATCATTAACCATCATTTTGTTGGAGTAAAAAAGCCAATTATCTTTTTTGATGCTTTATGGTCATTTTTTGACATTTTAATATCAAATAGCCAAAACAGATAAGAGGAGGTTTCCCACCTGCCAGGAAATAGATTTACTTACACTTTTAAGTTGCCTTCTGTCCCATTGAGAAGTGTAATGAGCTCATGCCTTGTGTCGTTTCCTAGAGTTAACACGTTTTTCCCAGATGCTGTCTCAGCTTTGGCACCAAGACTCAGGTTCCTGTCAACAGGGGACGAGAGTAAAAAGCAATGTCTTTATGTGACTCTATGAATATGATGAAACATCTGAGAGGAGTCTGGGGAAAAAAAGCAAAAAAAGATGCAAAATTTATCCAAAAAACAACAACAAAATAAAGTTGATGATATAAATCATGTACATAGAGCATGAATTGGTATTTTGGAAGATTTGTTTCAAGTTATCGTAGAGATATTATGGACAAAGGATTAAAATATGCAGGATGTTTGCTTTAACCTGAAGGTCATGTAATATAAGGCCCTGTCGCATTTCTATCACTTGCATTCATTTTGGGTCCTTGCCCTCGGCAGTGCTTGTTCAGGTGTAAGGTTAGTGTGTCCCAATAAGTTTAAGAACTAGGGGTAAGTGCCCTTGAACCCTCAAAATATTCCCTTCAGGCCAAGGGTGGTCAAAAGCCGACTTGAAAAGGCTTCCCAGAACTCATTTAGAGAAAAGAAAAATGCCGTGTGGCCGTGGAAAAGAACTGCATAAATTTAAGTACATTTTTTACAATGTGTTTAAAAAAAATACTCATGACGTAGGTGAACACGTCACTGAAGTGTACAGGCAATGTATTACCGCTATCTACTGGGCTGTTTAGCAACTTGTAGTGTCCCATTTCTTAGGGAGAAAATCTTGACTTGCACTTCCCTCATTGAGTGGACTTCGCTGTGGAGGGAACTCACTGGAGTGTTCTCAGATTCAAGTAAGAGAAATGAGACTGGGCCTTGAAAGATGAAAGATCTTTATTTTCTACACATATAGAACATAAAAACAAAGAAGCTTAGATTCAAACTAAGAATCACGGGCATTCTGGTTCTAAGACAGAATAGAGTCAGTTTTACCGGATTGGGCGGTTTACCGCCCAGTTGGGCTGTTTTCATTTTGATTTTGAGGGTAAAAATTGCTTTGGGCGGAGGGAAATTTTTTGGGCTTGAGTTAAAGGAATAGTACACCCAAAACATGATTAGCCTTCATTTTCTACTCACCTCCATGCTGAACAACACTCTGGAGTACTTTTTTGATATCTCAAATGCATCTGGAGATCTGGGAGGCTTCTTGCTGTCTGCTGACATTCAAATAATGGAGGTCCATGGCGCCCGAGACAGAAAGGTCCATAAAAGTCCACAAAAACGTGTCAATATTCCTCCATACTGCTCGTCCAATGTAATCCAAGTGTCCTGAGTGGGTAGCATCCAGAATTTACTCGAAACGAAGTCATTTAGAATGTTTTTAGAGCATAAACAGTAGTGTATAGGATTTCCTAATAGCGCCCCCATGCGCGCTCACGATTCTACGGAAGCCGGCAGACCAAACCAGCGCATTCAGCTCGGCAAAGAACTCATGCTCTTCCTCAACACTGAAGTCCTCAGACATTTTTCTTTCGTTGTTTCTTTCTTTGCACAGGTAAACAGCACATTTCTTCTTCTACGCTTGCATTATCGGCAGACCAGACGCTGAATGCGCACTTTCTTCCGGTTTGGTCTGCCGGCTTCCGTAGAATCGTGAGCGCGCATGGGGGCGCTATTAGGAAATCCTATACACTACTGTTTATGCTCTAAAAACATTCTAAATGACTTCGTTTCGAGTAAATTCTGGATGCTACCCACTCAGGACACTTGGATTACATTGGACGAGCAGTATGGAGGAATATTGACACGTTTTTGTGGACTTTTATGGACCTTTCTGTCTCGGGCGCCATGGACCTCCATTATTTGAATGTCAGCAGACAGCAAGAAGCCTCCCAGATCTCCAGATGCATTTGAGATATCAAAAAAGTACTCCAGAGTGTTGTTCAGCATGGAGGTGAGTAGAAAATGAAGGCTAATCATGTTTTGGGTGTACTATTCCTTTAACCTATTAAAACACCAGTCCACAGCTCATTCATTATTACTGGTTCATAGCAAAGTCTACCTCACCTTTCTCCATCACTGATTAGCTAATGTCATCTGCCAGGGTGTTTACAACAGAGAACTAGTGTAGTATGCTAGTTTGAGCAGCAGGTGAATCTGGTGTGATAAACCTGCCGCTGATGATCGATGCATTGTGATTGGAAGAGAAATCTTTTTAAGATGCTAGAGGAAACCACTGCTTTCGGGATTTAGTGCTTGGTGCAATTAAACTCCTTACCCTTCCTATATCAAATGCGTCATTTTAAAGAGCTTTTTAACAAGTTGCTCTGCTTAAAGATAACTCCAGAAACCGCATGGGCCTGCCGATCCTGTCAAGTTTGATGGATGTGTGAACTGAACTAACACGGAATGCTTGGACATCAGCAACATTCTGTCCATCCCGAAAGTTATTAAGGAGATTTAATTCAACCATGTACCGATCAAAAATCACGTTTTATCATGCAAAAATACCAGGATCATAGCATTCTGGTTTCTGGCATTCTGTTTTTTGTTTTCTCTCTGGAAGAATATAACCCACATTGTACTTTAATTTTTGTTAAATCGCTTGAAAAGCATTATTTTTTTAATCTTCATAACCATTCTTTAGCCAATTGAAAGCTGCCAATGGGCAAAAATATAAAGTTCTAAAACATCTTATTTTTCTTTTCTTATAAACCAGAAACATCACATCTACTCAGCCAAATAGAGCTGATTAGTATTCAATGTTTCCAGATGTTTAGTCCTTCTAATTCATCACTGAATTAATTAATAACTAACACCATGTATTCTATCATTGAAACTCTAGTTGTAGTTAAAACTCCAAAAACAAGAAAGCTTTTCAAATTCTTTGATATTTTAGATCATATAAAGTAACCGCATCACTACTTTCACTGAGCTTTTTTGAGAGGTAACTAGTAACTATACCTAGTTACTAGTAAAGTTCCCAACTCTATGATAAAAGAAGTCAAAATCAAAGTAAAGCTTAATAAAACTGTATTCTGGTTATTTGGATCTGTTACATGTATTCACATAGTACCTTTGCACAGACCAGGCGACAGTGATTTGGAAAGCTTTATCATTTGCTCCCAACATGTCTATCAGGTTTTGTCTGCTGGGTGGGCTGATGGTCCACAGAGAGTTGGAGCTGCCCTTGAGCTGCGCGATGACCAGATCGTCTTTAATATAGGTCTCCAGCCACTCTAACGCCATCTGACCAGAGCACAATATGAAAACAGCTTTAAGTGAAGGACCAAGTTAGAATAAAACATTGCTTTATTGTGTTTAAAATTGTACATTAGATTTGGAGTCATGGTCTCTTGCTATCAGTCTCTGAAATTCAGTAAATCCTGTGTCGTTCGCAGTGTGGAGCTGTTGCTGTTGAGCACTCATGGTGAAGATGGGCTGCGAAAATAAAAAGTAAATTATACACCAGCTTTGGAAAAATCTGCAGCTTCAATAGCAGAAGTTGAAGTAATGGCACAGAAATATGTTCACATGCACAGCACAATCCAGATAAATGTCTGTAAAATGCCTGAAATAACTTGTCTTTTATTGTATAGAAATATTAGAATTTCTGATCTTTATTTAATTTTAATTATTTAATATGTGCAGAAGGCCGTTTACACTTAGCCTGGTTCTGCTAGATGTTTTTCCTGTTAAAAGTGTCTTCTTTCTTTCCACTGTTGCTTCATGCATACTTGATATGGACGACTGCTGCAAAGTCAATAACACAACGCAAGCAAGTGTCCACTGTGGCTAGCAGATTACCAGGAGGAGTAAATAGTTTGGATCAATGACTCTATGCAATCTGTCCTTGGAAAAAGTTTTAATCAATCTGTCTTTATTATTAGACTAAACTGATGTCACGTTTCCAGAGCTGTGGGAGTGGCTGTGTGTCTTTTCCCTTTTCTCTAACATGCTGGCAGGCTAATTGAGTCCAGCTGGGTTCCTCAATTACCTCAATCAGCGGTCGCCTTTAAGAAGGAGCAGTCTCCCTCAAGCAGACAGTTATTGTATTCAGAGTGGTAACGAGCCAACTTAGAGAAATTTCAGCGTTGAGTTTTTTTTACCCTCCTGTTGGTTCTTCTCTCTCTAAAACCTGATTGTACTTCTCTGCTTCAGGATCCACTTGGGAAAAGACTCCTGTCAGCAGTGTTGGGAAAGTTCTCTTTCTACGTGAACTAGTTCAAAGTTCAGTTCACACATTTTAAAATGAACTAGTTCAGTTCATAGTTCATAATTCAAAATTTTGAACTAAGTTCACAGTTCCAAAAAATGAACTAGTTCATAGTTCTTTTTTTTTTTTTTCATATATTGCTTCATTACACCATAGCCTACTGTAGAACCACAGACAGCAATTATTTTATCAGTTGTAACTCTGAAACTGTGCGTCAGATTTCATCTTCATTTCCAGTTTTGAATCCTTATCCAACCAGGATTTCCATTAGCAATGAGGGGACATCATTTCCCAATTGTTGCTTTAACGCTTTGTTGCTGTCCATTCACTTCACACTAGTAGCAGCTGCAGCTTTCACCCCTACAGTATATTCTCAAAAACATCAGGAAAAATGTGCTGCTTGAATGGTCTTTTTTATGAGGAATTATTAAAAGAAGAAAGTAGTCTTTAAGGAGCAAATGTTTTTTTTAATTTTGATATTTTTTTCCATTTGAAATTTAATTTCAATACATGCTAAAAAGGAATCCTGGAAAATTATACCAGGCAGGTTTAAGTGCGGATTTTTTTACTGAAAGCCGGCGGGCAAAGTTTGCAGAGAAATGTAAGATTGTTGCCATCATCCTCACCGACCACCTGGTCATAAACCTGTTTTAAGTGATCATACTGCTGCTGTGGCTTCCACGCTGCATTTTGTTTTGATGACGCACGCGGCTGTAGGCTACGACACTGTAGCTGGTGTTGCCAGATTGGGTGTTTTTCCCGCTACATATTAAGGCCTGTTTACGGTGTGATTTAGCCGGGGTTTCGCCTGGAGGACTCTATAGAAATCTGGCAACCTATTGAACGGAGTTGAACTGAGAGAGCGTGCCGTTCACAGACGCCAGAATGAACGAGTTCACAATAACGTTCATCAGGCAGTAATACAGTACGTTCAGTTCACGTTCGCCCAAAATATGAACGAGTTCATGAACTTTCGTTCAATGAATGCGTTCAGGCACAACACTGCCTGTCAGATCTACCTCCCCCGAGGCTTCCGTCCTGCTCCTTCCTCAGGCTCACCAACTTGGCCTTCACAACCTCTGGCTCAAACCTGTCCACCCTCATCTCCAAACAACCTGAAAGACCAGTGTCTCCAATCTCAAACCCCAACATCCACTTCCAACCAGCTAAGAACGTGCTTCATGACTGCCATCCCTATTCTTTTTTTAACCTTTTAACTTTCACTGCAACTTAGGATACGAGTTTAAACAAGGAACCATTTTAAAGGGCATGTTTTTGCCTGTCCCATTTTGCAGAGTGGTTATGCATCTGTGTTTACATGTTGCATTTTCCTTGATATAGTTTTTCATATTTCAGGGGCATGTTAAGAGATAAAACACGAATTTAAAGTTAATTCACTTTAAAAAAAACTACAATATAACCTATAGTTGCATTTATTTCACAGGAATTGGTGGGGTAAAGGAAAGCTCTGTGATATATAGGCGATTCTTGAAAAAGAGGTATTAATTTTAAGACAAAAAAAAAACTAAATGTCCACCTGAAAGCCAGCCAGGGTGATTTTCACCGAAACGTCCAGGGGAGTGTTGACGACCCCAGCCACAGATTTGACCAGCGACATGAAGAGAAGCGGGAACCAGACGATACAGATGAGCAGCACCACAATCATTCCACCCATCCCGTATTTCACCACTTTCTTCTTCTTCTGGCCTCGAGGCTGAGGGTATCTCTGCAGAGGGATTATATGAAAACCACACCTTTTATCGAGTGTTTTTGTATCTGCTATGTGTTTTCTGTGTTAACTATAAACCCTTAAAATAGCAAAAAAAAAAGAAAAGAAAAGAAGTAAAATAAAATATTTGCTTTTATTTTCTGTCAAATTTCTGATTGAAAATTGAGTGGAAGGAAAAACTTTGTTCCAATAGGGAACAAACAAAAGGGATGGCCACACCTTCTCAGATTCTCTCCAACATTTGAGGATGAAAATGTGAGCATATATGTCCTCAACACAGATCCAGCTGGACAAGGACAGCGAGGTGTCGGTCCAAACCCAGTCCATCACTGCTCGCAGCTCCGTCAGGAAAGGTACCAGGCGGAAACTGAAACACAAGCCACAATTTAATGAGGTTTAATGAGGTGACCTAAAAAATATCTCTTAACAAATCTTAATAAGGAATGTATTTCAGTTGCTGGAGGAAAGGCTGATAAATTCAGCAACATCCTCAGGCTAGAAACAAATCATCTGTTATTGGGAAACACATCTATTGACCCATAAAACGTTTAAGCCAAGAGGGAAAATCTGATGTTGGAATTAAAGGTAAATACTGGATTGGACCTGATGGCCCAGATCTCAGAAACAAAGCTCACCCTTGAAACAAGAAGAGGTTGACATAGTTGTAGCTCTTGGTGAGGAAGTTTCCCAGAACACGGGTGGGATAACCGCAGCGGATCTGATAGGCTGACAGCCCAAAGTAGATACACTTGACGAAATACCACATCTGAGCCACCGTGTTCTCGCTGAAACGTCTGAGAGAAGAACAGCCGGAACACAGTTGGTCAGAATATTTCTTTTAATCATTTTTTCCATGGTGAAAGAATTATACAACAAAAAACTTTACATCAAAAAACTAAAACATTTAGTTTAGTTAGATTTCTTCCACAACACATGATAAAAAGTATCAACATGGGGTCAAATGTTGCATTCTTTTTTCTGGTGGTCTATCAGTTAAAATCTGTACACTCAGGTTAGCTGTAACTAAACATTTGAAAAGTTCTAGGGGTGTAAATACTTTCTAAAGGCTCTGCCTTTCATTGCAAATTAAACAACTCACTTTTCAGTGACGCCTGGCAGGATGAAGAACATCCAGAAGTGGATCCCAAAGACCAAGATGACCTGGAAGATGACCTTCCCCATCACAGTCTTCCTGAGGTAGAGGGCCCGGTCCACCACCATGGTGCCGAACTGGATCAGAACCATGACCAAGAAGGGTCCGGGAACCTGATCCTCTGATAGAGACGAAGTAATGTCCGCACTCGAATGTTTCTAGGAATTAAGAAAAGAAGAACTTTGATGATTAATTCGGCCTTTTGGTAATATTTGCAGGACTCAGATTTTCCTTTACCTCCTGGACGATTTTTGTATTTCTTAAATAGCTGAACCTGGGAAAACTTCAATTTTATTGCTGCGGTGTGCAGGAGTAAAGTATCCCTCTTTAAACCAAATTTCCTGTAAACCAACTTTCAAACAAAAGCCACAAGTGGCGAGATCTTCAAAGAAATCAAAATCTTCCACAAATGTTGTAGTTTTTATATTTTCAGTGTTTAAGTTGTTCAATAATCTCTTTAAATAGACCATGTAACCGAGACCTGACTGATCCCAGCAAAAGGTATGTCTCCACCACAATCACTTACCGGTAGATGACTTGGGGTGAAAAACCTGAATTATTATCCAACAATCATTTTTAGAGTGGATTAAAAAATGGACATTTGAAGCTCAGCATGGCCATCCATGTACTAATGTCATCAATAGAGGTAAGTATAATTTGTGCAAAGGACAAATATGGAGCAACTGATAAACATATTTTTGTTGCTAAAATCCACATCTTAATTATCATGCATTTTAAAGGAGATTTAAGAAAAAAAGTAAATTCCATGGTGGTCATTAGAGAACTTAGGCTACGTTCACACTGCAGCCTGAAGTGACCCAAATCTGATTTTTTTTTGCCCGTATGCGACCTGGATCTGATCTTTTCATGACAGTCTGAACAACACAGATTCGATTTTTTCCAATGCGATCCAGGCCACTTGGCTATGTGTCTGAACGGCCAGGTCGTATTCATCTGAGTTGAACGTCATTAATACCCGACAAAGGTCACTATTATGCATCTTGCTACGCAGAAGCGGCAAGAAAAACGAAAACCATGGTGGAAGATGCGAAGAGCAGTATTTATGTTTAACCACATTAAAAAGATTGTGTTTTTATGTTTGGAAAAGACCGCTAGATGTGTGCTGGAACTCCCGTCCATGTTTACTTCTGGAAAAAAAGAGCACGCTGGCCTGTGACGTTATTGCATCCTCTAGTGCACATGCGGGACACTTACATTGTATGACTGCAGTTCACACAGGAGATCACATACAAGTCGCATATATTTGAAATGTGAACGGCAATGCAAAAAAAATCGGAATTGAGCATCAAGGCCTGCAGTGTGAATGTAGCCATAGATTGGAGCCCAGGGAAGCAAACAGGAGGACAAAATTATAGCAGGACAGAGACTTACTCCAAACGCCCAGAACCCAAACACAATGATGATGAAGTCTACAGTGTCAGCGAGGAACATCAACACATAGACGTCTGTGACGGCGCTGTACTCCGGGTGGATCAGGTTGTAGAAGAACTGCTTAATAGGTAGGTAGATCTCCAAAAACCTGCAGGGAGCGGGACAGATGTTATTAATCAGAGACAACGCTTACGAAATCCTTCCGTCAACATCCTGTTTTTCTCTGAGTTTGTCAGGGTTGAGGGCTGAGGTCATTTTTTTAATCAGAGAAAGCATCATTAGTGAGACAACCGTGTCAGGAACGATTAGGGTTAACTCACTGTTCTAGGCATAAGGTCTACGAAACCACTCACTCCATCATGATTACATTTAGCAGAATAACAAGCTTTGATCGGCTGCCGCAGCACTTACAAAAGTGCCACTGAACAGCCTGACGGGAATGCTGTAATTAAAGGTCTAACTTTAGACTCGTAAAAGGTTTTAGCAGGATAAGATGTGTCTCCGTCATCATTTAGCAACAATATTCTGATCCATGCTCTCAAACTGTGACAGAGTCAGGGGAGAAATTAAAAAAGGGTGGGTCAGCTTCAGTGTCCGTGCAGGTTTATTCTACCGCTTTATGATGAAAGCCTTGGCTTTAAAGAGCTGCTCCCTCAGCTTCTCCATGATCATCTGTTTGCGGGTCTTCTGGTGGACACTGGCCTGACTGCCGTCCTTGTGGCTGCTGTTGCGGGAAGCCGTACTTCCTGTGGGAAGAATTTACATTTTGAGCTGTTAATGATCCGCGAGGAGACACTTAGACATGATTTGGTGCTGAGACTCACAAACAAGGTGCTACCTTCTGCCTGAAAACTAAAGGGAGTCCATTTTCTGTTGTTTTGCAAAGCCATGATTTTTACACATACACAAAAGGCTTTTAATGATAATCAAACTTGGAGAAAAAAAAGACAAGGTAACATAAATCACCTCTCTTCGATCTTGCAGAAGAAACTCGAGATCGATAGGAAACATGTGAGCCTCCACTGGAGCTTTTTCTCCTCTGGTAGGTCTGAGGCTGTGAGTAATGCACCTGGACCTGCTCTGAATCAATGGAGGTCCCAAAGGTCATGGACCTTAAGGTGTGACTGGAGCCTCTCCTGGTGTCGATCAGCGATGAGGCCGGCTCAGACTCCTTCTCGCTTTCCTCCTTCTCTCTCCCCTCTTCCTCAGATTCGCTCTGGCTCTGACGAGCCGCCTCCTTCTTCTCTTTGGGCTGGTCTTCGTCCCACAGACCATGACACTGAGGAGAAGAATAAACAAATGAAGCAATAAAGAAAATGGCATCCAGTTGCAGAAAAAAATTGCCAATTTTTAACATTTTAAATATTGGTGCGTGAACTATACAGAACTGAAAGGTTTACAAGAAGATTGAAATTAGTCAAAAAGCATCAGGCGTTTCCAGCTTCAGTTTTTTCATAGCTGCACTACTGTTTTGCCTTTGATTCAAATTACTACAAAGGTGAAGTCATCCAGCTGAAATCACTCTAACTAGGAGAGTGGTTGCTATTAAACTAAGAGATATTTGGCACTTGTTTTCTCAAAAGAAATGACAAACTACTGCTTGGAAAATATTTCTGGGAAGAAACACTTTCTAGATCAAGGATTCAAAGTAAGATTCTGCATTTAATTCTACATAATTTCCACCGATCTTTAGCCATGACTACACCTCTTTTTTCACAGTCCTCCTCTTTTCTTTTCCTAATAAATCTAAACCTCATCCATCTGTTTTCTTTACACAACAGGACAACAAAGACAAACAGGTCAAGCAACCCCCAAAGAGACCAAATAACCGAGAAGTCATGTATTTTGAAGCAGAGCGGAAATACACCAAGAGAATCCTGCTGCTGCTTGTCTTCTTCACACCTTAATGGGCTGTGGTCTGTACTTTTATAGTGCTTTTTCAAGTCAGAGGACTTGACCAAAGCGCTTTGCACTACAATCAGTCATTCAGCCATCCATGCACACAGTCACACACTGATGGTGGCAGTATACATTGTAGCCCTGGGCTCACTGAGAGAGTCAGGCTGGCATATACTAGTGCCACCAGTCCTCCAACCACCATTATTAGGCAATGCAAGTAAGGTGTCTTGCCCAAGGACACAATGAACAGTCCCTTGGCTTGACACTGAAACCAGAGCCAGGGCTTGAACCGACAACCCTCTGTTTGTAGGGCAAACTCCTTCAGCTGACGCCACCTTCGCCACCTTAAGACCCCAGGAAGCAAGGGCCTTCTTTCTGCAAGGTAACAGCACTACTATAGCTGCTCCACCATTAGGGCCAGATCTAAACATCTTTAATCAAAAAAACAATTAGATTTTCTGCTCTTGCAGTTCTGAGTGTTAGTGAGCTTAGTGTGAGGTGCATAGTTATGGGACTGCGTTTTTAAATGCTTGTACCTTTAGGATGGACCTATGGAAGAACAGAGCCAGCAACTGGACCAGATCATAGTGGACGTATCCATCTTTTTTCTCTACACCAATGATGTTGGGAGGGTGATATGGTTTATTCCTGTCTAGCTTGTTCTGGTTGAAGGGGAAGAAGCCAAACTGGAAGAAGTACTTGATGACGATGGTAACCTGGAAGGGAAACAGATGAGTGCATTCAGTCTTCTTGAAATGATCGAGAAATCTAATAAAAAGAAAGCATAACTGAATATTCCGCAGCTGTTTCATCTCCACTTTTACCTCTGTGTAGATGATGGCCGTCATCCAGTAGCGCTTACTGGGCCGCGGCACCGACAGCATGGCCCAGAGGAAGATGGTGATGGGAAGGACCAGGGTGACGAAGGAGGCTGACACCATGTGGTTGATGATGATGACCAAGTAGCAAACAAACTCTGAGTGGGCGACCAGCATGTTGTAGAGGGCGTAGCAGAACTGCAGGATCAGCGGCTGAGATTGGTAGAAATGGTCTGACTCTTCCAGCTCCTCATCATAGAACATCCTGAACACAGAGGGACAGGACTGAAAAAACTGGGAACTAGGGTCATCTTCAGTAAAAATAGGGCAAAAGAAGAAAAGCTAAGAAGGTGTGAACACATTTTGCATGGTAATAGAACCCAAGAATTATCAGTCCCCTGCTTTGATTCAATGTTACTTTATAAGACAACCTAAAACCTGCTTAACCATCTGGCTATCTACTATGTAACTTCATCTACATTTTGCTTGACTGTTCTATCATGAAACGCAGTGGTGGCAGCATCATGGTCTAGATTGACAGGATTACTCAGTAAACCTGGAAAAAATTTCAGGGTGATTGTGGTAGAAAACATGTTTGAAGGCTCTAAGTTGATGATGGAAGTTTAACCTTACAGCATCTAAGAGGCCCTTAATAAACAGCTAGTTTTATGTTATGAGAAAAATGAGCAAACATCTCACTCCCTGGATGTCAAAAACTGGAACAGGGAAGCACAGTGTAGATAGTATTGAGTTTTTAGCAGCTGGACTTACTTGTTGAGCAGCAGTTCGCTGGCAGTCAGCTCAGTGGTCATAGAGGGCAGCATGATGTCTGACCTGCTGTCTGAATGGCTGTCAGATGTCATGACCATGCGCCTCCTCCTGTAAGAATCACTTTCATCGTCGCTGACCTCCAGGCGGTCAAAGCTCACCGCCTTACTGTAGCTGGGAGGCACTTCAGCATCTGACGTTTTGGAGGCGTCTGTGTCGGGGGTGTAGAGCAAGACGGACTGACCTTCTGTCTGCACGAAGTCCTGCCGTCCTCCTCCGCCTTCGCTCCCGCTGATTGAGTCGTTCTCCTGAACAGAGGGACTGTATTCTGCTTCATCGTGCCTCATCGAGGGCCCTTCATCTGGGCTGAAGGCCTCGGAGGGAGCTCTTTCTCTTTCCTGGTCTTCTCGTACCTCCCATCCTCCAACCTCCTCACCTTCCCGGTGCTCATCCTCGTCGTCTTCAAAACTTCTCCTGTCCTTTGGTTCCTCCTCACCGTCCTTTGGTTCCTCCGCTCCGTCCTTTGGTTCCTCCGCTCCGTCCTTTGGTTCCTCCGCTCCGTCCTTGGGTTCTTCCGCTCCGTCCTTGGGTTCTTCCGCTCCGTCCTTGGGTTCCTCTAAACTGTCCGTTGGTTCCTCCTCTCCGCCCTCTGGTTCCTCCTCTACGCCCTTTCGTTCCTCCTCTACGCCCTTTCGTTCCTCCTCTACGCCCTTTGGTTCCTCCTCTACGCCCTTTGGTTCCTCCTCTACGCCCTTTGGTTCCTCCTCTCTGCCCTCTGGTTCCTCCTCTACGCCCTTTGGTTCCTCCTCTACGCCCTTTGGTTCCTCCTCTCCGCCCTTTGGTTCCTCCTCTCTGCCCTTTGGTTCCTCCTCTCTGCCCTTTGGTTCGCCCCCTGCTTCCTGATCCTCCTGATGCTGTTGGGAATCCTGCTGCCGCTTGACTTCTCCTTGATCCTGCTCGTCCTCCACTTCCTCAATGGTGTCTGTGGTTCCTTGTCTGGAGGAGATCAGGACGGACTGAGTGGTTTCACTAAACAGGACAAAGTACACAAACACAAAACATTCATCTCACACTAGTGCTGTCTATTTTTTTTTAATTCTTTGTTTGCCAAAATAAAAACTTTTAAAAGAAAATGGATGAAACCAAAAATGAGATGCAGCAATGTTTTTATGTGAGCAAAATGGAGCCAATATGAGACCTGGACATGAAGCTGCTGCAGCTGTCTTCAGAGTAATTGGGCAGGTCCATGCTGTACATCTTCCGTAGGCTGGACCTGGGACGCTGACTGGTTTTGGGAATGGTCTCCGGCTTTGGGTCAATGTCTTCCAGAGTGGACTGGCAGGACATCAGCGTGGTGGCCTCCGTGAAGCCACTGACAGGTGGTAATGGGATGAGATGATGAGTAGCAGTGGAAGGACAAACAATGTTGTTTGAAAAAATTCAGTAATGATGCAGGATGGTTAAAAAAAAAGAACAAAAATAGAGCGAATGGATTCCATGTATTGATGCTGAAAGGATGTAACCTATATTTCTCTCCATAAACAGAAGCTTAATTGGCCATAGATTAAATATTATAATATCTTCACCCCAAAATTGCAACAAATTACATCAACATTGATATTTTGTGTTCAGGTTTACTATTTAACAGACTAAGTTTTCGAGAAACAGCCTATTAATCCAACCTAAGGTGGGGCGTTACCCAATAAACAACTAGTGGAGCTGCTACCACAGCAAAACGGAGACAGAGGAGTATAAAGGCTTGATTCCCTTTATAGAAACATACTATATTAGTACATTATTAACAAATATATCGTAGTAGTGTCAGAGTAAATAGTGTTTCACTGAACTGATTATTTCTCTTGTATTTAAACATAACGCCCTTTTTACATTCTGGCCCATTTACTGAAATTTAGGAAAGGCTGGATGGTGATTGTACTTTAAAGCTCCCAGAAAGTTAAAGTCACAGTATTTAAGGTAAATGGGGACAGATTTGTTGATTATTTTAAGGCAACACCTCAAACACTTTGCTTCTTTGGGAGACATCATGGAAAAACTTAATGAGATCAGGGAAGATATTAGGAAGAGCATTGTGGACCTCCATAAGTCTGGATTATCCTTGCAGATGGCGCTCTGATCCCTAAAGGCGACAAAATTATCTGTTCAAATATGTATGCTAGTATAAACATTGTGGAAATGTCAAGCAATCGCATTGCTCAGGGGGGGGGGAATGGTTTCTATGTCCTAGAGATACACTTGGGTTGGTGTGAAATATGCATAGCAATCCCCAGAACAAAAGCAAAGGACACTGTTGAGATGGTTGTTAAAGCTGGGTGGGTCATTATCCACAAGTCGTGCAACAACATGGGCTGAAAGGCCATTCAGTGAGGATGAAGTCATTACTCCATAAGCAACATAAAAAGCCAGAATACAATTAGTAAATGCACTCAGAGACAAAGACCTTATTTTTCACGACATGGCCCATGGTCAGATGAAAGTGGAATGGAAGTACTGAGCCATAATGGCCACCATCACATTTAAAGGAATGAGTCATGAGCCTGAGAACAGCATCCCTACTATGAAGTAGAGAGGTGGCAGCATCATGCTGCAGGATGGGTTGGTGCACTTCCATTTGAAATTGACAATCACTCTGTTCATACCACTAACTTAGTTACAACATTCTTCTGTCTGGAAGTTATTTGGATGTAGGTAAACTATTATAAGAAGCTTTAGGACGGATATCTGAGACAACTGATCCATTCTAACCACCACCTGATTGAGCCTAAGGTCAGGAAAAAGACAGCTGGCAAGCATGTTGTCAAAGCAAAGCTAAAGACCCACTAATTTTTCTTTATGTTTCCTTATATATGTATTTAACTGTTTAATTTTATATTTCTGTTTTATCCATTTCTAGTTTCTCTTTTTATGTATTATTTATCTGCTTGTACAGCATTTCGATAAAAAGTGCTTTAACAATGTTAATGTTATTAAACTTAATCTCACAACTCTACCAAATACTAAGGTAATAGATATAGACAATAAAGAAAAGAGAGTCAGAAAAAACTCCAATGTTCTAGTTTATTCTAGTTTAAACTGAAGGTGTTCCAAGCAATGAGACTGCCATCAAATAAGAAAAAAAATGTATCAATTCTTCACCAAAAATTAGAAGCAAAATAAGTTAAAGAAAGTATTTTTCTAAATAGTTGTTGATAAATTAGGGTAGTAGAACAACAATAAACTTAATTAATTTAGCTTTATAGGCATTGATTGGTTATGAAGTATTACTGCACAATCAAAATAATATATTATGAAACGTTTATTATAAACATGTCCAAAACAGTATGTGTGGTCCTAAAACAAATATAACTGTCAGTAATTTGAAGAAACAAGTATTGCATCAGAATTCTACCGAAAGTCCACATATGTAATAACTACTCATATGGGCAGTTTGTTTAAAACACACGCATGTAAACTACCATTCATGCCCCTTTTGAATTTTCTATGATTATAGATTTAATATTAAAAAGCCCCAAATATATAATAACCACGAGTTCATGCTCATTTTCTGCACTTGTAGTTCGCTTTTTATGCACCTATAGATTCTCTCACATTCGGAACTGATGCTCAATTCCAAACCGCTCACTAAACACTAACCCTCAACTATCAAGTGTCACTGGCAATAAAGTCACACTCACAGCTGTGGAAGGTGCCTGGATTGTATGTGGGGGGGTGTACACGTGAATGGAATGGCCTCTTGCGTCCAACGGAAAGGGAAAGCAGTCATTGCATTGCTGTAGTTCTGTGGTGCAGGTTAAAATTACATCAAATATTTTATATTTTCTTAAAAATAAATCCATCCAGTCAAATAAAAGTATTAAGGGGACCTTCCATTTAGGGATTTATGGATTAATGATTTTTTTCTTTTTCCTAACTTGCAATTTTCTATCAGTGTGATGAAGATGCAGTAAACCAGCGGAACTTACATTTGAGTGCACGCGTTTCCTCCACCACCAACTCGCCGTTACACCTGCTGCCAAATTAAAGCCAGTCTGCACTGATGCTGACTCACTATTTAAGAGCTAAACAGCCCTTATATAGCGCACAGAAATAGGTCCACCTGTACGGAGGAGGGAGGCCACGTATTTGAGGAAATCAAACCACACGCACACAGAGAAGGAGCGAGCACTTGTGTGTGTGTGACATATTCGGGCCCCTTGGTACTCTATTTGCTCATGCAACATGTTAAACATCTGCATCAGGAAGTTTTGAAATAAAGCTGCTTGTGGAAGTATTCATTGCATGTGTGGATTTGTGTGGAATCCTGACATAACAAACAAGAAGATATTTATTATCTGAATAAGTAATAAGTATTATCATATGTTATGTCAACAAATGTTAAGTTTATTATTATATATTTAAAAACATCTCAACTATAATTTATACTATTTTGTAAAATTCAACCAATGGAAAGGTATACTATATAGTAAAACCTGAAAAATAAGACTTAATTTCAATTATTTCATGTTTTTTTTTTTTACAGCATTTAAAAGATTTTATATCTAGATGATCTATCCAGAATTGGGCTCACTGTACCTTGACATGCTGTCTCTGGAGGCTGTGGAGTCCTGGCTCTCCAAGGGGTACCCTCTTCGTCTCCTTCGACCTTTTGTGGAGCCTGAGGCTGACCCGTCATCACTGAGCATATCAATGCTTGCCTGCCTGGAGATGTTCAGTCTCATGGCCTTCTGGTAGTAGACATGGATGCTCTCTCTGGATGGCACATTTCCCTAGCAGGAAAAAGTATGTTTATTTGTAAATGATAATCATGATTTACATTGACTCTTTAGGATTCTGGATATAAGGATTTCTTTTGTTTTGTGTTGCAGATCTAAATGCTCAAAGCAGCAAACAAATGTTAATATCGGACAAATACAACTTGAGTAAATGCAATTTTCATATAACTGTCCTCTGCAGCTAAAACATGAACTCCTCACCTCTGTATTTTCTCAGGCTATGTCTGCCTGATATAAACAAAAAGTGAATAATTCTTTGATGTGACAAAGACTTTTCAGGCATCACATTAAAATCTACCTTTTTGACCTCGCGTGTCAGCATGCATCGCTCAATACGAAGCACCGTAGATATGTCAATGTACTCCCGGCACATGTCGTTCATCCAGTTGGTGAAGCTCTCAACCGTTGTCTGGAAGAGCACCCAGGTGAACTTTATGATGTTGAACACTCGCTTGATGATGTTGTCTGCGTGACAAATGGCAACACAGGCTAGTTTTTTTCTTAAAGGTAAAATGTCATAGCAAAAAGCCCCTAAATAAAAAGAAGCAGAAGTTTATAGGTGCAAGGCCTTTAATTTGTTTTGTTTAAAAAAAAACAAAAAAACATGACTTGATTATTGAGAATAAATTGTAACTCAAAACTTGGTGCTCTGGATGTCAAAAACTACCTGGACCAGCAGACTTCTTGTTCTCCTCTTCCTTTTCCTGTCCATCTGATGATAGCTCCCCCACCTCTATGGCAACATGACCTGCTGAACAATAAAACAGATGCCTCAAAATCTCTTAAAACACTCACCTATTAGAAAGAGATCACATGTTTAAAAATTCCTTAATTATATTATCATATTTTTCAGGCTAAATGTGACTTCATTGACTCAAACAAAGGTATGGTGAGGCTTACTAATGTTACATTAGGCTCTGCTGGATCTAACTTCTTATAACCTGACTGTAACTATATCTCCCAGCATGCATTACAGGTCTGACATCACATTCATCTTTTTAGGGCTAACTGCTGCAAATAAAAGCCTAATCCAGCTTCATCTGAAGTGGCGTGTTTTGAAAAACATGCCAAAAACTGTGGCTTGTGTTTGCAAGTGATGGCAACATTTGGACCTCCACTTTTATCATTTCTTCAAAGAAGAAGTTGTCAGGCATGACATGTGTCTTAACCAATCATCTGCAGATTTCCGCAGTTCTGAATTTCGCACAAAGGCTTTTGAACTAAATTGACCATTCTTCGATCCTAAGCAAAGATTCAAGAAGATTATCCGAGAAGACCAAATGTTACTCCTCAGTTTCCTGAGAAGTCGACTCATTGCAGAGAAACCTGATTGGCTTTTGGTCCAAGCAAACCACAAATTATTGTGTTTCCCATAAATCCTGGCTGAGCCTCTGGCCAGCTAAATTATTGCTTTTTTATTCTGTCTCTTTCTGTAGACATGTGTTTCTATCAGACCACCTAGCACATAAACTAGCCCTTTGGCTATGATTTAAACTCCTACTGTGACCAAAGATACCTAGTGATGGTGAGATGAAGCCTCATGAGGCATTGAACCATTCGGCAAATTGCTTCAACGATCCCCACAGTTCATGAAGCTTCATGTGAACATGACACCACCTACTGATGGACTGCAGAACTACAGTTATAATCGGTGATTTTTTGCAATTGTTTTTCTTGTTTTTTTTTCTCCATTTAAATTGAAAGGTATCATAGTTTTTGGTTTAAATCTGGTTGGACGTTATGTGTTCAACCAATCTTTTGGTTAAAACGACCAATCTAAGTAGTGTTTTTACACAATCTATGTTGATAAAAGGACTAACCAGTACAAATTGGTTACTTTTGACACTGGTTACACTGGTTAAGTAGCACAAAACATTTAAGAAGCTTATGCCAAGGCTTGAAACTACAACTTTTGGATTGAAGGGCAATGTTGTACAGAAGACACCACTTACAATACTGTCTCATCCTTTGAAAGCAACCCCACAAAATATCAATAACACAACTGAAACCAGTGGCTTGTTCAGATTCTTTTCCTTATATTGTTTGCTCTGACCAAAATTGTTTTAATCTACTAGATTGGTTGTTATTCCAACCAATCTATTCTTAGAATACATCCAAACTCTGTTCTACTGACCACAACTCTCCTACAAACTCCCACAACTTCACTGAGTACTCAGGTTGTTTAAATGCCTGTCGAAGTTCCAGGCAAACTGAACTACTTATTGAAGCGGTCACGTGGTGTGGCGGTAGCGAGGCTTCAGATGTCATCAATTTTGGCCCTTCCCCTAAATGAAGCAAGCCTTGATATGCGCTTCAGGGAAACGCCCCCTCCACTGCTCCGCACGCCTCGAAGCCTCGGCTAATCTCATAACATCACTATACACTACCCTTTTGAAACCGTGCCAAGAACAGTCCGAGCAACTGTTGAGTGTAAATAGGAACACAACTGAACCAGACCGTGCCAGACACAACCGCAGTTGGTTCTCTGTAAACAAAGAGCCACATGAGCACACAGTGTCTTCTTGTATTTACAGTTAGCTGACTCATGTTGCAATTCACAGATCTTTTCACCTCAAAAGAGCGTGGTGCGACCTGCAATGATTCCTAGACCAAGGCTCTCATTAAAATTTGGGCGTAGAACGTAATCCAGGCATATAAGTTCCTGAAGTTATGGGCACCAGCATTTCGTTTGCGTAATTCCTGCCTTGAGAGCTGTAGTATCGTAGAGCATCGATAAGAGGCGTAAATGGTCAAAAGAACCAAGCTGGGCATGGATCGGTTTCAGAGGGCTAGAGTAAATAAGACATGTGTGGTTTATGGCATATTGTCTTGGGCATTGGTGGTTCTAGACCGAATTTTCTAGGGGGACCAAGGGCCAGCATTTTTTGTTGTTGTTTCTCTCCCTTTTTTTTTGTTTGGGTACTGGATGAAAACATTAAACAGAAAAAATATCATCATGTCGTATACCGAGTGAGCCAGACCAACTTATGGCCCTGGGGCAACAAGTTTGAGAACTGAACCTAATTCAATATGACTAAATCTAAAACTGCAATGGCTCGATTCTAAAAATAATTTTAATGTAAAGCTTTTAAAGGTAAAAAAAGAATTTGGTCCAAAGGACCACTTGTCCAAGGTTTCTCTGCCAGTGCTCATCACCATAAGAAATTAATGTAAAAATATCATCCCAAAAATCTTTAGAGTATGTGAAAGAAGAAAAAAATAACAGCCTAAATGCATTAAAATCATATAATATCACACTTGTCAACTTTCTTACTATCTTTCTTGCTTTTCCTGTTTCTCACTCTCTTTGTGTACTTCTTCCAAAACTTGCGTTTGTCTTTGGCTCGTGCCTTTAGAGCAGCTTTGGGGTCAGTGATCCAGGCCTGGTAAAGAAACTGCAGAAAACAGAGCATAGACACTTAATGAGGACATTTTCGGCACATTATACCAGTAAAAATAAGATTTTGATGTGAATTGACTAGAAGCGGACAAACAGCAGAAGCTTGCCTGCTTGGGTAAATGTAATCTCCAACAGCTTCTGAAAAATATATTAATATATTTTTCCAAAACCTTTTTACTCCAATTAGTGTGTCTTGGTTCTTCTAATTAGTAATCTTTGTTTCCTGTTTCTTTAAATATAGGAGAAAATTAAAATTGATGCTAAAAAGGTCTTAATATATACAGATACCCATATGTGACTCACAGATACACAGAACAAGATTCATCAATGTATTTCTGATGCAGCTCTGTATGTATGTAGCGCTAGACTGTTGAGCCCTTATGGCTTCTGACAATGACGGTGGTAAATAACACATATGACTAAATATGTGTAGCTAGGTATCCCTTTGTTATGAGTCATGTTTTTTATTATTATCATTAATTGGTTTAATTCTTCAACTATTAACATAAGCTTGCAAACTCAGCAAGATAGCTATGCTGGCTCTTCTAGATTGTCAAACCTTAAAAAAAACAAAAAAAACAATATATATATATATATTTTTTTTTTTTCACATAACGTTAATGGAGGGCTGCAAAGGTTCATGCATTGAGTGCGTTATTCACGCATTTTGACTCATTTTCACACGCTATGCCACACATTACATTTCTCATGCATATTTCCTCCTTCAATAATCATTCAATATGACTTGCAATAGTTTGAGTAACTCGATTGACTGACTGAGATAACCGATCCCAGACCAGTCCATCAGTGCATTGCGTCTAAATCTAACTAGCACAGAAGTCACCACACACTATAAATTAATCAAAAACAACATAAGGCACCACGTGACTTAATCTCTCACAATCTTCCAGAAGCAACAGCGCCAACAGTTAAAACTCTTTGGATGTCCTCCTGCTTGCTGGAAGGTAACTTTACCCAATTTTGTTCACTTTTGATTTGCTGCTTCTAATTAAGTTTTCTAGTTAATATGTACTACTGTAAGGCTGCTATGAGTTTATTATTTCCTGTTTTTATTGAAAAGCTGTGGAAATTTGATTTACCTCTTCTCTTACCCAGTTCACACTTGAAAGTGAGACTCTTAACATTGGTCTCATTGCTTGTTTGTCTGCCACTTTCACATTTGTTAATATCAACCTATACCTCCTAAAGTAGTGCTTTTCAAAATTCTAAATTCATTTGAATATTCACACTAAAAAATAAACTGTTTATTTTTATCGCAGGCAGAAATGAGCCAGTTAGAAAAGAAAACAGGAAAATCACATAATACAGGAAATGTCCAGGTGAGTCAGGACGGGAATGAAGGAGGATTGAATGGCGGCTCAGGTAGCGACGAGGAAACTGTCACAGTAAGCTGCACATCTGTCAGCTGCACATCAGTAAGCAGGTCTGGACAATGTTGACATTTCACAAACATAATTTGTAACATTCGCCAAAAAATTCGCAAAAATCCTCCACAATACCTTTAACATCTTTCCAGAGGCAGATGAAGGTGAAGGCTTTTGTTTTTCTGGTTAGCAAAATAAATTCTATTTCTGGTCGTAAACATCAAAGTTTGTTCACTTGATAAATAAACCAACTATTTATGGGCACATTATGAGACATTTTTCCTTAAAATATCATTAAAATGTTTACTGGTCTTCCTGCCATCGGTATTTTCAATCGTCTAAACAGGATCTATTTTTAGCAATCTAAAATTAGAATGCATGCAGTTTCTAAGTATGCTTTCAAACTTATTAGATGTTTAGACAAAGCCAAGAGGAAATTATTATCAAAAACATGTTTGTTATGATTCAATATGTGCAGATATTATATCCATGCATTGATAAATGGTTGACTATAAGGTCTTACAGTAACACTATCTGACAATTCTACAGAGCAAAAGAAAACATGCAGAAAATAACTTTCTACACATGCAAAACACTTCATGCAAAAGTAGCAGCATGCAGCACAAAAACATTCCCGCTCCTGTTCATATTTCCTTTTTTTGCTATATAGATATAGATTTTTTTTGACTGTTTTAAAGACGTTTACATCAGGTATGAGCTGCAAACATCAGGAAACCATGAGGCTACCTGTTAAAATATCTGCTAGGCATTCCCACAGCAAAGCAAGCAGTGTCAGGTGAGTATGGTGAGTACCTTTCCTGCCTTGACTACATACTGCAACACAGTTTTAGGCAGCCTAATGATAGACTTAGGCAAAGCCAGAACAGCTGAGACAAACTTCCCAATCGCTCGCTAAAGGCAGAAGAAAGAGGGACAAGGTTTAATTAGAGTTAGAAAGTAGGTTAAAGGACAAAATTAACTTCATGATGAGACTGTAAAAAAAATAACAAGATTCATTAGTGAGAAATAAATGTTAGCATTGATTACTTAAACAGTGAATCTAAGAATTATTTCAAAGATTTTTGAAGAGAATTCAATTTAAAAAAGGGTTAGAAACACATAACATATACGTTGAAACAGAATAGAAATGAGGTTTAATGTTTGATAGTGAGAAAATGAAGATGTGTCAGTGGCAAAGCAAAAAAAAAACAAACAAAAAAACTTCTGTGTGTTTAAATAAGTGGCAGCGTTTTGGTGGTGGGTTGAAGAAAAGGTCAGACATTCTGCAGATTGATGATTACATGGTTGTCAACCATCTTAGATTCTTAATTGAAGGGTTTGGCTCCAACAGGATATAAAATCTAAAAAGAACAGCTTCAATAGCAGTGTATGGGAAGCTCCATCCTGATTGTTTTTTTCATATGCCTCATATTTTAAGCTTTATTCAGTTGCTACAATAAGCCTTTGAAGAAACTTGTTTCCTACGGAGTATACATTTGTTTGATTCCACGTATTCCAATTATGAACTAACAGATAAAAAAAAAAGAGCTTATAAAAAAAATATAACCTTGGACCCAAAGAAATAACGATATACCTGAAAAGCCGACTTCTTTGGTGGGTCTTCATCTTTTTTCTCCTCCTCCTCCTCTTCTTCCTCACTATCAGTTTCAAACAGGTAATAATCTCCACTTCTAACCACTAACAGGGCAGAAGAGAAAATGCTTTACATGAATCGAGAACCTGTCAAACATCACTTCTTTTAATGAAAAAACATTAAATTCAGAATTGCGGAGACAGTAGATGGAGACAGGAGGTAGGGAAGTAGAAACACTTCAGGGCAACATATATGATTTAAAAATAAAATATAAATTCTATTCAAATACAGTTAAACACACTTAGCTGGATAGGAACATGTTAAGTCACTCTATGAAACAAAGTTCACTCTAAATTAACTTTTACATTTCCTCAGTGAGGAAATAATAAAGATCATTTGTTTTTACCAGGTGCTAAAATCAATTAAATCTCAGCTCATTTGTTAAATAAAATCACAAGATATCCCACATTTTTGTAACTTATACAAGATTTTTTTTAATAAAAATCTATCAACAAAATTGTAATTTAAATAAACATGAGATCCCTCTAAATTTTAGACAAGCCTTTGCAATGTTTAGATAAACCTTAAAAATAATCCAAATAGGTCCACTTCAGACTGGGCATGGCTCTGGTAAAATTCCTGACAGCAATTACGAAAAGAGGCTGAACAAGGATGGGTTATTTGAAACAGGCGCCATAGGAAACTCTCTCCTGTGTTAAAAGTGCAGAGCAGAAAAATAATGTTAGCAAAGTTGGATCTGAATGAACCATAAGACTAGAACCGTTTGTCTATAGAGAACATCATCATATTTTATTACTCCAGCATGGAGTAGTGATGATTTGGGATAGTGCTATACATGTTAAAAAATTTCCTTAGAATACATAACCATCAAACAAAACACATACATCCAAAACATATGTGCACATGCATAACTATTATAGATTAAGTAGGGAACTAGAATAAAATGGATCATCAAATGTTCTGTAAAACAACTAAATAGCCTAATGAAATAGAGAAGGAAGATTTACTATCTTTTTTCACATTCAGCAAGTCTAAAAAAAAAAAAAAAAAAATCCTTAAGCTGAGGCAAAATGCCACAACCAGAGTTAAGATAAAGAAACAGTAATTTTATTTCTCCTATTCAAGCTAAAATACCACCTTGCTCCAAAGTTATAGGTTTACTAGTGGTTCCTAGAATTTCTATAAGCAGACTGGGAGGCAGATCTTTTAGTTATCAGGACCCTCTCTTGTGGAACAATTTACCAGCTTTAGTCCATGAGGCAAACATGCTGTCTATTTTTAAAACCACACTTAAAATGTTCCTTTTTGATAAACCTATAGTAAAAGTAACTCAGATTATCCTGAGCTATCTCCATAGTTATGCCGCCATAGGCTTAAACTGCTGGAGGACATAGGGCCCACTTTTCATCATTCTGCTTCATTCTACTTCTGTCCTCAAATTCTGGAGTATTTGTTAGTTCAAGCCCTTACTTGATTTTCTCTCAGCTCTTTCTCATCACAGTAGCTTCATCTGACCTGTTTCCCTGTGTAGCTGTGACACCATCCTGGAGGAGGATGGATTCAGCGGGTCCAATGCATCTACATCTTCCACTATGTAGGAGCTTGTCTGCTGTTACGGTGCTTTTCTTGACCAAGACCTGTGGAGCTAATTATTTAACATTTCCTAACATAGAAGTATTTATCAATCAGTTCTTCTTTAGGTTAGTATATCTGCTTCTATCTCCTTGAACGCCAGTCAGCCTCGGCAGAAGGCCACTCTAACTGAGATCGCTTCTGCTGGAGGTTAATTCCTGTTAAAAGGGAGAGTTTCCTCTCCGCTGTTGCTGCATGCATGCTCTCTGTGCATCAGGGATTGCTGTAGAGTCGATGACACAATTCAAGTTCATGCTACTACATACCCATTCAGGAGTGAATCCTACAAAGTTAATAACTGGATGATGTCAGCTGGGTTTTCTTAGTTAAAAAGCTCAACCAGTCTGCTTATATGCTTTGGTTAAATAGTCTCTAGTTTGTTTTGAGATGATGTTAGGTGTGAATTTCCACTATATAAATAAAACTGAATTTTACTGAACAGATAAAGGGGATGTTAACTTTGTTGCTGAGGAATAGCATTATCTATGTAGTATGGTGAATAAGTTATTAAAGACATGAAATAGTTTAGATCTGTATATGTAAAAAAAAAGTTCAGGAATCAGAATAACAATAAAATGTGGTTAACCAAAAAACTGTAGGAATTAAACAAAATTAAACAAAAATAACAATAAGATAACAAAGCTAAAATTACACAAATCTATTGTTTAATCTTGTAACTTAGATGCAACATAAATTTAATGTTGAGCTATGATTTTGACAGAGATTAATAAAGTGGTACAAAAAGACAAACTACTCAGATTTATTAATGCTACATGCCATTTATTTTTGTTATCTTTTCCAAAAATTCCTTTTGTAGCTATTTAAAAAAAATTATATAAATAAAGAAATGTTTGGATCTAGGTTTTGGTGCACCTAAGGTAACATTTAAATGATTTTAAACCTGGTAAAAACGTGAAAATACCAAGAGTGAAAGATGAATAACTTCTCACGAACATATGCAAACAAAACCCATTATAAAAAAAGTTAATATGAAGTAAGTATATAAAGGAAGAATGTCTATAATTTCTGAATGAACACTTCTTGTAAGCTACATGAAGTAACTCCAGACTGCAGCAGCTGAGTGTCAGAAGCAATGGGATAGACAAGGCTGACTTATGTCCTTGAACAGAACCGCATTGGGCAGGAAATGAGGGAGGATGCTGGGAAATAGAGATGAAACACCAAATGACAAACAGATGAAATAATTCGTGAAATGTCATGTGGGGGCGGACGATGACATGAGACATGAGTTTGAACCAAACAGGCAATCAGTGGGAAAACCCAGGAAAAGTGCTGCCATGTAACTTGTTTTGAAGTAGTTTTTTTATCCCGTAACCATGTGTTTTGTTCACACCTGTTTGGTGATCATGTCTGCAGGCAAAGCAGAAGCAAACCCATCTTCCTTTATTCTAGTTCTAAGTATAAAGGCGGGTCCGTTTCATGTCTTTGCCTTAAAATGAGAGCGATTCTCTACTGCGGGCTTTTCAGGCGAGATCAGTCAGTTAATTTTAAACAACAAACCTCCAGCCATTAATAATATTTTCTTTACTTCATTGTACCTATTTAAGGAAACCAGGCCTCATTGCACAGATTGTACCTGAGACCTTCAGGTAGCAAACATGGGCCTTAAATAGAGACAGAAAAAGGATTAATGACTGGAGGGATGAGGAAAGCTGTGTGATGCTGCTTTCAGAGCCCGGGGACAGTATGGGAATCCTCAGCGTTTTGGTCAAGGACAAAAGAGGCCAGTGAAAGTGGAGGAAGAGAAAAACAAGATTTTGGGGGTCAACCTACTGGAAGCATGGTCAACCCACGGCCTCCACCACTGCTTTTTTTTGGTCTTGGCTTTCGCTCGCTGTGCTCCTAAAATTTCACAAGTAAATCAGTGCAACATATAAAAGTTAAATGAAAATAAAAATCAAAAGTCCACAAACTAGACTTGTATCAGTATGCAACGTATAGCAGTTTGCAATTGTTTCATACCCCTTGAATTTTAACAATTTTTCTCTGAGAAGCAAAAAATTCAGGGGGATTCTAGGGAGATTTAAGGTGATAGACCCACGCAAAAAGCAACTATTAGGTGAAAGGAAGAGCGATAAAAAAGTGTGCATGTCACTGTAAGATTAAAATTTCTTAATGCACTAGTTTACACAAACTACAAACTACTTTGCCGCAAACCACAAAACGCGCAAAACCATCATTTAAATAGGGCGTCTCCAACAGTTTTGCACCTGCCACCAGTTACGCAATCGCTCTTGTTAAATCACCCGCAAACCATGGTTCAGCCCCTCGCGCAAAATTCCAGTTTGCGAGCGCAAATTACTGCACGCAAAATTGGATCTTGATAAATCCGGCCCTAAGTGTTTATGTATGTTTATTTTCTGCAACTTTTCACAGTTCTCTTAAATTACTTATCAATGAGAGCTTTTTACAATCTATATCAGTATTTAAATTCCTCTATATGATGATGTTTTCCCTCAATGAAATTATGTGATAATCGGTTTGCCTTAATCGATCCAGCTGCTGAAACTAATTTCTCCCTACAGAGATGATAAGGATTATCTTCATATTAATAATTGTTTGGCTGTTTGTGCTCATTCATTTGACTTTTTAGATGGTAGATTCACTGATAATATCTCTCAGTTTCCACCATCTTCTTTGCTGCAGACAAGGGCTAGGCACTGCCACTTTGAAGAGCTCTCTTAAAGTCTACAGTGCCTTTTTAATGCATTTTACTTTACTTAGGTTAATTCTAAGAAACAATGCTGAATTCAATAATACAAAAATTGTTCTAAAACTTTATCACTATGAGCTGCTTTTAGTCTTGAGGTTCTTTGGAAAATGGGAAAAGATCTGTAGAGATGAGGACCAGTAGTCTACCCGTTAATAGATTCTCCCACCTGAGCTGTAGATTTCTGCAGCTGTTATAGAGCTACCAGGGCTTTTCAGCTGCTTTTAGGACACAGCAGGTCAGCAACCTTTACAATCAGTTTTTGGCTGCCTAGTTCTGGTAAATACAATTAAACTAGCTCTGCTTTAAACCTGTCTGCTCTGTTCCTTCGTTCCCTTAAGTTTTTTTTTTTTATTCACACAATCTGTAAATTTACATCTAAATGAATCCAGACTTAATTAACATATGCCAAAGCACTGTTGAACAATGAGATGGTTCTATTACACTGGACTTTATTTACTGGTGTCAGAGTAAAGTTGGCAGAATACAAATGCTAGTCAGAATTTTTAAAATCGAATCTATTTAAAATGAAAAAAGAAAACAAGCCTCCTTTTCCTCACACATCATAGTAGAAAAATAGTTGGTTTAAAAGTTCGAGGGTAGTGAATTCTTTTGCAAACTGCTGTGGTTGCATTGTAAGATCATCAGCATCATTTTAGCCTCATTACAGGCTCCATAGGGGGAAGCTGTGGCAGGCTTCATCATACCATCATCATCATCTTCCTCCTCAGGCCGGACGTGCGTCTGTCCGTCGGCGGACTCCTGGGCCAGGCAGAGCATCTTCTCCTTGCCCCTCTTAAACTTTTGCTGCCTCACCTTAATGCGGTCCATCCTGATTAGATCAGAGAGGCGGTGAAAAGACGCAGAGGAACATCACAGCACATTGTCCATAAACATCTCCAGACTTCAACATGGAAATAAGAGCATGTTATAGTACAGTGGAGTGCTCATTAGCGAAGGTGAGTGGATATGAACAGTGCTCATGAGGAACTCCTGAGAAAACTGTAAGTAGTGGAAACACACTGCTTTTAGGTGGAATGGTATACTAATAGCTGCCTTCCAGGAAACCATGAAGAGATGCTTTTAAACCACAACAATCATGTTTACTTAATTATAGACTGAGTTATACTTAATAATGTTCACCAAAGACACTGAATGAGACAAAGACATGTTGCTAAATGGCAGATTAGTGTCAGAAAATCCCTAAAATAGAGCAAAAGTAATACTTTCTAGATATAGTACATACATAGATAAGATAGATAGATAGATAGATAGATAGATAGATAGATAAAATAAGTCTGATTAATTTCAGAATAAGAAAACAGTCCAACAAAAAATCATCAGAGTTGTTTTGTCTCTCCCTTCAAAGGTTCTTTTTTTGCATGGCTGAGCTTCTACAGACATTAATGACATCCAGCTGAAAAGTTGTGTTCATTGCAAAAATGTTAAAATACTAAGAAATAATTTAGGTAAAGCAGTTTTAAGACACACTGAGTGTATCCCACTGAACATTAGATCTCTGTTTTCAACAAGAACTCAGTTTTTAATAGGAGATAGAAAAGATATCCCTTATAATAACTCCCATCAAATCAAGAGCAGCTTCCACAAGGTAAAAATAGAGAGTCTTACTGTCGCTTTAGCTGTTCTACAGATTTGCTCTCCTCCTCCAGTCTGGCTTTCACTGCCTTCACTATAGTGGCCTGGAAAAGCTCTGCTCCTCTGAAACACAAAAACATAAAAAAAAAAGAAAAAAATCAGAGCCACTTTTTGCAATAATACTGGTTTAATCCTGCTCTTCCCAGTCTGTATCAGGAAAGCAGAAACATAAAATTTCTATTTTAATTCCTCTAACGTTTTTTATAAATCTAACCTGAAAGCATTATTAATGTTTTGCTTGATAATCAGGAAATATTTCTTGTCTCCCTTCAGACAAATCTGTAGTTAAATTACATTCACTTATTAAATACATAAAATAATAATAATAACCACAATATAACACAAAAACAACAACCGTTCAGAATAAAATAAAGCACTGAAAATGTCACTATTCCTCTCTCTGGTAATGGAGTGCTGGGGCTTTTTGTAGTACCTGGATGCGAGGATCTGAGATGATCTGATATCTGCCACCACGTGGAGAAAATAGTAGCTCATGAAGACACGTCTCTGCAGCAACAGGAAGGCGAAGCAGATACTGTCCCATATTATGCCTGCCTCATCTTTGGGCAGCTCACAGTCTTTGATGGCTGGATGTGGCAAGAGAGATAAAAAAAAAACGTTCAGCACTTATCCCTTATCTACTCTCAAAGGGCAATAAATGTATCTCAAGAGCCACTATTCTAATTGTGTTAGTTTTAAAATGTATCATTTCATTCTGTCTGTGCTATTTTCAGCCTGTACATCCAAATAATACGGTATCCCACAGGGCCCTTTGTTGGGCCTATGCCTATTATGAAGTTTATAAAACATTTATATTCTGTATTTAAACTATGTGATTTTCATATATGCAGATGATACACTTATTTGTACTCAAGGTCAAATAAGGTGAGCTTAATACAATTTGTAAACTACAAATAATAGGGTCTGCATGGTGATACAGTGGTCAGCGCCCTCGCCTTGCCTTGCAGCAAGTAGGTTTTGGGTTTGATTCCTTGCCCACGATCTTTCTGCATCAAGTTTGCATGTTCTCCATGTGCACGCGTGGGTTCTCTGGGTACTCTCACACACTCCCACAGTCCAAAAACATGACTGTTAGCTTAATTGTTTTCTCTAAAATCTCCTTAGGTGTGAGAGTGTGCGTGCATGTTTGTGTGTCTTTTTGTGCCTGTGACAGACTGGCGATCTGTCCAGAGTGTACCCCGCCTCTCACCCACAGACTGCCAGAGATAGGCACCGGCCCCTCCGCAGACCTCACAAGGAATAAGCAGGAGAAAATACGTTGGATGGATAGATGGATGGAACTACAAATTATATCTGCCTTAAGCTTTTCACGTATGTGGAACGTCATGCAAATCTCTAAAACAGTAGTTTACAAATTCAGTCCTCAAGCGCTGCTATCTTGCATGTTTTACTTTTTCTCCCTGGAGGTAGTTACGAACAACTCAGCATGTCAGAGTTCTGCATATGCCTGCTAACGAGCTACCATTTGACCCAGGTGTCTTGAAAAAGTGAGATAACTAAAGCTTCCAGGGTACCTTCTCTTAAGGATGACTTTTCAGTGAAAGATTCTGTGGCCAATTGCATTTTAAGAAAGAAAAACAGCAATTGCTGATAACAAAGCTAAGCGGAGCCAAAATGAACAACAACTAGCTTCCTACAAATGTAGTGGAGTAGAAAGCACAATATACAATTTGAAATGTAGTGAAGTGAAAGTTATTAAACCCCCCTCCAAAAAACAAACAAACATAAGAGTAAATTAAAGGTAATCAAATAATTATTTTAATACAGTACTCAAGTAAATGTGCTCTGTTACTCTTTACCACTAGTTATTTTCTCCAAACAGATGATGTTTAGATTTCAAATTCAAAGTAAGTTTGCGTACAATGAAATTCTTTTTGTATTAAGCAGAGAACACGCAACAAAAGTCCTGTTAGTCATTATTAAGCGACTTCGTTAACATTGCCCTAAAAGGTTTTTGTGTTTTCACATTGTGAAAAAACGTATTATACAAAAGTAAACCAAGCAGATTTTAAAGATTAACTAACAACAACACATTTTGTCAGGGTATTGCAACAGTATTCTCTATTCCCTTCAAATGAATGGTGGTGTTAAACTTTGACAAGTACACTAAACCCACCTAGATAGAGATATTTAAATCAAAGAAGGGAGCAACTTCAATTTCTTACAGACTTTTTTTCAGAGCACATTTTGGGTATTAGGTTATAAATTAAATAAATGGGATCTTAGCTAGTGATTATAGAATTTGTTCACTCACCATCTTTATATTCTTCTGAGTTTATTTCATAACCTTTGATGGTGCATGCCAGACTAAACAACTGGATTAACCAGCATTGGTTCCGGATCAGGGAGTTGATGTAGCCACAAGCCAGGATCTACAAAAAAAACAAAAGAAAACACCCTTTGTAATAAATACTGCAAGCATTAAATGCTTGAGACTTTTTAAAACAGTGTTTGTTGGTGTCAAGGTGTAAGTTTACATACTGACAAAATGTTCTTCATTGTGATTACAAAGATGTTGTAGGCGATCAGGAAGTCCCAGTAGTGGAGGATCTTCTTGATTGGCTTTAGCAACAGGTCACCACCAAAAAGCAGGAAGTAGAAGCAGGCCACCAGGTAACCCATACAAAAGACACTGATCCGGGTAGTCCCCGTAATGAATATAATGGTGAGGACGAACCAGAATAGGTAGCTAAACATGATGACCTTCAGCATGTCGAGGTACGACCTGGAAGAGGTAAAATAACCGCGCTACATGTGAACATAGGGGTTCTGCACAGAGTTTGACCTGTTTTGAACAGGATAGATTCAGGATTGCAAAAGGGCAAATGAATAAGAGACTATTTATAAGGGGTTTCAAATGATCTTAACATTGTTAATGAAGAAAACCTGATGGCATCCAGTTCTTCCATATTTCTATATTATTTATATTTAGTTTGTTGTTGTACCAATGGCTTAAACCAGATATTTAACATGTAAGAAATCTAGGGATGAGTAGAGAATTTGCTACTTTTATTAGAACCGACCAAATTTTGTCAGTACTAAAGAGTAACTAATGGTAAATGGTACTTGTACTTATAGAGGCATTTTTCAAGTCATCCATTCACCCCCCCCGCCCCCCCCCCCCCCCCCACACACACACACACTCACATACTGATGTTGGCAGCCTACCAACATTGTGTGAGCTTCTGTTAGTGACCATCTCATTGGCTCACTGACAGAAGCAAGGCTGCAGTACACTGGCCCCACTAGTCCTTCTCACACCCATCAGTAGGCAATGCAGGTGATGTGTCTTGCACAAGAAGGAGGAGTAGGAGGAGAGATCTCCTCACAAAGCATTATGGGATGTGCTGTCACATTAGCCCTTGCCACAGGCTGTTTCTATACGACAGCGGCAACTAAGTAACAAAGATGGCGCAGGCACCGTGCAGCAGAGGAGGAGTTACGTGACCAAGGGGGAGCAAAGTAATGATCATCTGTTGAAACAGTCAGTACACTGAGTTCGCTATAAAGTTCACTATATAATACCCGCTCTATATAGTGATTGAGGGATTTAGGGGTTATAACGGATGTTGGGACACAGTTAGCTTGTATGAGCTATGAGAACAGCAACTTTTAAACAGAGCATGCACAAGGATTCTCTCGCACTCGTTTGACAGGTTCCCTCTCAGGAGCAGGTGCATATCCATAAAAAAAAAAAAAATCTAAATCAAATACTACCATGCTGCAGTACCTAAGGACATTATTGTGAAACAGAAGGAACAGAAGAGAGCGCAATTTTCGATGGTAGGCAACAATACCGCTTTGCATGCACAAAACTTTAATGAGGTCAGAAGGCACTGGTACAGAAAACAAAGCAAGCATGGTGAAATGAAAGCAGTCTACAGTATGGCTCCACTTTTCAAAATGTAATGCAGATTACACTTGCTGTAATATTTGTGGCAGAAGTACTTATGATATGAGGAAGCATCTATTCATGCACAAGATTTTTTTTCGAGGCTGAGGGTTCACAACTTTTGACAGATCTACGGCTGTAACTCCTTCATTTTCCACCGTTACACACACCTGCATCCATTAGTGGCTCATCATCTACATTCGAGAGGCAGCCACATACTCATCTTCTCTGCTACAAGTATAGAAGCCCAGTGCTTAATATTATGTTATCATTGGTAGAGAAAATATGTGCGCTAAACGTACTAAAACAAATTCCCAGGTACCTACATTGGTGCGCTATGTGAATAGTACCAGATCCTAATGGAAATCCTTCCTATTTCAGGAAAATATTATTTATTAAATTGATTATATTTGCTAAATGCCAGACCTGATTATAACTTTATTCAGATTACAGAGTGCATATAAAGTTATATAAAAAAAAATAATAGTGTTGCCCTTTGTCACCGATTCTGTTCATAACCTTCATGGACAGAACTTCTAGGCGCAGCCAAGGTGTTGAGGGGATCCGTTTTGGTGGCCTTAGGATTGCGTCTCTGCTTTTTGCAGATGATGTGGTCCTATTGGCTTCATCAGGTCGTGATCTGCAGCTCTCGCTGGATCGGTTCGCAGCCGAGTGTGAAGCGGCCGGGATGGGGATCAGTGCCTCCAAATCCGAGGCCATGGTCTTGAGCCGGAAAAGGGTAGAGTGCCTTCTCCGGGTCAGGGGGGGTGTCCTGCCCCAAGTGGAGGAGTTTAAGTATCTTGGGATCTTGTTCACGAATGAGGGAAGAAGGGAGCGGGAGATTGACAGGCGGATTGGTGCAGCGTCTGCCGTGAAGCGGGCGCTGTACCGGTCCGTCGTGGTGAAGAGAGAGCTGAGTCAAAAAGCGAAGCTCTCGATTTACCGGTCGATCTACGTTCCTACCCTCATCTATGGTCATGAACTCTGGGTCATGACAGAAAGAACGAGATCGCGGATACAAGCGGCCGAAATGGGTTTCCTCCGTAGGTTGGCTGGGCTCTCCCTTAGAGATAGGGTGAGAAGCTCGGTCATCCGGGAGGGACTCGGAGTAGAGCCGCTGCTCCTCCACGTCGAGAGGAGCCAGTTGAGGTGGCTTGGGCATCTGTTTAGGATGCCTCCTGGACGCCTCCCTGGTGAGGTGTTCCGGGCACGTCCCACCGGGGGGAGGCCCCGGGGAAGACCCAGGACACGCTGGAGAGACTATGTTTCTCGGCTGGCCTGGGAACGCCTTGGGGTTCCTCCTGAAGAGCTGGAAGAAGTGGCTGGGGAGAGGGAAGTCTGGGCCTCCCTTCTTAAGCTGCTGCCCCCGCGACCCGACCCCGGATAAGCGGAGGAAGATGGATGGATGGATGGATGGATAGTGTTGCCCTAAAACTCTATTACTTGCGTAAAACATTTACAATTTCCTTCACAAGTTTTTTTCCCCTCAGTTTGCGGGATACATTCCTTCTTGACTAACCTGGTCTAGCTGAGCGGGTTTCAAAGGCCATCCTTCTCAATCAAGGTTAATTACACTCTGACTGATGTTTTAAAGCCTAAATGTAATAGTTCTACCATTTAAGTATGATAACTTCAACTACATCTGACGAAAAAAACCCCACTAAGGATCAGATAAGACCAATAAAAATGATCTGAAAGATAAAAAAAAAAAAAATAGAGGATTCCTTTATTTTGGAGCAGTGATCAAAAAATCTACTTCACCTGTTACCAGTGTTGTTTTCGTCAACGATGACAATGAAATTAGGACAAAGCTCCTTTTTTTCTTGACAATAGCGAAAACTAATTAGCTAAACATGGATCTTTGATGACTAATATATCTTGATGACTAACATGACTAGTAATAGATAAAAATTTTCACTGATGAGACAAGACGTAATAAAAGTTAGCGTTGGTTGGTCAGAAGTTTAAAATCCTCATCAATATTGTGCTGTAATCTGTTAGACAAACTAAGCAGTATCAGCCGTGCTGCTGCGTCTTGTTTGGTGATGTCCACCACCTGGCGTGCAGCGGGGCAAATTCTGCATGACAACAGATGAACCATGGCAGCAGGGGAAAAAATAGCCCAGAACTGTCTGGTATTACACCCTGAACTCTGACAAACTGCTCTGATCTTTCAGCTGCGCTTCTGCAGAAATGTGTCTCTGCACCTTCGTAGCCTAGAGTCTGCGCTTTATGTTCCATTCGGATGGTTCGCTCCAAGCAGTATGGCTCTTCCTGCTCTCGCTACTTAATAAACTATATGGGGCTGATCATTCTCTTCCAGGGGTAAAAAAAAATTGGGTTGGCAGCATGAGGTGACCATCCACAAAAGGGAAAAAAAAACATCCATCCATAGTAAGGTGAGAAAATATAGAATACATAGAAACAATTGAAAACCACTGAATATAAATGATTTAGATATTTGGTTTTATATTAGTTTCTGGAGCAGAGCAAACCACTGCCTTTGCAGATAGAAAAACATTAGCATCTGGATTTAAAAGGGAGAAGAGTGAGAAAGGCAGTGGGAGCACCCTGACCTGTCCACAATCATTGATTATATGCTCTTCACATTCCACTGTTTTGATGCGCAAAGTGGACAAGTGTTTTATTAACGCACTCTGTGTCCATCAACAAGCCCTTGTAGAAAGAGCAAAAGCTGCACAGCCATCTATCCATGCCACAGCAGCTGTGCACTTATTCCATCGTTTCCCTCCAGGATCGAATTACGGATATAAGGCGCTGGGAGAAAAAAATCTATATTCCACAAAAACACTCTGTCCGTCACTCCGCGACTCAGACGCTTTTGCCTTGTACTCTAACTCAATAAATAGCTTTCAAGTATGGAAAAGGTATTTTCTCCCGCTGATGAAGGAGGACACTCACTCAGCCGCTCCGGCCCATCAACGTGTTGTCGGAGCTAAACCCACTACATCAGAGCTGTAGTTGCTGTTGTGGTCCAGAGCACATCAGAGCAATCATCACTGCATCCTGTGTTTTCACTCCTAACATCTTTTTAATGGGCTCTCACTTGAAAAGACAGGATCCTTTCATATGGTTTTTACATGTCTGACACAGAGAGAACATGCAGTAGGATACCTGAATTGAGCAACAGCACCATATTACAGTTCTGGTTTCCATCCATCGATCAGACTCGTACCACTGCCCTGACGTTCCGAGGCACACTGAAGGTGATTTATGAGTCGATTAGGCAAAAACCAACTGGATAAACTGAAATTTTGGGCCGGTTTATCTGTGTGTTTTAATCATGCATCCTTACTTCATATGGCAGCTGCTTGGCATACAGGACTGTCTGCCACCAGCAGTGCATTTAAGATAGCATAATCTGGTGGCCCTTCAGATGACCACAAAATAACTAGCAATGGGAATCTGGGTCTTTCCTGCTGAAGATATAGCCCATTCAAGGAAGGACCAATAAAAAAAATGGAAGGATAGACTAATGGAGGACCTATGGACCTATAAATATATGAATAGATAGATAACTTTTTTCAGGTTATTTTCTGGAAAAAAAATCTTCAATTCCTTAAAGGAGCAACACACACAATTTCGTCATTTTAGATAAAGAGAACATAAATAGTTTTGTGAAGAATTAAAGGTATCTTTTCAGATGGACTGCTGTAAGATGTAACAGACCATCTCTTTGTGTTGTTCTCCAATTTCTTGTTTACATAGCCGGGTTGGCTGTAGAGGGACGCTTGTGCATGTGAACAGCTGGTTTATCACTGTAGCATAAGACCAACATGGCAGACAGTGCAGGCAGTGGAGCAAAAATGTTTATCTGAAGACAATCAGGACTCATTATTGCCACAGGAAAAATAACAGTCTAAAAGAAAAAACAACAAAAAGAACTAAAAATAACAGATAAGGAAAGACACAAAATGATGATTAACATCGTCCTTGTGTTTCCATGGAATCATGGGTAACTATCTCAACAAATGCATTGAGGAAGTCAGCACCACAAAGAACATAACCACCCAAGCCAACCAACAACCCTGCATAAATCACTAAAAGCATAGAATTCAGCTTCCAAGTCGGGTGATAGAGAGGCTCTGAGAATAGTATGTGCCAACTTTAACCGTGCCATCAGATCAGCAAAGCATAACCACAGCCGGAAGATCCAGGATCTCTTCCACAATGCCAAGAACACCAGCAGGATGTGGCAAAGCATAAGGTCGATCACAGAAGTTTGCAGACAACACCACGGTTGGCCTCGGACACAACAACGACCAGGACTACAGAGAGGAGGTGGAACAGCTGGTCGGCTGGTGCAGAAATAACATCCTGAGCCCGAGTGTGGAGAAGACGAAGGAGATCGTCGTCATCTTCAGGAAGAACCGTCCTAACCACGCTCCACTGGTCATCAACAGCTCAGCTGTAGAGGTGGTCAACAGCACCAAATTCCTGGGGGTGCACATCACGGACACCCTCACCTGGACTGTAAACACCACCTCACTGGTACAGAAGCGCATGTACTTCCTGCAGATGATGAGGAGAGCACACCTGCCCCCACCCATCCTCACCACCTTCTACAGAAGCACCATAGAGAGCGTTCTGACCAGCTGTCTCGCTGTAATGTGTGGAGGCTGCAGCGTCTCAGACTGGAAGGACAGGTGAAGAGTGGTGAGAACAGAAGAGAAGATCTTCGGGGCTCCTTTCCCCTCCATAAAAGACATTTCATCCCAGCGCTGTGTGTCCCAAGCCCGTTAGATCATCATCACCTCTCACACCCCTGCTGCCCTGTGGGAAGAGGCTTCCCAGCATCCGCTGCATGCCCAGCAGATGCTGCAATAGCTTTCACCCCACTCTCTGCAGACAGCTGAACTTTTGAAAAAAAAAAAACCTCTAAATCAAATCACAGACTCTGCATCACACTGATAACACAAAAAAATACTGAATATTTGCACCATATATATTTGTCTTGAAATGCTCTGAACTTCTATATCAATGCTCCTTGCATCATGTTTTTCTCCCACACTGTTTACATTTAATCTATATGGAATGGAACTACTAAGCTGCGACTCATTTATTGTCTGAAAGCTGTACAAAAAGACTCTTGTTTTGTATACACTGTGTATACAAAATGACAATAAAAGTTGTCTAAGTCTTTAAACAAATGACCTCTTGTGTAATTTAGAGGAATCCCTGAGTAAAAAAATATGTTTAGAAGAAAAGTATATAAGATGTATGTAATGGTTCAAATATTTCAGTCGATAAAATCCTAATAATCAAATGCAATTTGATCCTTAAACACAGTTTAACCTCTCAGACTTTGAAGCTCCTGGTGCAGACCATAGGCCCTTTATATCTGACTAATAAAACCGTTTCATACTGCTCTAAATAAACTCTGACACCACTAATTCTCAGCTGAATGGTTATGATAGCTTCAGTTATATGGAGCACATAATGCTTGACTTTATTGTCGACATCTGATACCATTATGCATCAATTACTCTGTCTGCTTTACTTCCTTTCCATTTCAAAATGTTTTCCTTTGTACTAATGACTGCCAAGCAATGGCACCAAAATAACTGTAAGACATCTCTTTTAAGTCAATATTTTGTAAAATAGCTCCTGGAAATCATTTTGAAATGGGATGAACAGTTTGTTAGTCTTAGCGCACTGCATGAAGAAAAGGAAAAGTTCAGTAAACATAAGCTGCTGTACCTGCAGTGGATGAAGTCTGGGACGGGGTTATGGACACTAAAGGAGGCGGCGTCCAGGTCTCTGCAGATCTCCACATTGTCACCGGCCATGATGCGGACAGCTGCCTTGTTTTCATCATCAAAGACCTGCCTCTGGAGAGAGGCGCAGAGCAGCAAAGCAAAGTCGTCTAGGAGAATAGAGATTCCTCAACTGAAACTTATTTTGATCCAAAATTGATCCAAACATTGTAATACACTATAAGTCATTTATCAAGAAAAGTGATTCAGAATTAGTAAATTTCCACTTATGAGTTGAAACTCAAGTCATTCTTGATTATCATTACAATTTTTCTCAGAGGCACGTTTTGTATTTTTGAAGGCATATTCATACAACTGTTCTTGAATAGCTTTTTTACAGACAAAAACTTTTTTTTTTCGGTCCAGTAAACGACCACATATACATTTGTTTTCTTGGTGACTAGAACTTCCTTCTAACAGATAAAGTGAACAACAAATATTCTAAATCAAAAATACTCCTAACCCAATTTACCTGTGTTTTTTTCAACAAATATTTAACAACCTGAAAAAGTAGATAAATCCATTGGGAGAACAAAGATTAAAAAAACAAATCAGTTGTGCTCACAGTAGTTGCAACAGGGTTATACCAACCCAAATATTTAAAATCAAATCACACATTATTCATTTAAAAAAGTATATTTCATTGGTTGCTGTCATTTGATTAAGTAGTTACTGCTAGTGGTTGTACTGTTTATACATGAAAATAATTTTAAAAGGCAGGCAGAATTTTTTTTCTTTTTTTTAGTGTTGGATTTCCAACACTGGGTTTCCTAAATAACCCAAAAGCTCATGAAAAAAGAAATTTAGAAGTACAAGTCAATTAAAAGAAATGCGAAAAATCCAGAAACAACATAGTTTTCCCATTTTATCTTAAAAAAAGATTTTTTTCTGACTTTCCATTGTTAAAGTTCAAAGGTCATGTTGATTCTGGTATTTACATTTATGTACTGTTATTTTAAAGGACATCCATAATGCTTTAACTCATCAAGCCTTAAAGCTTTCACATTCGACTCTTAGACTCCTTTTCCCCCTTTTTCTTAGCCTTTCATTTACCTTGTGCTTACTTTCAATAGTGTGTAGTGTTGCATAGTTATTAGATAAAATAAAACTGTAATAGAGATTATTCGGCTATAAAGGAACCAATATTTAACCTGTTGTCTAGGATTATTTATAACAATTCAATTCAATTCAGTTTATTTCTATAGCGCCAAATTCACAACACATGTCATCTCAAGGCACTTTAGAGTTCAACCAGATCATACAGTCAAATTGATACAAAGTTTTCTATCTAAGGAAAACCAGTTGATTGCATTGACTCATTGACTCAAATACAATCCCCCACACTAAGCATGCTTGTAGCGAACAACTTATCACTCAGAGCCAGATCCACCCTCTTTTGGTTAACAACTGCAGAACTAGAGACAATTCCCTTTGGTTGATGGTTAATAACTCCACTGATAGCCATAGTCTAAATTTCTAAATTGGTGAAAGAAAGCCAGATATTAACAGCTAGTCCAGAAGTCCAACCTTGTGTAAAAGACTAAAGAATCTTGGTAAAGAAGCAGCTATAATCATTTAACTAATAATCATTTATTGGTTTTAACCCTTGATTTGAATTACCTAACAATTATCTAAACTTCCAGTTCTAGTTATTTTTCATTTACATTCAATATCTGCTGGTAAAATTGCACAACACCATATAGTCAATCCCAGGAGTGGCTATACTTGCTATGAGAAAAGAAATAGAAGAAATAACAAAAGATATTTGCAAAATATGGCACTGTGACTTTATGTTGTTCAAAAACATCACAACACTAGTGGAGACCTTAAGCCTTCCAGTGGCAGACTCAAAGGTACACCATTCCACTGACAGATAATAAAGAGCTATTGATTAACTAACAATATATGGTTTATTGTCATACCTCGATGGTCAATAACTTGTTTGTCAGCTGAAAAAAAAACCTTATTAAAGCCTGTAGATATAGTTATTTGTGCACCTTTAAAGATATGATTTAAAATTCCATTGGTGTTTTTTAAAAGTTAATTTCACTCAATATTAATGGTCAAAAATGTTCTCGAGTTCAGTTATTAAACTATGGATTAACTTGAAATATTAAGATTATAATGAACCAAAGCAGCAGTGTTAATTCCTTTCTTCGGTGAAGGACTTACAGGCAAGGAAATGTGGATTGGGCTTGGTATGGAAATCTGGAATATAGAGCCACTTTATCACATTTGGGTCTGTTGTAGAGTTCGGAAACCTCCAGGGATATTCTGAAATGAAAAGCATAATTAAGAAAATTCAAACAATGTAAAAATAACTCAAAAAGCATTAAAATAAAGGTTTCTTTTGTGGAACATCTTATGAGGTTACCATTTACGCTTAGGAGTGGAAATGAAAATCTCTAAGTAATGTAAACAAGGAAAAAAGAGTAACTAAGGATAAGGCTGACTCATGGAAGCAAAAATAAAGGTATTAGCCCATTTCGAAACAAGGAAACTGTTCATTAATTTGCAGATTATATTCTAATGACCAAACTGCGTAAATGCATGGATGGAGGATGTACAAATAGAATTTCTAAATGTTAAACTCAATTGCAGTTTTTGTACCTTTTTTAAGTATTTCTTTAAGTCAAGTGCAAACTGATTTGCAAAACTATCTGCCATTATTGTTGCAACAAAGCAGGCATTGGTACAAAAATAGCGATAGTAGAATAAATTTCATTTATATAGTAGAATAAATTTCATAAATTTCATATAAAAAAATCTTGAACACAGGCCAGCACAAATTAGTGGGGTGGGAGACAGTCTTTTACAATTAAACATTATTATTAAGATTTATCAATGCTATAAGATATAAAGCAAGAGATAGTAAGCAATTCTATAAGATATGCCACAGAGAAAGACAGAGTTAGCAAATCATTAAGAGAAATCAGATACGTTTGGGCTACAAAACCTATTATGTCCTTCCAATTTGTTTTTTTAAGATTATCAGTGCTCCTTTCTGGTCACCTGTTTCAGGGCAGGCAGTAACTACAGTCTAACCAGTGATTATTGTGATTCCTGTCTAGTTCATCCAAGAACACAAACCTTTACAGTCATTAGGCGGGATCCCGATGCAGACAAAGTATTGGAAAGTAAGCATGCTTGCAAGGAAGAAGCAGTACTTTGACCAGATTTCAGCGATGGCCTTTCTTCGACGTCTGTACATGACTGCTATAAGGGCAAAGGCATGGAGCATGGCATAGAAGTCCATACGCTGGCCAATGATGTTTACAACCAGCAGGAGACATGTCTAAGAAAACCAGGATAGTTTGAAAAAAAAAAAGTTAAATATGTAATACTTTCCCAATAAACACATTTTCATTACGTCACTGAATTGTTTACTTCAAGTCCAAACTTGTAGAAGAAGTAGTTGATGAAGTATTTCACAAAGCTGACGATGCCAATGTCAAGATGCTGGCGAGTGATGTCATGGAAGATGATCCTGGCCGCCGGAGGCGACAGTTTGTTCCTTAATCTGAAGTACTGCTGATGACGATAAATGGTCACCTCAAACGCCAACAGCGCCAACATCAACAGGTTCTCCTGAAATAATATATTTATTTAAATTCATTTTAAAGCTTTAAAGCAGAAATTAAGAAAATTATATTTTCAATTTATAGATGAAAATGTTAGAATTCAGTATCTCTATCCTTGATTTAGATGTTTACTTTTCTGTTTAACATTGTTTTGCTGAAAAATATTTTCAGAGCATGTAGGAGTGAGAGTGGTACCAAATTATGTATTTTTATAGGTACTGCCCAACTTTCATCAGTACTACCGCTACTTATTCCTTTATAATAAAACACTACCAATGTTTCTATTATCACTGCAAACAAGTGATAAAAAACATTAACGACTTTCTTTTTAGTTTAAGGCAAATGTATGGCTGTGACTACATCTCACTGCTGCACAAACACAAATACTACAAAATAAACAAGTTAGCTTCTTTAGGATTCTTATGACACAAAGAGGGATTTTTATTCACTAAGCTCTATACAGCAACTGCATTTAATAGGATTTATTTATTAATAGATAGATATTGATGCCTCCATGGATAAAAAAAAAGAAAAAAATTACAAATAACTATTCAAACAGATCTACAGAGCTTGTTTCCAGATTTCATTCATTTACCATTGTAACAGTGAAAATTCTAATAAGAATTACTTTAGTACAGAAATAAAAGAAAGGTTAAATGCCCATCCCTACTAGTTTACCCAAAAGAATGAGATCTTAGATACAAGTAGCCAAAATGAATATGGCGACTGACGGGTAGTTGAGCTCCATTATTTTGGCAGAGCTCAGAGAAAAACCACTGCTTTCTGTTACTGAAAGGAGTCAACAGGTGGAGTCGGTCTATGCTCCTACTGTCACCTATGGCCATGCTTCCTACACAGTGTGGCCAGGCATCCCCTTTAGAGAAAGAATGAGGATCACAGCTTTCGTGGAGGGGGTCAGAGTAGAGCCACTGCTCCTTCATGTCGAGAAGAGTCAACTAATGTGTTTGTTTTTTGTTTTATTACATATTTTCTATAGACGACTCTCTCGTGCTACAAGAAAATTCCACCACACCAAGGCATAGGATACCTGGGAGGGATTTTGTCTATCGGCTGGCCTTGGAGCACCTTGGACAGCTGAATAGAGCTAAAAAATATATACAGTATGATCAAATTAGGCATGGGTCGGTTACTGGTTTCACCCTATATAAAAGACGTAGGTTCAAAAAAGCAAAAAAAAAAGTTTTTTCATACAGTAGCATTCCTGAAGTATACACTTTGTTTTCTTCATTTTTATTTTTTTAATTCATCAAAGACAATGCTAACGTTGTGAGCAGCTGAAGCAGCATAACGGCCCCTTCACCTGTGCACCCGTGTGTAGCTCGAAAGGGGGAATGATTGCTGATGTAGGGGTAAACAAAAACTTTCCCCCTTGCTTTGGCACTCAGAGAGGGCATGTGTGCATACAGCTACACTACTCAGGGACACTTCTGCTATCTCAAAAAGATGGAGAGCAACAGCTTGATGGAAGAAGGTGGCAGCTAGAGGAAGTATTACAGCTACATTTGTACATCTGGAGCATCACCTAGTGCACAAATAAATAGCTAAATTCAAGGTAAAGTTTGTGCAATCTTTAAATAAGTAAGCTACTTTTAGCATCAGGGATGAGACCTTGTTGATAGATCTGGGAACAACTTGTCAACCAGGGTGTTTTGGAGTTGTAGGTATGCAAATTTGGTTAGTTTCAAGATAAATAGTGGCGATTCCATAAAAAGCTATAACCATGCACTTTGTACATGGTCATTCATACTTAGAATTTCTGTGGCTTCTTTGTGAAAAAAATGGCAAAAATCATAAATATGAGTGTTCACAAAAAGCACAGTGAGAGCCTATAAGGTAGAGAAATTTCAACCTTTCGACACCTGTAATCTAAAATCATCTTACAACAAGATAACTATGTTTCTAGAGATTATGCTGGAGATCTGCCCCAATTCAGAAAGTGTTTCATTTATTATTTTAACTTTTTTAATTCAGAAATTTCAGAAAGAGCGAAATGGTGATATATTTGGGTATGGTTTTCATACTGTCAGAACTTTACATTCTCCCATGCTTAGATGTAACATACGCAGCAATTCTACATTTATTACTTAAAACTTGTGTTAGATTCAACAGTTAGCAGATGGATTAAGCTGAAAAACAAGGTGCTGTTTTTAGAAGTGGTGAGGAGCAACATATATATGCTTCAAGTTCTGTTCAAAATTGGACAGTCTACACCTGCAGCATTGCTATAACAAGCCAATCGAGGTTGTTTTTGTCCTTCCTGTCGTTTGCTGTACACCTTCCAACTGAAGAGTTCTGTGTGGCATGAAGAGGATTTTAATTCCAAATCTGATGTCAAAGCAAAGGGGGATCAAACTGACTCACAGATAAAGTGAAGTGCGACCTGAATCTAAAAACAATTTCTGATCTTAGTTAATTCATTTTTTTGCATTCTGGTGTATAAGCATAAAGAGGTTGAAAATAAAATGTATGATTTTTTTAATTCGGTAAAAGTACAGGGAAGGAAGGAAGCAGCCGCTGCACTTGTTTGATTTTCCAGACACATAGGTTGCAGCAACTACTGGGTCAGTGTCTTTCATTTTCGTCCAGTAGTCTTTATTCAAAGCTTTTGACTTACAGTTTCCATTACCACACTACTTTCTATTATGAAGGTTTAAACTATCATCTTTGAAAATAATTAGACCTTTGATTTGTAACCTGAAGACACAAAAGAAGATCATCCATTTAATTTAAAAAAAATTCTGTTTGAATCCCGTCAGAGTTAAACAGGTGGACATGAATCAAAACAAAAAAATCTCCTAATTAGTTATCTGAGGACTTTTTTATACTACAGTATTTTCACGATTATAAGGCGCACTTAAACGTCTTTTTTTCCCTCAAAATGTGCGGTGCGCCCTTTGGTGCGGTGCGCCCTATGTGTGTTGTAACTGCTACTTTTGAGACCACCTCATTGAGGAGATGATGAAAGAGTGGCTGAATGTAAGGAGACCAGGTGTTTTTTTCCACTCATCACCATCGCTGTTAATATGTAACTCCATGCGTGCCCATCTCACAGCTGATGTGAAAAACATGGGGAAACAAATTAACGCTGTGCTCGCTGTTCAAACCGCTCGACATCGGTGTGAACCGGACCCAGCAGGTGCAGCAGAAGCAGCGAGTTTACATGCAAAGTCAATGGTTGACGCGCGTATAGGTGCAGCAAAAGGTCCCGCAGTGCGTTTTGAGCAGCAGGCGCTGCGTCGGGAGCGTTTAAGCATCTGACGCACCGCCAACGCGCTGCTGCTGCTCCAGATGGAAAAATTGAAGTTTTGATGCTGGACGTGCCGCATCAACCAATCAGAGAAGCTGATCTGGGAGCTGACAGCGAGACAGACACAGCGCTCTGATGACATATGATATTAGCGCAAATGAAAAGGGCTGGATGCATAAGCGTCGTTAGACCTATTTAAGGGTGGCTTCAGACATCCTTTCTTTGGCATTAGCCACCTTATAATTATTTTGCGATTTAAAAAAAAATATATTTTTTTTCTGTATTTATTTTTTCCTCATATTTTCCCAAAACAAATGCAGTAAAGCACCGAATAAAAGCCATAAAGAAGACAAGTTAATCTGAACAATCATAGGCGTAACTTCCTTAAGGACTGGTGTGGTCCCCACCAATCTTGACCGGTAGGGGGACAGTCCCCACCAATATTTTGTACACGTATTTTGCTTTCGGTGCTGTGTATATCAGATTAAAACCCCATTCATGCCGCTCCTGAGAAAGAAAATAAAAAAAGTTCTCCCCGCTGCTCACCGTCCACAAACCCCGACAAAAAACTCAGAAAAAAGAATCTGTTGCCTCTCGCTTTCTCCCCATCACCCCCCTCCGCCCTCTCCCCATAACACCTGTCGCTTCCCTCCAAAAATGCTAATCCATTCAGGGACAGAAGTGGACTCAGACTTGCAGGTGAGAGGGACTTGTGGAAATATTAAGACCTAATTTTAGTCAGGAGAGACTTAAAGTAGTAAAAGAATAGAGAATAGTGTAAAAATAAGTTAATACCGTATTTAAAATATAACTGAATCGTTGGAAAAAAAACTCAAACCACTCTTTTCCGGCCCTGTTATGTCAGTTACACTAGAGTCCTGCAACGGGTCGGGTACCCGCGAAAAATACATTCAAAAAAAAAATAAACGGGTCGGGCGGATATTTTTTTAGTCCGGGCGGGTAGTTGGTGATTTTTTTTATGCGTGTGTGTTGTTATGGACATCAGAAATGTTATATTAATCAGGCACTGGGTGCAGCGCAGCGTACAATAGCCTATGATGTGTTAACGGGTCGGGTTGCGGGTTAAATATCAACGGGTCGGGTCGGGTTCGGATTTGAATTGAAGATATCCGCGGGTGACGGGTCGGGTTCAATCGTCATCCTAACGGGTTCGGGCGGGTGCGGGTTGGTAAAACTCGACCCATGCAGGTCTGACTACATTCAGTATCGTTGCCATAGAAACAGACAACAGCGCCAATATATCAGAATTATACTAAAACACACGCAAATAATTTCCCACATAAAAAACAGGACTTTCAGTCCATTACAGTTTTCCGTTTTTAGAGGGTTGTTTATTTTGCGTTTATTAAGTGATGGCTGTGGTATATTAGCTTTCACTGCTATAAGCTTTCGCAGCAGTGATTGATTAATTTAAACACCTGCCCTACTGATGGTCTATCGGAGTTGGTGTTTAGGTTGAACATAAAGAACACCTTTTATTTGAAGCTTCTTGTAGCTACTGTTTTAATCCCGGCTTCACTTAAAACTTTTTCCTGACTTTGATAGTGTTGCCATTCAGTAGCAAGCACTGCGCCCCTTTTTCTTTTATATGTACACGTTCATTTAAGATTTAGCGTGTTAATTTGACAACTCATGAGCAAGCTGTTTTTTGCAATCTAGCAGGTAAGGATAGGATCTTGCAGGTGTGACGTCACTCTGCAGGGGGTCCAAAGAAAAAAGATTTAAACAATTTTGGCATTGGAATTTCAGATTTAAGGGAGTTAGAAAGTTCACTTAGTAAAAGTGCAAATAATAAATCTGATTACCGATTACTTTTAAGCTGGTTGAACATACTGCGACAGACTGGTGACCTGTCCAGGGTGATCCCACCTCTCACCCAGAACGTGGCTAGAGATATATGCACCAGCACCTCCTGATCCCACTGAGGGATAAGGTTAAAGAAAATGGATGGTTGAACATAGTCCGCTCTCCCAGATTCTATCAAATCAGTATTGATATCCTCAGGGGCGGATTTAGGAAATTTGGGGCCCTAGGCAAAGTCAGGCAGGGGGCCCCATGAGAAGAAAACCCATAAAACAGACCCATTCTACAGATAGAGAAATGTTAATAGAATAGACATCCATTATTTGTTCTAGGTTTTGTCCCTCTCTTCTTGTCCCTTTTTCCTCTCTATTTATCAGCGTTCTGATGGCATATTAGCCAAAGGATTTTTATCAAAAAACATAATTAATGTGCACAAATAAGGATTAGTTGTATTAACCATACATGGAAACAGAGTTTTATGGGGCCCCAAGGAACTTGGGGCCCTATGCAACTGCCTAGTATTGCCTAATGGTAAATCCCCCCCTGGATACCCTGCTGGTGGATGTTCTTGACAGAAAGACGGAGTTGCTTAATCATATTCTGCTTAAGGCCCCATAAGATCTTGTCAGAGTCCTGCTTTAAAAGTAAATTAATTTTAAAAAGTGACCCAAAATTGACTGTCAATAAATGTTCTACAAAATTGATATATTTATTTGATTTCTTTGATTTGTACTGTCTGTTTAGATTTATGTGATATTTTTTGCACAAAATATATAAGGGAATATTGTAACAGTTATGTTTTCAACTGTAAGCATTAAACTGATAAATGTTATTCGCATTTTTTTGGCTTTATCCTTTCCAACAAAAAAAAAAAAAGGCGTCGTGCAGGTAGCTCCCTTTCCTTATGAGCCGTCCCCACCAACTTTCAACACAAAGTTACACCCTTGTCTTAGACCCGCGGTTCTCAAAGTGTGTGGCGCGACCCACTGGTGGGGAATTGAGACGTGACAGGTGGGGCGCGCCAAGTTCCGGTGTGTGTGTGTGTGTGTGTGTGTGTGACTATAACGTGTGAGAGCAAACTGTCCTTATAGCTGTATGTTGCCGCTTTTTAGACTAATCAAACCCACAAAGTAATCATTACTAGCCTACATGCAGTCTAATTAAAAGAACATTAGATATGAGAAAAATTTCACCTGGAACTGAAGTACCAAAATGATGATTGACGTGACGTCGGCATATTATTTGTAACGGAATAAACTTTCGCGCCCCAGTGTTGCCAACTCAGCGACTTTGTCGCCATATTTCAGACCCCTCCAGCGACTCTTTTTCAAAAAAGCGACTAGCGACAAATCTAGCGACTTTTGGAGAACATACTCCGTCAGCGCTCCGCCCCGCTGCGCTCCAGACCGCCTGCACAAAGCAAAGCCTACAGCCGCCGCTGTCCCCTCCGCTCCGCTCTGAGTTCCTTGGAGATCGTAGAGGGCATGCGCCAGATGAACCAGGGTTTCCGCGGATCATTAAAAATAATTACAATTCATAATTCTTTTTTTAATCAAGCCCTTAATTGGCACTAAAATTAATTAAATATGTTTATCGTTGCATTTATGATTCTTTAATAAAAATGCTTCTAAAAACAATTTCGTCAGATATTATATCGCTATTAATTTGCGTGGAACTGTTTATAAAGCCGTATGTTCGGAAAGGAAGCTCGAGGCGGAGAAAAAGCTAGAGAATATATATACGTATATATATGTGTGTGTGTGTGTTTTTACATACATACAGGAGTCATGGAACTGTGCTTACAGCTCCATATTTCATGTACACTAATAACTTGTGTACATGGTTCTTGTTAATGGCATTAAAATCATTTCAAATAGCATTAAAATAGCATTAAATTAGAGTCACTCATTCCTGTATGAACCCTGTGAGCGCTTAATTTAGTATGACATATTAAAAAAATCCCACCATCATCCAGCATATGTTCAGTTTCTGCCCAAATATATATATATATATATATTTTTTTGTAGATTTTTGTAACAGAGATAAGGATAATTCAAAACTGCTTTTTTTTTTATGAACTTGTTCTCTACAACTCAGCATCTCTTTTCATTCATGTAATAAGAAGTTTCTTTTGAATGGATTTGATTAAACTTTAAGTCCCTCGGTATAAAATAAATATTTTAATGGAGATGAGAAATCTGCTTCCTGGTTGGTGAATAACCAATAGTTTGGATCCAATCATTTAAATAAACGGTGTTAGTTTTTTTATTTTTTTTATTTTTTAGATATTTATAAGAATTGTGCTATAATTTCTAGTCACCGATCTGTTGCTACTATATTTTAATTTGACGAACCGGAATTTGTCGAGGTTCTTATTCCTGTTTGGTGCGATTGCAATTGCGGATCTTGACCTGGCCGGACCGGAGCGGAGCAAAAAATAGCTCGGCTCCGTAATTTGTCGGTGACGGACGGAGAAGACGTACGTGGACGGAGACGTGCGGAGGAGTAGCGGTGGATGTGGAACAGCTCTCATTGATTTCCATGAAAGACAAGCGCTCCGCACGACGTACGTCAGCGGGGCGGAGCGGAGCGGAGCGCTGACGGAGTATGTGGAATCTGGGGGTTACGGGAAAGCACGTATCGTTCCTTTTCTTGTCCTGCTGCCGTGGGGCGCCTCCTCCCTCCCAACCCCGTTCTCCCCCACTATCGCAGGAGTCGCTCTCAGCGCTGCAGTCAGAGACACAGCATGTTTACCCTCAGCGTCCAGACTGCAAATGAAGCGCACATGCGCCGGGATTGACGGCGCAGGTTGATCATAAATAACTGAATTTGAAATATTTTATCTTAAATAAATAACGGCGTTTGATTCACACAGCCACATGTTCATGTTTCTAGTTTGGAGTGGAGAGGGAGTATCCACTCATCTGGCAGAGAGCTGTGTGCATTCTTCTTCCCTTTGCCACATCATATCTCTGTGAGATGGGCTTTTCAGCTGCTGCTTCACTGAAAACAAAGCATGACTTGAGAGTGGCAGTATCAAGCCTGCAACCCCGTTTTGAGAAACTGTGCAATGCAAAACAGGCTCATTGAAGCCACTAATGCAGGGATAAATAGACCTGTATTGCCAGATGGATTTCACTTATTTTCTTTTATTAACAGATTGCAGAGTGGCACATTAATTTTTTCTATCTTTGAGCTTGATACAAATTTTGACACAGCTGCATTTTTATTTTCTTTATTTTTGAGCTTGCTGTTATTTGATGTAGATAGTTTGTATTTAGATACTACTTGTTACTTCAATAAAATTGGAACATTTTAAGATTGTTTCATATTTCATTAGCATTGTAGCACAGGCGGGGCTTGAAAATTCCCCCTTGTCCAAAGTGGGGAATGACAGAAAAAGTTTGAGAACCACTGTCTTAGACAACGCCTTAGCAGGTAAACTGAAAAAATTTCAGCGCGCGCTTGGCGCGCAACATCTTCTAGGGGCTGAGCCACCCATATCTCTTAAACCTAGAGACGCCCCTGGCTGGATGGATGAGGAGATGATGAAAGCGTGGCTGAGGCAGGTGTATGTAAGGAGAACAGGTGTTTTTTTCCACGCATCACCATCGCAGTTAATCTGTGACTCCATGCGTGCCCATCTCACAGCTGATGAGAAAAACATGGTGAATCAAATGAACGCTGTGCTCGCCGTTATCCCGGGAGGTCTGACAAAGGAACTTCAACCGCTCGACATCGGTGTGAAGCGGCCGTTCAAAGTAAGGCTGCGAGCGGCGTGGGAGCAATGGATGACCGACGGAGACCACAGTTTCAGGATAAGTGGAAGGCAGCGCCGGGCAAGTTACGCCACCGTTTGCGGATGGATTGCAGATGCTTGGACTAACGTGTCTGCTGGCTCTGTTGTTCGAGCTTTCACAAAAGCAGGCATTATTTCTGAGGAGCCGCGCTGCACGGAAAGTGACTCTGACAGCGAAGAAGGGGAAACTGGCATGTCTGATTTAGCGCAGCTGTTTAATTCAGAAACAGAGGATGATGACTTTGATGGGTTTGATTAATACTTTGTAATAAATACATGAATAAAGCACAATCATACTCAGTTTTGCTCCCGCTCTATTTTTCTACCTGAAAACTTAATTCAACAGCAGCCTCTGGGCGGGTCTCCTCCTCTTCACCGCGGCGGCTGGCAGGTGTTTTTTCATCTAAATAATCTAAATCTTGCAGCTATATTTGCTGTGATCAGTGGGAATAAAGTAGTTTTAATATGTTTTTAAGTGAGAAAGTCCACCTGAAAACTTCATAATTGCAGTCAGTTCATCCAGATTATCTATTTCTGTCGGAGGCGCTCAGACCCCCACATACCAGCGGAGCACCGACAGCAGAAATCCCTTCAACAGCAGCCTCTGGGCCGGGTAGCCTCCAGGTTCACCGCGGCTGCTGGCAGGTGTTTTTCATCTAAATAATTTTAGCTGCAGGCACCAGGATACCGGTAATAAAAGCGAACAAATTCCGTCGGCAGGTTTCAGGATTTTAAGTTAATTTAGGAGTGATCACAGCGCTCTGTCATCTGCGATGTGTCTATCTCACGGCCAGCACCCAGGTTTGATTAATACTTTGTAATAAATACATGAATAAAGCACAGTCATACTCAGTTTTGCCCCCGCTGTATTTTTAAATACGCAGTAGAGGTATTTAAAGGTAGTAGAGGACATGTACCTGTATATAAAAAACGCGCCCTATAGTCCGGTGCGCCTTATGTGTGTGTTAAATACAGAAATGGGACACATAACTGAGAGTGCGCCTTTTAGTAAGGTGCGCCTTATGGTCGTGAAAATTGTGTAATTTAAAGGACTTTCACTCTTTACCCTGAGGTATTGCAGCAGGTCAATTTGAGTCTTCTCCAGGCCCACCCAGTTGCCATTCCAATCAGATGCCTTCTGATACAGTGGATATTTCTCTAGCTGTTCCCTCTGAGGCTTTGTGTAGGTATCTGGCTGTGCACAGAGTAAAAAAAAGTTGTTAATTCTATTATTATGTGATTATGATAATGTAATTCATAATAAATGCTTGCATAAAAAATATTTGTATTATGTTAAAAAAAAATAAAGGTTTTAATTAAATAAATGAAATATATATAAACTGTAAACAGATGTAACAAAACTTTCAAAACAAACAGCTTAGCAAGAAAAAATGAAACATGCCATGATAATAAGGTCTATTATGGAAATGAAATAGATCAAGGTGATATTTACAACTGTGCAATTGTATTGTTGGGGCACTATCGTCTTCAGTTGGTACAGCATTTTACACACAATGATGACACACGTCCAGACAGTGCAAACACTGGAAGCAAGGGGTTGATACTGGCTGTAGGGCAGTGCAAAGGCCCACGATGCCAGGAACACAACATTGAGCAAAGACACCTGCATAGGAGACAATAAAAGGGGTGAGAACATGAAAAATGGTCACATTCAAAGTGAACAGGGAACTATATCAGACATTTTTTGTCTGCTTAAGAAAAACTTTGTACACAGTGTATTATGGGGTTTAAAGGTGTCATTTGGCAACTGATTCCGCAATAGAGAGAATACAGGCTTCTTTTTAGAAGAAATAAGCGGGAAAACTTTTATATGGAAAGAAAAGGATCTCATTCAGAACAAACAAGTAGACAAAATTATGTACAACTATGAGAGAACCACATAATATTAATTGTATTACTAAAGAGCTCAAATATTGTTTTGCGCAGAAACAAGATGGGTCACTGCAGGAAGAAGTCAGCTTAATTAAATAGCTAGTAAAATGCAAACCCTATAAGTCTGTGACTGACATGAAAAGAACCTCATTATGGACCGAACTCATATATTACCTTGCAAAAGTAGTGACATGTCTAAATCATTTTAACCTTTTGTCACACTAAGAAACTTGAATGTACTGTACTTGGGTTTTGTTCGTAGATATGCTCCTTTGTTTCTTTGAGAGTCAGATAATAGCACTTTTCTATATAAGATATCCAAACATGAATCAGCCCTTTTTTTTTTGTCTTTTTTTCTTGGCTTTAGTAAATGCATGACCTCAAACAATAACACATCAGTTCACACTATTGTTCAGAAATATAAGCCCTACTTCACTCTTGACAAAGATGCGACTACGACAGATTAGATGCACTGTAAACAGTCTGGAAAATGCCTCCTCTGTTTGTCTCGCACTCTGGGGATGGTTTGTTCCAGATGATGAGCACTCCCTGGTTTTTGTAGCTTGTAATTTTTGAATTTCAGCCAAAAAAAGTTTCATTCTGGTCTCCTGAGATGGAAGCATGCTCTTTAACATGTTTGTTATGTGATGTTATGTGGTGTTATGTTTGTACTGTACATGTGCCAAAGTGAAAAGCCTTCTACATGTTTTTGTTAACCAATATATTTCTTCTTGCCTGTTTAAAAGCAAGGACCACCATTTTGGAGTGAGTGACTAATTGTTATCCTCTCCACAGATCTTCCATCTGAGCTATGATCCACAGGAGTCCCCATGCATGGGCATCTTGGCTGCTTCTCTGTTTAATGCTCTTGGTAAAAAAAAAAATAATTCACACCAGCAAATGTTACATGTCCTTATGAAAACGGCAACTTTTATTATTATTATTATTATTATTATTATTATTATTATTATTATTATTAATATTATTATTATTATTATTATTATCATTATCATTATTATTATTATATATTTATACAGCTCTTAAATAAATAAAAATGTTGTAAATTCTCAAGAAACACAGCTTATATTTCTATTTTCAGGTCATAAAATTAAGGAAAACGTGACATTTTATCATAACAGGGGATTCCATCTGTGGGATTTTTATATATAAGAAATTTGAAAACAAACATTTTTATCACGATTCATTGTAGAAAGTCCAAAAAGCCACTAGTGGCTTTTCAAATTAGATGAGTGCTAAAGGTCATTGGTTGCAATGGACTTCATTTAAGGAAAAAAGAGTGAATGGGAAAAAAAACCATTGCACAGTAGTTTAGTGATGAAATATACTGTTTTGCACTGGTCTACAGACAAATACCATTTTAACCTAATCAAGTTTGTGGTTGTAATGAGAGAGTAAAACTATTTAAATGGGTATCAATATTTCTGCAAGGTACTAGTGTTGCACCGATACCGATACCAGTATCGGACGGGGCCCCGATACTGCCCTAAAATGGTGGTATCGGTATAGGCGAGTACCAACAAATAGGGCACGGATACCATTTTGAGAGCCATAAGTTTATTCAACTATTGTCACCCACTCCTGGTAGGCAATAAAAACTTTTTATTTTTATTATACAGTAGAACTTTTTATCAAAAAGTTCTACTTGATTCACTTTTTATTATTTTTTCCTACTTCACAAAGGTAGGCAGCAGCTTGACAAAGCCATGATGGCAATTATTTTACATTATTATGATATCGGTATCGGCCGATACTGCACAGGCAGGTATCGGGGCCAAAAAATGGCATCGGCGCAACACTACAAGGTACTGTACATGCAAGGCTGTTGCAAGTTTACTTTTTTAAATATTCTAAGAAGTATTTCTCCATATTTCTAAAGTGCACTTAGAAAATGATGCTGCTCAATCTGAAGCAGATTCTTAAGTTCTTTTACCTCGTTGATGCAGACCATAACAATGTAACAAGATACGATCTTGATGATGTGGATCTCCAGTAGCCACCATATGAAGAGCTGCAGTTTGTGGAAGTACTCCAGGAACTTGAGGAAGAGCACGGTGAGGCGGTCGACCACCAGGTGCCACTTATTCTTAAAATCTGGAGAAAAAAAAAGAGACGTTATTTACAAATCTTTCTTCAAACAGCCAGTCATATCTTTTTGTGGTCTCAGGAAGACATGTTCTTCAGGGTTTTTGTAGGTCTTTCAAAGGATTTATTTTGGAGGTGGCTTATTGTTCCCCACTTACAGACAAGGAAAAAAAAAAAAAAAAAAAAAAAAAAAAAAACCTTATAAGGGGAAGTGCCCCTTTGCAAGGCACTTCACGAATGAATGTGTGCACTTTTAAAAGCACCATTGGTTAATGTGGTTCTGATGTTAAGGACTTTCTAAGGACTCCGAACGCAGATAGTGGCAGTCCATGAACCCACAGGGAGCTTTGTCAAAAGCTTCAGGTAAAGCCTGGAAAATATATAGGAACTCTGCTGAGGCCTGAAGACTGAGAAGAGGCCCAAGAGTTGGCCGGGATCCACAGATGAGCTCTGGAGCTGGAAGGCTAAGGGCCTCCGACAGCAATCCAAGAGAGAACCCAAGATGGAGTTCAGGAGCAGAAATGCCGGAGACCTCTTGAGCAGAAGTATTAAGGTGAGGCAGTTTGTCCTCAAACCCATCAGGAAGAGAAACACTGAGAACATCTGGAGCAGGAACAAAAGGCATATCCACTTGTGCACTCTCGTCAAAGACCTCTGAACCTTGGGCCTGAGGCGGCAGCAGCTGCTTGAGGCAAGGAGCTGGCACTGACGCTGTCATCAAGAGGTGAGGAGCAGGCTTATCTTCTGGCATCAAGGTAAGCAGGCTTTAGAACCTGGAGGAGGGAAGTAGACTGGGGATGTGCTAGCGAGGTGCTTTACAGACATTTGCAGAAGTTGAGTAGATTACCCTGAAGTGCAACAGGATCCCTTCCTAAAAGTGAACACCAGAACACGAAGCAGGCTGAGGGCCTGTTGGCACAGGGCTGGACTGAACCTCGCAAAAGAACAGCGGGGTGCTGAAAACTGGCTGAGTGGCTCAACTTGTATGCATGCGCCTTCTCTGCATGGATGGAGCTCTGCTCTGGATGGGGGATAAGAGCTGGCATAACGAGACAGACCAGTTCCAGGAGGGAGGATGCCAGTTTTAGGCCCCTGAATGGTAACTGATCCTCCTCCACTTCCTAAGCCCCACACAAGCTTTGTACCAGCTGCTAATGGGTTGCAAAGATCAAGATAACATTTGTTACCTAAACCATGCTTCTGATAGTCTGACCCTGTTGTCATCGTTTGTGGCGGAGAAAGATTGAATCGGCAACAGCATAGGACATACTGGATTTCAAAATAGGTTTTAAAGACACAAGGAACAGGCCAAGTATAAACTGAAAATTGGTGTCATTCCAGAAAACAGTGCCCTTCAATCTTATGATTTAAAATTATTTACTCCTCCACAGCTCCTGTTCTTTTACCTTTATTATGAGTGGGATGAGTTACATAAGTAGGCAAACTGGCCTAAATAATGGGATCTGGAAAATTTTTGTTTGTCTTGAATATTTCAAATTTTGCTTAAAGGCTGGCAACAGTGAATTTTAAATGCAGTTTTTGCACAAAAATTGTAGACACTGACTTAAATATCGGATTTTTTAAACCTTAGGTTTAATGATCTGGGAAGTAGAACGTTATGTAAAACTCAGTTTTATATTCTCATAAAGGATATAAAATGTCCAGCTCAGAGCGTTTTTAACAGAGGTCTTGTTGTTTGGATAAGAACGGATATCGCAGCGACAGCTCATTATAAACCAAGAGGTCCTGCGGGGCCCTGTTTTATTACCTCTTTAATTTTCTATGTATATAAACTGCATTTCAATTTAAGAGCAGCTTGACTTTCTGAAGCCATAGTTGATGTCAGCAGGAGAGAGAAAGTGAACACTGCGTCAGAAAATAAAAGTAGATATAAATCCACAGAATGCAGATATAAAAAAAAAAAAAATCTGTAATGCAACCCATTTTTTACCGCTTGGGCTAGACTGATAATTACTAGCTGGTGGGGCAGAGAACTGGCCAGTAAGAACTGTATGCCACATGGTAAATACCAGGCTGCCTGCAAGAATGGGTCTGCACACTCACAGCTGATTGGAAATGTCTATAAATAAATAAATAAATTGAATTTCAGCTGCAAACAAAATGATTTACATGATGCATAGTGCAAACTAAATACAGCCTTTGCAAAAAGTTAAGTATGCAAGGTAGAATGCTGTGGCTTCACACATTCTATCCAATCTCAATCATTGCAGACGTGGTGAAATCTGTTGGTAAATTTAGAATCGCTCTTCTTCTCAGGACTCCTAAGGGTTCTTCAAAGGAGCATTACTGTTCTGTTCAAGGTCATCTCAAGGCATCAAAATGAAGCTTTCAGCACATTTAGAGTGTGGACCTGTGTTGCCCTGTACCTGAGCTCTCCTCTGTGCTCGGCTCTGGCTCTGTTGCAGCGCTGCAGCGCTGACTGTCCTCTGTGCTGGACTGGCGTTGGTCGGAGAAGCTTTTGGGCTTCTCGTCACTCATGCTGTCGACAGTGTCCGTCACAACAACAAGGGCCTGCTCCGTCTCGTTCCCTGAGCCCCAGCTCTGCTGCTCCTCCTCCTTCTCCTCCTTCTCTTTGGGCAGCGTAGCCTCAATCGAGCTGGCACTGAGCATGGTGAGGTCCTCCAGGCTTGCAGCAGGCTCTGCCAGTCTGAAAATATAGGGGCATGGTTATACCACTTGCACGTTTGTCAATGTTGTTCTGCATGTGACTCTTTTAATATACTTATGAGGACCTCTGGGAGTTTTTACTATCACCCCCTAAGTTTGGTGATTAGATTGTTTCTGTCTCCTCATCAGGTATTTTTTCTAGGTGCAGTAAACCTACTTGTTGACCCATTAAATTAAAGGAATATATTAATCCACCAAATATCAGCTTTTTCATTAACTAATAAATGTTGGCTACTATTCTTTTCCAATCATCAGTAGGTGTTTCACAGTGATAAACTTTGACTGAGCTATAAAGTCCCTGGTTAATGTCCTTTGGATTACTTTTGTCTAACTGGACGGATCGTCTAAAGGCAGATATGTTCTTAGTAGGAAACATCTTCATTCTTCTACAGCTTAACCAAAATGAAGGAAGGGAAAAAGCTAAGAAATAAATTAAACAAATTAAAGAAATTAAGGAAAAACTAAAAAATCAATACAAGAAACGAAGGGAAATTTGATAAAAAAAAGAATTAAGAAAAAGACGGAAGAGAGAAAAATGAAAGATGGAAAGACTCAAGGAAAAGACATCAGAAGATTTGCAGTGAGATACAAAATAAGAGACATCGGAGGGAAAACGGAGGTAAAAAGGGATAGAACTAAGAAAAGAAGGAAAAAAGAGACAGGATAGGGATGTAAGGAAGTACATATAAAGGAGACCAAAAAGGTAGCGGGCAGTTAGGTCAGGGGATGGCCTGAACACTTCTCACATTTGCACCCAGACTTCTCTCCCTCTATTCTTCTCTGAGAATAGACATATTTAAATATTTTGGTCGACTGACTGAGACTACTGCAGACCGATGCAAGCTTCCCTGCCAAGAGAAATGGCTGTAAAGCAGAGATGGCAAAAGTACTCATTTTCCGTACTTGAGTAAAAGTACAGATACTTGTGTCAAAAAATACTCTGGTAAAAGTGGAAGTACTGATTAAACTTCTTTACTCAAGTAAAAGTAACAAAGTACAGGCTTGTAAATTTACTTAAAGTATAAAAGTCAAAGTAGAAACCACTTTTTTCATGCCGTTGCCTACATTTTAAATGGATGTCTGCCAATAGGACTAGATCTCCGTTGTGTTCATTTTCAATCATCTCATCGTCCATGCTACTATGCTAACGCCACCGCCACCAAGCTGCAATGATTTGCCGCGAATGAATACCGCCGAATCTGTCGATTCATCTTGTAGTGGTGCGTCAAATGCAACGTAGATTCCCATCCAATTAGATTGAATTTGGTATTGATGACGTGAAAAATAATAACGGCAACTCCATTGAAATGATTCAAAACTAAAGTAACGAGCAAATTTTAAAAAATGTAAGGAGTAGAAAGTACAGATATTTGTGTAAAAATGTAAGGAGTAGAAGTAAAAAGTCGCCATAAAAATAAGTAGTAAAGTAAAGTAAAAATATCAGAAAAATCTACTTGAGTACAGTAACGAAGTATTTGTACTTCGTTACTTCCCATCTCTGCTGTAAAGTAAAAAAACATGAAGTCTGATGTAAGCCTTGGAAATATTTCTCCTTCAAATCAACATCAAAGCAGGACTGTACACTTTTAGCTTTATTTCATTATCATTTAATAAAAAAACATAGACTAAAAACTTCAATTATTCTAAGATTCCCATTTGTTACATATTTTTCTGTGAGTTTTTTATTTTTATTTTTATTTTAAAACCAGGTATTTTAAAAGTTTGGCCTAAAACACGACTTCATTTTACATCATTTTGACATGACGAAATTGTAATCGGAGTATAGAACCCAAATAGGTTTGAGTTATTTCCTTTTCCTTTTTTTAAAGAGCCTTTGTATTGTCACATAAGAAAGTCGGAGACACACATTATACACAATGAGAACTGGTCCTCTAACATTGGAGGGCCAGTTCGGTGCAGCAGTCTGTTTCCTGTATTGTATTATCTCTGCACTGCGATTGTCCAAATGGCTCTTTTCAAGGTACACTAACTACCTGTATGCAAAGCAGAGAAAAGGCTGAACCTTTCCTTCTAGAAATAAAACCTATTAACTTTTTGGAGGAAAATTTATCAAGCATAAACAACTCATTAGAAGTTTGCTTTTATGGTCTATAAAACAAAGTAAACTACAGCAGTTCTGAGCTGTGGAGGTAAAAGAATGACAGTCTGCAGACCTGCACAGGCACATAGCGATAACTTTCACCAATAAAACCATGCAAACTTTGTCATTTTCTTGGATAATTAGACAGCTGTACATTAAATATTGAGGTCCTCATACGTATACAAATACAAACCCAATTATTCACATTGATGCAAAAGTTCAATAGGGATTAATTAGCTCTAAATGCTACCTGAATTTCATCAGGCATTGTAATCATAAAGCAGTGCACATTCCTTCTGCATTCTTTAAAAAAATCAATGTTATTCCATTACTTTCATCTTAGAGCAGCTAAATATCAGCTAAAGGGAGGCAGTAACCCTCCTGTAAAGTCTCCTCAGGCAATGGAGCACTGTCAAGGTTCAGGTTTGGCTTACACAAACCGGCTGCATATCAAGGCAAGCATTCTGCCATCCAGCAGTCAACACTTACTTGCTCTGTCGAGAAGGAATTTTTTCTTTGATGCTGCTCAGGACAATAAAGTTACACAGATGTGAATGATAACACAAGAAGGAGATCAGACCTGAAAATCACTCAAATATCCACACACACATTCAGAGTGCATAAAAACTGGCCACAGGAGTAAAGTCATTTAAGGGAGACAGGTTTTATTAGCAGGATGGGATTTTTTTTCTAGGGCATAAAAAGGATGTGGTTCATTGGGAAGTTGCTGAGGAGAAAGATGATGATCTCACAGATTCAAACATGCTGAGAAAAAAATATTTCTGTCAGAAGAATTTAGGTTTAAAGAACTTTCTTAGGCAACAAGCAGAACACAAAAATATAGAAAACCTGCATGGGAAAACCAGTCCTGTCATGTAAATGTAAAACATCTCAAATCCAGGAAAATTCATTGTTGTGCAGCAAAAAAAAAAAAAAAAAAAAGAAGGAAATAAAAAAGGTTTGGGAAAGGGACAGTCATGTCCTTAGACGCTGGGATTCAACTGAGGTTAAGATGGTGACCACAGAAAAAGCGAGCAGATACCCACCTATTAATGATCAAATCGACCCGTTCTCTGACTTTAACATGGCTGTGAGAGAAGGGCGGCAGAGAAAACATGGCAGCCGGTCACAGACAAGAAGCAGCTGAGCCGAGCGAAACAATAACCAAACACATAACAGTAAACCAAAGAACCAATCCCTCACACTGGGACATGAGAAATGATGAGCACAGTGGTTATAATGGACCTTTAGGAGAAAATGTGAAAGAAAAAAAATAAAGCTAATGCATTCAACACAGGGTCCATCTAGCATGCATTTATCTATATGTTAGAGTAACTGGGTTTTCTGGAATAACATCTTCTTAAATAGTTTTCAGCCTTCAAAAAGCCTATGGTGAAAAATTATAAACCAGGAGGTAATACAGTATTATAGTCACCACTGGTAAATTCAGATCACAACATTTAACCATCAAGGCTGTTTATTTTTTCCCAGAAGGTCTGCATAGCGGTAAAAACAATAAATATTATACAGTATCCCAGTCAGGTTCGAAAACAAATAAGAGCTCCTGTTCTCTGTAATGTTAGTTTCAATCAGTATTTCCTAATTTCGTGATGTATTTTCTGTCATAGTCAATTGAATTATCACAATTTCCCCACTGTTGAACAATAAAGGGATTTTCTATTCTAAATAACATGCTGTGGTCATTTTTGCACATCTCTGTTGTGTCTGCTTTTTTGCACATTATCATTACTCATTATTACATTGATTATTCATTCTCCAGATGTACAGTATTTATATTGTAAAAACACAGTACAGTTTATTTTTCTTAACTCTGTCACCTATTTTTTATACACTTTTTAAGGTCCACATTTGTGTGACCACTTTTGCTATAATTGTTTGCTGCAGTTACAAAGCAATTCCCCCATTGTGGGACAATAAAGGGCTATTCTATTCTATTCTATTTTATTCTATTCTATTCTAGTGGTATTTTTATTGTAAAATGACCAAACTTTGGGAGTCAGAAATCAAAAACCAGATAACATTTAGGGGGAGTAAAATACATCACCTCAAAATAATAACAGAAAACAATAAGCCAAACAAACACCAGTACAAGGTCATCTAGAGCCTTGATTCTCAGACTATTTTGTAAGTACCAATGGAGCTACTTAAACTCCTTAAATTACCATGTACCATTTAAAGTCCTTAGTGTAAAACATACTCGTATTAATTATCTACAGGGTAAATACAGAAAAATAAATGTTATAATAATCAAAAAAGAAAGATTAGCCAAAATATGGCAGCACAAACATAAACCTTTCGAAAGGGGATAAATTTGTTGTTCTCGTAGTGGTTTCCAATTACTGATGTCGATCTAGAAATTAACATCTCATGTTTCAAGTGGGAACACCTGAGTGACATGTAAACAGTGCTGCAGTGCAAGCTAATACAAGTGTATTTATTAGCTCTTTTCACCAGAAACTATAAAAACATGCGCTCTAAAGACAGCTGCATATGCACGACAGACCCTATGATTAAACAAAGTCACTTTTTTTCCACTTGTTAGATTTCAAGCTCTAATTTCTATGGAGCTTTTAGGTCATTCTTTAAAATTCAAACATGAAAACTTTGTTTTGTTGTTGTTGCAACCTGTGGCTCTGGACTGCGAGTGGCTGTTTGAAACCTGTACAATGTCTCTTCAGAGAGGCTAAAATGATATAGAGAAACAACATATTTAGTAGAATAATGCATACCAGTCTTAGAAAGTTTATTGTGTTTAAAAAAAAAGGTTTTTTTGAATTCTCACAACAGAATGAAATTAAAATACAAAAAATAAAGTTTCAGAGCTACTTTTCTTGTTGTTAGCTTGGAAATGATCTGTTTTTTATTTCAAACAAATAATATCCTATGGAGGAAAATCTGTGCTTTATTAAATGTTTAATGATTTTCCTCATTTTTAAGCTAAAACTACAAATAAACTGTTGATTGTTTAAAATGAAAAAAAAAAATCCTATAGCATATATTTAACAAAGTTAAAATTAAGTTTTGTTTTATTCATATTTGGAGATAAACAACTTTTAATCAGCCAGGTTAGAGACCCCTGGTCTATGTGATCAGTGATTCTAACAAATGGTAATAAAAACAGCATTTAGATGTATTGCACTTTAAAATGCCCATGTTATATTTTATTAAATAAATGAATTATTTAGACAGTGGCAGAGAGAAAGGAAAGGAAAGGATATGCAAAATACTGTTAATCCTTTGTTTTCTCTTCTGGTACTAATCACAGGACTAGAATAACTTTTATAGATCAAATAGGAACCACTTAAGAGTGCTTTTTATATTTAAAGCTTAAAAAATCGTAAAAATCCTAATGAGTCGAGTTCGGTGACTTTAGGCAGAGTACACCTTATTACAGTAAGAACATTGTACCACGGTTAGGTCTTTAAAAAGATCACCAAAAAACCTTCCAGAACCAAAGCTTGTAAGCCGCCCCTGTTATTTTAAACATGTGAACATAAAGAAATTTAATAAAACATTATGCTTTGACTTCTAAGCACATCCAACCTTAAAAAATCATCAGAGTTATCACCTGTAGATGGTGCTTTCTTCTTTGGCGATCACGGCCTGGAGATCAGTGAGCTGGAGGAAGGGTTGGTGGAAGTAGTGCAGGTGGAGAATACACGCTAAGAGGAAGGAGGTGGGAATGAAGATCCTGGTGAAGAGCATGGACACTGAAAACCGCTCCAGACCCAAGTCCTTTAACCTTTAACAATAAAAAAAAAAAAAAAGTGGAAAACTCAGGTTTAGTGAATAATCAAAGATTTTGTATCATAACTTAAAGTGAGCTTCACATTTCTACACAAGAACAAAAACAAGATAATTTACCTTGATTTCAACATTCATATGTATATTTGATCCAAATGAGTCAAAAATGATTAAATAAATGAAATAAAATAAAAAAAAAAACTGGATGTTTTTCCATAGATGTGTCACATGTTTACACGCTAAAAACAGTTCCATGTGAAACACACTGGAAATATTTAGAATTGTGGTAGTACTTTCAACATATTTTAAATTTTACAAATACAAAATATCATTTCCAAATATTAGACTTTAGAAGTTTTTGCCATTCTTTTTAAATAAAACTACAAAATCCAATTCTGATTCCAATTCTAAAATAAAAAGACATTGGGAGAATCTTCAAAGCGTTGGCTATACCTCTTATGGGATATTCTAATGTATTATATAGTTTTAGCATTTATGCTCTCAATAAATGTTTTGTTTTCATAATCTGAAAGCATTTCACATGAGAAAGGCTCACCGTATCCTTCAGGTATGTGTTTTATATATATATATATATATATATATATATATACACAACACTACTAACACGTATTTATCAACAATAGCTGTATATTATCTGTAAATCTTTTATCTGCTATTTTATTTTCTATCATTATTTATCGTGTATTATAACCCCACTATCTACAATCTATAACCTTACTTTCCTGTATAATCTGTATATAGCTTCCATTTCTATTCATTTTATAGCCTCTTGCAATTACTCTCTGGTTATATACTGTATACCATTTATAGTCCATACATGCATAGTTTCTGTACACATGTAAATAAATATTTATATCCTCTATGGCACTTCTGGATAGATGCAAACTACATTTTGTTGCTTTGTATTTGTGACAGTGTAATGACAACAAAATTGAATTCTATTCTATATATAAGTTTTTATGTGAAAAATCTATTTTTTTTTTTTCCCAAATATCCCCAACTCTACCCTTTGCTATGCGTAGAGTAAGGATCCAGTGTTTATTAATGGGTTTCCATATGAGTGAGGGGCAGCTGCCTGGTAATAAGTCCATTCTGAGATTGATTTAAAAATATGCCAAAAAGTTCTCAATCGAGTTGCCAACTGATCTGCATGCTGGTGTTTGAGATATGTGGATCGGGCTTGTAAGCACTTTGGGTGACAGTTGTTACATCGGTTTCACAATCATTTCTATTTCAGTAGTCCTATGAGTTCCTCATGGCCACCAGATGCTCTATATCCTGGTTATGATCTGGTTTCCAGTTTATCTACAAACATTGGACACAAAATGTTAACAAAAAATATTTTCCCATGCATGAAACCTATTTTCCATATGTTTATCACACATTTTATTATATCAGATCAGAACTTTTCCCCTATCGACAGTTTCTTGAAATTGGGAAAAGAGTTGGCAGAGAAAACACAGGGTTTCAGGTAAATCAATGCTATGATGAGTAAGCTGTTTGATCTTGTCCAGCTGTCTTTTTGTAGGGGTGGGGAAAACCAAATATGAATCAGCATCTCCCATCAGTGGCTACTCACTTGTCCTCATCTTTCATACCCAGTGCTGATTCCCAGAATTCTTTAGAACCGTCAAACTGGAAGGTGTAGATAATGGTAAGGACCAGCATGGTGTACATCACTACAGTCATCCAAAAGTACTTTAGGATCCTTCTCCACCACTCATAGTGCACCTACAGAACACAGGAGTATAACATATCACTGGGTTTTAAACCAAAAAACATCAGGATTCTTTATCAGAAACAGAAGAAATAACATCAAAGAAATTCAGGACCTATTAATTTTACAAATATAAAACCCTGGCATAAAATATATAAATACTGTTCAGGTGTTTTTTTTTTTTTTTATATACACTGAACATGTCTCAACTGTTTTCTACCGGACATATTCTAATAAAGTGTGGCTCTCTGTTGTAACAATGAGCCATTTTCGATTTACAAAATAAACGGGAATAAATAAAAATATTTTACCCATTCAAACCTTTTATATTTTTTCACGTTTGCCATATTTTTCCACAAAATGTTAATTTGTGTTATTTTTTAGGACTTGTTTGTGACAAATTATCAATGTGAATACATTTCAAACCTATGTAGGATCAACTCTGCCATATTTAAAAAGAAATACAGAAATAAATAAATGCTCAATAAATACATAAGCATATAATTAATTGCCACCAAAAATACAAAAAAAATGTGTGTTAGTAGAAATTAAATTATACAGTGAGACATAAATGTATATAACTCTTTTAATTCGCTTCTTTATTTATTTGCCTTTGTAATATTTACCTTTTTTGTCCTTTATAATCTTCAACTTAATTTTTTAATTACTTATATTTTTAAGTATTTATTTATGTGCATGTTATAATATTTTGGTCTGTTTTATTTTTCCTTTGTATTTTTTTGCCCTAGATATTTCTTTGCTGCCATTTATTTCTGCCTGCCCTTTTTTTATTTCTGTCTGCATTTCTGCCTCATTACGCAAATGAGGAGGGGGTGTGTCCCAGGAGTCAACTTCTGCTCATTGGTTGGCGGCCCATCTTCTTAACTAACAGAGCTCAGAGTACTAAGTTAAATGTTCTCTTTTCTGTTGCTGTTGTTCAATAAAATTACGTTTTACGATTATTTGAGGCGAGAACATTATACTTTTAAGCATCAACATATGGCCTATTCACAGATTTAAAAGAAAATGTCCTGAACTTGATTAGACCGCGTCAACCAGCGGAGCTCCGAAGCTAACGGCAGCCATGTCTAACGGCAGCCCGTCTGCAGCGGCCCTCTCTCGGCATAGTCGTGTGTGAAGGACCGCTGGCTATGATGGCGATTTTTTGTTGTATTTGTATAAACGACAAAAAAATAAATGAGGTAAATATTACAAAGGCAAATATAAATAAAGAAGGTAATTAAAAGATTTATATAAATGTATGCCTCACTGTATAATTTAATTTCTACTTGCATTTATTTGTTTATTGTATTTTTGTTGGCAATTAATTGTATGCTTATTTATTTATTAAGCATTTATTTATTTCTGTATTTTTAAATATGGCAGAGTTGGTCCTCCATACAAACCCACCTGGTTGTATAAATGTCAAGAAAATTAAAATGATTTATAGGGTTTAAAATGTTTAACTCAATAATCCTTGATAAAGCATACAGATGCACTTCAAGGACTTTGTAAAGGAGTGATCACACAAGGCAGACCTTTCACCTCGCTCGCCTGCCTATGGTTGCTTGACAGTAATCTCAGGGCGATCGTTTCTATCGCTTACTGTCACAAAAGTCTCCAACAGTGCAAAAATACCTGCTAAATTTATAACCAGTCACTTTTTTAAAAACAGACACAAAAGGCGCATCTTCATCCTAAAACACAACCACGTCAACTCCTTGACTCGTTACACAAAGCAAATTAACGTAAAATTTCAGTTTGTTGAAATTTTGCCATTTCAGTTGGCACAGTTCAAATCACTCCCTGGCATTGCTGACTGTCAATTTGTTCCTGATCATGTCCTTACATAGAGATGGCATGTAAAATGAGTTTACTTATTCAGTTCCTTTTTATCAGGTGAGAATGTACCTTAAAGGGTTTTTGGAGACTGAATATTTTTCTATATGATCTTCATGTTCTCTTCCTGCTACGTTTAACTAGTTGTTTCTTTACTCTAAACCCCCAAAGCTGAGAGACTGCTGATAATCATGATATGGAAAATAGGGTGTTTGAAAGACATTAGTGCTTTAAAATGTCACATTTTAAAATGTCACATGTCAAATTTTTCGCAAAATTTCTAAAAACCCGCCCTCTCCAATAAAAACAAAAATGCACATGCACAACCCTGTACCTGCTCCCAAGAGGGAACGCCTATTAAACGAGTGTGAGAGCATGCACAAGCTCATTTCTCCTCTGTAAAAAATAACATTATATTGTGTGTTGGTAAAATCTGTTAGTACCACTTATATCAAGGAGTGATTTTACATATTATTTCCGCTGAGTATCGCTAGATAATCAGGATCGCCCCATCAACCAGTTGCTACTTTAATACAGGTTTGATTTAATTAAGCTGACACAAAGCAATTAATGGTCTGGGGGAATGTGAATAAACAGCTGATGTAGGTACAGTACCTGGTACAGAGCCACACAGGAGAGTAACATCATCATGTAGATGATCTTGTACATGACGATTGTCCCTTCAAAGCTGACGATGAAAAACATCCCACCACAGATGTAGATCCAGTATTTGACGAGAACACCCATCACCAAGCTGCCAAGAACATGCAGGAGGTCCTGCTCCCCTCCCTCCTCTTTGTCTTTTTCCTCTACAAACGTGGACAACACAAGCATACAAATATCAGAAAACATTTAAAAAATAATTATAATTTATTTTCAGACCAAACAGAATATTTATTTGTTGATATGTGTTTTAGATTCCTTACTTTTGCAGGGAAAATGGCTGTACAGACAGATAATTATAACAATCTTTACATTTCAATTAGTTAATATATATTACATCAAATTAAATAAGTTTAAATTTTTTTGGTGTAGATACCACAGTCTACCCCACCCGAGGGGGTCGGAGATTGTTTTTTTACAGGATCACGATATGGTCCTTAAGGCAAGGAGCAAAAATGTCATAATATTTATATATGAATGTCCCAAAAACAGATAAATGTACCACAAAATAGGTAGATGTCACATTAACTTATCTAATAAATTAGTAAAAAATTAAATATACCATAAAATCATAAAATGTGCGATTAAATAATTAAAATTCTCTTTAAAATTATGAATTGCATTACTACCAATGTGAATACATTTGATAACAAATAGAATCACTTAATGGACTATATGCCAAACTCCACTAGTTCCTGAACTTCAGTCCATTTCTTTGTTTCCCATCTGTCATTACTGGACAAACTGATTAATCCAGGTGTGTCTGATCTCAGTAACGATGACAACATTAGCCAGACACACCTGGATTAATCAGTTTGTCCATTAATGAAAGACAGGAAACAAAGGAGCTGGCTGAAGTTAAATAAATGAATAAATAAATAAATAAGGCATAAAATAACTATGTGTTTTATGGGATCTGTATCACTGTTCATTTTGGGATCACAGGCTGAAATACTGATTAGGACGATCTTACACTGCAGGGACCTGATACTAATAAAAAGAATAGCATACCCTCCTTCTTCTGACTGTCCACCAAGACATCCAAGAGACCTGTGTTCTCTTCTTTTTGTTTTTCCTGTCTCTCGGTTAGTGTTTGTCTCAGCAGCAACCAGAATGTCACCAGACACATCATCTAGACAAAAATAAAGCGGTTAGACTCAGACAAGAAGGAAAAGAACGGATGAATTAAATGCAGTTAACATAAACTCATTCAGAGAGAGTTACGATTGCAGATGTGCACTGTCTATGCAGTAACTCAGAGCTAAGTGTGCAGACGTTAAAGCACATGTTGTGGTTATCAGACACTTTAAAGTAAACCTTTGTTGGCTGTAGTTATGAAATATTATTGCATTTTCTGTCAACCAAACGATAAAAGCGCAAGGCATTGTTTAGAAAAAAAAGAAGTATGGGGCAAAAGAAAAAAAAGAAGGGATGTTTGTAAAATCTTTAAATTCTTAGAGCTATTCCATTATTTGGCAAAACACACACTGTGCAGTTTACATAACAGTCTAATTTCACAACTCAGCTACCGGTAAAAAAAAAGAAAGAAGTAATTCTGAATAATAACTGCATTCAAACCTTGGATGAAAGGGAGTGGAAGGGGTTTTTCTTCGTAACAAAGAATCCTGCGACTGGTTGCATATTCTCGAAACTCCAAATATACTGCAGCACTATCACCAGATTGCCGTAGGCCACCATGAAAGGAGACGACAGCATGGCGTAACGTCTCCGGTCCCTCACCATCCACAGCACACAGGACCACATGAGGAAGACGAAAGTCAGCCAGCTGACATATGTGATGCTCCACGCCTGCAGGAGGAAAATTGTGGACTTTTAATGAGTTATGAGTACCAGCTGTAAAGTCATTAATATATGTGACTGTATAAGGTCTTCTTTGCTCTATGGTGCTCCACCCTGAAATTCATACAGGACAGGAGTTTATTTATTTATATTTTGACAATTAGGCATGGCTCCTCCAGCAACATCAAGGTAGACTAGATTTCTTAAAAATGTTTTAAAAGTGTTAATTTATGAGATTTTAAAGAAAGTTTAAATGTTTATTTTTCTTTCCCATAGATGCCCTTAAAATTGCCCAACATGTAAATTGAGCTTTCTTTATTTACCTCACTTGTCTAAAAAAACTCCATTAGTGAGAGACTGATTTGGGACATGCTGCACACTTTTATTCACCTGATTACTACTGCTGGCAATGAAGGTAATGGTTGGATCACAAAAGACCAGCCACAAGTGATCTCAGAGCCAATCACAGACAGCAAATGAGCACGAAAATTAAACTTTTGCAGTGAGACTAATAGGGCCAAATGAGCAGCGTAAAATGAATAAATATTAAGGAATAGTCCTCTTCGTTGCTGAAAAAGGTATCATATTCTTTTCAAAATACCTTCTATATTAAGTTACCATTCTGACCTCGATGACATTTTACCTCTAAATGAAATAGCTGTGCGATCATAGCAGCAAAGTGTGATTCTTTTTCCCTTGGTGAGATTTTAACTTGCTGCCACATTAGCCAGTTGAAAGTACTATCTATGTGCACTGCCAGTCAGCTGGCTGAAGGAAATTAACAAGTTCCTGATTCAGTAGCAGATAATTCCCAAGATAGCTCAGATGCTTTAAATCGATCTGTCACTTTAAGTTTGAAGTAGACATGGCTGATGTAAAGACTTGTTTGCTAAGTCCCGGTGGGCACAGTTTGCACAAAAACTTGAGTTTTTTTCTGTTCAAGTCTGCCTTCATTAGTTCATAAAATTTTGCCAAGAGGTAGGGCTGGGCAAAAGATAGATTCAATTAATTAATTCAAATTAAGTTTATTTAGATGTGTTTGTATTCGAAGAACTTTGGTTGTGTATTGTAATGCAGATTTAAAAATGGTTCCCGCTCCAGATAGCTAACATGCCAGCTGTTAACAGAAGCATGGCTGCCAATTGCGCTGCAGAGTAGCGATGTGCCCCCTTCATAGCCAAAGACATGGTGACCCATTTGTACTTAATGCTTTCCTAAATAATTAAGGGTGAACAAAATCGTAAATCGAATTAAAAATAATAAAATGGGAGATTTCATTTTTAGGCCATATTGCCCAGCCATACCAAGCACTCTGCAAAACTGGCATCCAAAAATATCAGTATAGGAGTCTGAATTGCGCACTAGTACTAGCATTAGACATGCCGGTCTGCCATGCTGTATGCCGTAATAAGTGTCGTAAACCCTGACGTTATGCAATGAAAAGTATCGTTATCAATTGGATCAAACGTTAAGTGTGGGGGTTGCTCTGCTCATTATTCAGACTGAACGTCACTGGGGTTTACGTTCATTTCTTCAAAACTGATGAGTTGAGTTCAACATTCACTAAAAATATGAACATATTAAGTGAACGGTGTTCATTGAACGTATTCATGCACAACACTGACTGTCATATGTGCTGAATGAAGCAGCAGAGGATTTCATTGCATGAGAAGTTGACAGGTCAAATGCGATGACCTGAATAAAACAACGTTTTTTGTTTTAACAATCAATATAAAAATTATGTTATTTGCTAACCATCCCTTTGCTCAACTGACAGATACTGTATATGCAGAATTTCAAACTTAGGAAAACGACAGAAAAATTCTCAGAAAGCTTGTAGAGAGCTGCACATTTTTAGGCAAAAGTTAGTTTGTTTTTGGTCATATTTCAAACATTATTTTAAACTTTTTGCATGCAAAATATTGAATCATGCGGAATACTGAATGTAAGATTAACTATATACAAAGAAAATAGGTCATACTAAAATCATAGATTTTCAAAGAATCCATCAAGCTGAACAAAAAAAAAAAAAAAACTTTTCGAAAATCTTTTTTTTCTTTCTATCAAGCTTACACTTACTAATCCTCTACAGTATAATAAAGTGGCTGGAAAATGAGTGTCTTTACAAAGTATGATTAACACTAGAAATTCACATTTTAGGAGTAGGATTTTTAAATATAACACTTTTGTTGTTGTTTTTATATTCATCCAGATCTGGAAATACCAAAAACTACTGTTGTTATTTTTCCCCTTCTTGGGTTTATGCAAAGGAAGTTTAAAATTGCAAATAAAAATCAAGAGTATGTATTAATCTATAGGTTTTTCTTTATCTTGGTTTTTTTTATGTTATTTTTTAATGACTTAACATCATTAACAAATAGGTAATGTTACATGGTAGTCCAACTTTCATCCCCAATACTCACCATCATGGCTATTAGAGCACATATGTAGCTCTGTTTCATGATGAAATGGAAGAATTTAACCATTGCTCCGACTCCTTTTTTCTTAATGTCATTCTCCTCATCCTCTGACTCTTTCAGTGCCGAATCTTCTGGGGGTAAGCTCACTTCATACACAGACTCCTCTTTCTTCTCTGCTGAGATGATAAAAAAAAAGGTTATATTTTGTATCTGTTTACTAAATGGGCGAGTATGTACAAAGTGGTCCTTGTTCTTTAAAAACATGTGAATTGATTAGTTAAAGTATTCTTAGTTTTTGGAACATTTGTTTTTTTTTTTTACAATGACAAAAAAATTAGCAAATGATCTATTTTGACATTACAGAAGGTTAAACTGCAGTATCTATACTGCTACTTAAGTAACAAATCTGTGTACTTTTGACACCACTGCTATTATCCAAGTTAAAACATTTTTATTCGAAATGTTGGTTACATATGACGTGTTTTTTCTCTGGCCAGAAGTTAAATTGCAAATCCTCCCTCTTCAAGTTGGCAATCCAAAGACGAACCCGTGGTGGATCATGAGTCGGAAAGATGAACTTATTTTGTCGCTTTGTCGAATAATTTTTCACTTTTACCCAATGTATTACAACATCCAACTGCCATGCATTTTGGCATTGTCCCTTTGTCTATAGCTCTTGTGGATTTCAATAGTGAAGTCCTCTCAAAATCAAAAATAATTGTTGTTGATTGCAGTTGTGTATAATAGTTCCCATTGATTTTGCTTGTAAAGCGGGCAGAGTGGCGCTAGGCTTACCGCACTGTGACATCACTGCCTGAAGGCCGCTCCCAGACTCAGTGATTGCAACAAATTTAAAAAATTTATTTTTTTACTGATAAACCCTAAATTAATTAAATCATCACGAACTATTAATTTTAGATATACATAATGATCCAATTAATGGAAGACCAGTTTAGATAGGGTCATTTTTAGTTGTGCTAAGAAGAAGAAAATCAAAACTGAGGTAAACACTGGATTTATGTGTAGCTATCTGCTTCAATTTGCCTGTAGCTTTATTGTAAATACACTGGGGGACAATAAAGTATAACTCTAATCTCTCTTCTATTTTTCATGAAAAGCTTATTGATCTGTTTTTAATATCATCGATCAGAGTGTCCCAACTAATCCAGGCACTAAAAATCTAACAAACAACAATACCAGCTACCCCTTCCTCCAGAAGGGGTACCTTTTAGGAGCTTCATGGTTCTTTTCCTGTTCAACTTCCCCTGTAGACCACTGATGGTCAGGGTGTAGGCAGTAAACAGCAGTAAAAAAAAAAAAAGGTCTGATCACAGGCCAAACAATCTCCGTCTATGGCTAAAGAACTTTCCTTCTGTTTTCAAATCCGACCTCTTGCTGTACACCAGGGGACAAACATGAAATGTCTGATAGCTGTGTAGAAACATACTGGTTGTGTTTTATTGACATCAGGGGTTTAAAAAAAAATTTAGGTAACCATATCAAACTGAATAATGAAGGCATTGGATATTTCAAACAAAACATTTAGTCCACTGGGCTAGTCAGAATTCAAAGATTCTTATTATTACTACTTCAGGATCTGAAATAGAAGTCTTCAGGCCTCTAAATATTTTTCTGTTTTATATCTTGTTTTGACTCAAGCATTGTCAATCCTTTCCTCTGCTTTTCCTTACATCATGGTTCCGGTATGGTCAAAAACACATAATAAATATAAAAATTTGTTCTAAATTGTCCTAGAGTGAAAAAGAAACAAAAAAAACATCTTGTAGCTAATTTATTATTGGATGCTTTCCACCTGAAAATGCCATTTTAAGGATAACCACATAAGTGTCCTCGTTTTGTTTTTATACTTAAATATTTTACTCTTTTGCTGTACGGTTTAACTGTCAATGTTATGGTCTGTTTACAGTTTGCCATTGTTACATTTGAATTTCCCCACTGTGAGACAATAAAAGTATTTTTTATTCTGTTCTATACTAGTCTATTCTAAATATTGAACATCCTATCAATTCTACCTAATAAAGAACATCACAAAGAAGTCTTGCTGTTTAAAACCAAGATAAAAAAGAAATGAGTAGTTTGATCAGGTAATTTTTCTGACATCCAGACTATTAATTAACCTATCCCAAATCTAAACAAATGTGTTTTCCAGCTCTTTTACTGTTACTTAGCCCACCTGTACAGTCAGTGAGCTTGTCCAGTTTATATTGGGGTGTCGAGTACAAGTCCAAAGCAAGCGGTCCATTAGTAACAAAGTCAAAAGAGGTTCCATTTGAGGTGGGTACAACCTGTGGATCAGAATCAGACAACTAAAATCAATCTCTCCAACAAAATAACAAAAATAACAAACACAATACAGGAATATATTACTCTAAAATGCTTAACCTTGCAAAGGCAAAACACAGTAATTTAAACTGTGTGAGTTAATTGTGAATTATTTAGACAGGCTGCTATAATTGCTCATTTTCACCAGATTTATTTTGTCATTTTCATTTAATAGTTTGTTACCATGCATTGTCTTTGCAAGTCAATGGAAAGTTGTCAGTTTTTTTCATTCCACTTTTCACACTGCATTTCCGTTTCAAGTAACTGTTTTTTTTTTCTATACAAAACCAATGTAAAAAAAAAACAACAAAAAACTTTTATTACAGAAAAAAAAATCTGGTATATCTTGACACCAAAATGTCTAATTATGATAATTTGTTCTTGGTTATTAGAAAATATGGATTTAAAAGTTACAGTGATATTACTTTAGAACTATGATCCAGTCTTTTACAACAGCTGCTCTGTTCTAGATATGCTTCTTTTTTCCATCTGTGAACGTAGAGCTGATATGCCCTTGCATTAGGCTCCATTTTTGTCTCATCTGTCCATGGGACATTCTCCTAGAAGTTTTGTGACTTGTCATCATGTAGTTTGGCAAACTCTAGTCTGGATTTTAAAATTATTTGGTTTCAACCATGGTGTCCTCTTTGGTCATCTAACATCAAGTCCACTTTGCCAAAACAATGCAATGGTGCGATCTGACTCTAAAGTTCCTTGAGCTAGAAGTTTACCTTTAATTTCCTTAGAAGTTTTTCTGGCTTTTTGGTTGTGATCAGTTTTCCTCCTTCAGCCACGCCCAGGTAGGTTGGCTACAGTCCTATTGATCCTACATTTCAGAATAATATGTGCAGCTATAGTCTTAGGAACAGCAAGCTGCAAAACATGATTGTTTATAATTTTCTTTCTAATCTCCAGAGTCAACTCTTTCCTTCCCTTCCCCTGGACCATGTTGAGTGTGGTACACACCATGTCACCAAACAGCACAGTGATCTGTAGCTCTAAATATCTGCCTGCTGATTGATTAATAGATTGTAGACACCTGTGATGCTAATTAGCGGACACACCTTGATTTAACAGGAAGCTTTAGTCACATTATTTTCAGTCTTTTCAAGATGTACATACCATCATTTTTGTCCAGGTCAGTTTTTTTGAGTTTTTCTATAATTCAGTTGAAGCCTAGATGAAAACTATCTGACTTTCCTTTGTTCCTTTCATAAAATGCTTATTTATTCTCACTTAAGTTAGATTCAAGTTTTTTTCTGTGACCATTATTGGTTTTATCTGTCTTTTATCAACTACATTGTTTCATATCATTGTAATTTAATCTTTAGTACAACAACTTTAAATATATTTGGTCAGTAATTAGAGTTCATGGAGCAAGAAATTTAGGTCATTTGAAAAAAAGGATTGAGCTTTGATATAAACATTTTCCTGGTATCTCTGTTAGGTAGTTTTCGGTCTAGTGGAAGAAGCACAGCATGATGCTGTCAACACCATGTGTTATAGTAGTACCATGTGTTATAGTATATTCCTTTTGACACACTTAATGCTCAAACCTGAGCTGTGGATGTTTACAGCTCCTCTAGGAGCAAAGTCGCTTCTTCTCCGATTAATGCTCTAGTAATTATGCAGCCACTTTAGAATCATGTGCTAATTTATATGGATAAATACCATTTAATTCCAATGAAAAACAATTAAGGTTGTAGTTCTGAAAGAAAATATGGAACAATTGAAGGATTATTTTTGCAAAGCTTTAGCACTGTATGCAGTCTGAAAAGCAGATTGTATTCATTAATTTCCCTTCTGAAGAACACACAAGTAGGAGAGAAATTAAGAAAAACATCCAGAGCAGTCGCACCTCAGTTGTACTGATTCCATCCTGGGTTGAGAGAAGCTAGGAAGGGAAAAAAAAGAGCATACAAGGCGAGGTGTGTTATCGATAAGCTGCTGAAGTCAAAGGACCTCCTTGTTTTTTACAGCCAATGATAAGCAGGAACAAGTCGAGCTGAACTGCTCTGTAAATCCGGCCAACTGTTCATCAGTGTGTGCACACTAAAAGGCTCCAGATAGCTGGAGGTGGCCGCTAGGGACAGACTACACGTTGATATAAGAACAATGTCAGAAAGTGTTTGTGTGAGAAGGGGGTGAGATGTTACACCAAAGAAATCTGCAATAAACAGTTTCCATTTTTCCTAATGCTAATAAAGCATAATAAAGCTTTAAGTTCAATCTAAAGGTAAAATTAGTCTGAAATATTATAGTTTTCATTTTCAACTAAATCTTCTAAAAAACCTTGTAAAAAGCCTCCTCATAAGAAGACTTTAATCCTATTTCAATTCTCAGCAATGTTCACATTTAGATAATAAACAGGATCATGTTTACTTAATCAAGTGTCCAATAATCAATGCAGCACAGCTCATGCATAACATACATTTTTCTCGTCCGTGCCTTGGCGAGATTCCCACCACAGCTGCCTCTTCCTGTTGGCAAAGTTATTCAGTCCGTTTCCAGTCTGCTCCTCTTCCTCATACATATCTTCATCCTTATCATCCTGAAAAAACACAGATATGCAGGTTTCTGTTGGATGTGTATCTTAAAAACTGAGCTCCTGGTTCACTTGCCAATGTTACTGATACACTTTTCAGCCAATGCAGAATGCAGGATAAAGCTGGGTGACCTTTTAAAAACACTGATACGTTTTATTTTGACAGTCTCTGTCAGTTTAAAAAAAACAGTGGAATAAGAGGAAATTACACTGAGTATTAGAAAGCTCCATCTGGCCTGTGTGTAACTTTGCAGATTCAGGAATTAAATAGAAATGGAAGAAAGCAACACTTCACTGAATATAAGATCAACTTGCAAAATGTATGCCAAATATATATATATATATATATATATATATATATATATATATATATATATATATATATATATATATATATATATGTATGTATGTATATAAATTTTTTTTTTTTTTTTTTTTTTTTTAGCATTTGGAGCAAAAAACCCATTTGCTATTTTCCAAGTACTTTGATTCTCTTGATTTGGAGTTAAGTAAGAAAACAGAGGTAAAAGGCCTACTTTCATTATTAGATGTATTCATGACATGGATGCATTCATAAGGTTCTTTTTTCAGTTAGATGTCAAATTAGTAAAAAAAAAAAAAAAAGAAAGAAAAAAAAAAAACTAAAATTTACTAATTTTTGTCAATGTGAGAGTTCAGAACATCAGCACTGGCACATCCCTAGGTGCCACCTACTGGTACTTCATTGGTATTTCAGTGTTTTTGTTGGAATTAGATGCCTTTGTAGACGAACCACTGAAAAACTGTGATCAAGAATGATGATGATTAAGTGGTGCAGGAAACAATATTTAGCTGGTGTTTTGTGGAAGGGATGGTCTGAATTGACCATGATGGATAAAGGTTTCTGTCTGAAATGTCTTCAACCTGAGAGCAATAACTGAGCTGAGCCAGCTCTTCTGATGATCCTGTCCCATCGGTGGGGACGAATGTGATAATGTTTTAAGAATGCGTAAATGAAGCGCACATAAAACAAGGAACCTGTTAGGAAATTTTAAATTAGATGCCAATGAAAGATTTTAAATATTATGAATGTTCTTTCAGTTTTGCTTTGTTTGTGTCTTAACATTTCCGACTTACAATGTTAGACACATAAGACATTAAGATATCCATCTGTGCTTATCTTTTTTTTTTTGTCACAGACAAGGTCCATCATAATCTGGCACCTCCACTATCGAACAAGCCTGCCAGTATGTGATTTAGACACCAATCATGTTTTATTATTAGCCTCTAATCTAAAGTGTAAGAGTAGGTAAAAAAACATAAACACACACACACACACAGACAAAGGCACACACATCACTTTGTGGACAGATCAATAATGCATACAGCCCTACAGGTTTGAAGGGAAGTATTGACCCCTCTATAAAAACACTAATCTATAACTCCATTACGAGATGGAGGAGCGGAGCCTGGAGCTCTGAGGTGGAGGAAGACAGATGCAGGTCTTTTCTAAGGTGACCATATCACAAGAGGTTTCAATCACTAGTGGAGGTAGTGACGTCGTCTCAAGGAACAATGAGCTAGTGAATGGTGGAATTGAATACATTTAGGGGTCCAAAATAGCTTGTGCAGCACTTGGGTGAGCTGAGGCTGTTTTGAAATGACTTCATGATATGACAAACTTTGTGCAGTCCAAAGACATACTTCAAATATGATCCGGCCATTAACTATAACATGTCATCGGCATGTACGAGCTGGAACTCTAACATCAACAAAGTAAAATCCTATAATGGCACTATAAATTTTAACAAGTTGCTACATTTGTAATCATAAAGGCCTTCTATTTGGAGGTCTAATGTCTGAATATTGAGACAATTTGTGCTGCTTTGCAGGCTTTGGCAGAATCAGACCCGCAGTGTCTCAGGTAACACACTATTAGACACGGCAGACAATCCGGCCAGCAGTCGACTTTCCTCAGAACTGCAAACATTCCTTAATGGCTTTATTAAAAAAATGGTGTGGATAAATTAGCCTATGCATATTTTTATTAAATGATTATTTCCACAGCAGCCTGGTGTCGCAGTTTGTAGCACAGTTGCCTTACAGCAAGCAGGTCCTGAGTTTTAATTCTCGCCTAGGGTGTTTCTGCATGGATTTTGCCTGTTCCTTCAGCGATTTCTGTGCTCTAAATTTCCCTTATGTGTTAATGTGTAAGTACATGTTCATGTGTCTCTGTATTTCCCTGCAACAGACTGGCAGATGGCAGAAACGGTCCATATGATCCAGTTGTAAGATTAAATGAGGGGACACTTTTGTACTGTATTTTATCAGAAAATATCTAAATATTTTAAAGAAATGTACAGATAAAGGCTCCAAAACATCAGAATTATGCCTAATAAAGTTTGTTGACTCCATCATATCAGTGCTATACCAAAACTTGCAATACAACCTGTAAAAACGATCAATTTCTGTAAAACATCATTTATTTCAAAGTAAGTTTCTGGCATGAGGCTTAATTGCTCTTGAATAAAACATTCATTTTCTATCACAATATTTCTATTGTTCATAGTAGAAAATCCCCTCCACATGTTGCTGCACTCTGTTAGTCAGCTGGGTAAAGGGTAGAGGAAGTCGAGAGTTTAAGATCAAAATAAAAACAAGAATAAAAAACAATTATATTGTTTTCTTAGTAGAAATTATTGTTGCAGTTGAAACAGTGCTCATTTTATCATATTGCACGTATTCTTTAACATTTTTTCTTTGAACTTGCTCAAACTTTGAATTCTTTGACAAACTAATAATTTGATCATATGAAAATGTGATAAAAGGGTCTGTCTGCTGTCATTTTCACCATATAAATAATACAATTAGCTGATTATCCTTCATTTTAGTTGTTTCCTGCTTCAAGAAGATTGATTAGGGAGCGGCTGCGAATGAGCATTAAGACTGACTTTGACAGATTGAGATCAAGAACTGGAAGAGGAGATGCATGAAAAAGTGCAAAAAGCCTTAAATCTGTTGTATTTGAAACTTCTGTGCACTCAAAAGTGCTAATCTACTCCACAAAGATAGGCAAATGTATTAGTCTGAATGGAGGCCATTAAGCATAAAGGAACCAAAACATCTGAAACATTTTTTCACTTTTGAAAGTGAGATATAAAGTAAAGAGTTGGAGAAGTTTTGTCTGAACCGGATTCAGAGAGAATGTGATTGTGCAGGTTTAAGACGTATGCCTGATCTGACAAAGCTCATTTAAAATGGCTGCATTACCTCCTGAGTTCTGCAGAGGCCCCCTCATTTTTTAAATCAAACATGTTATATGGCATGGGTGGCGCCCAGGGGCCAGACTTCAAACACTGCAATTTGCAAAAACACAACAGGGCCTCAAACTCCCACACTTCAGATATTATCACTAGCCTGAAACATATGTGAACATAGCTCATGGGGTACACACTGGTACTACTCTGCTTCATTTTTTGATATTTGCTTAAAATTTGGAGAAAGGGTAAATGCTCCTTTAGAATACCAAAGGTATAATTTGCCTTTTCAAATACTAGCATGATGTCACACCTAAATACAACTTTACATACAAATATGATGGTGGATGCTGGACTTCAAACAAAAAGCATTGACTGGAGAAAAAAAAATTCATAGAGGGAATTTAAAAATTTGCCAGCAAAAGCATAAAACACATTCCCAACTTAGGAAGACATTTGTAAAAGACAATATGGTACACAAGCAGGGTCCCATACCTACATATTTTATTATGTCCAAAAATATGTATAGATCTTACATAGGAATTGAGGTTTACATGGGATCAATAAGGTATCTCAGTGAGATTTTGTTGGGTAGCCATAGGTTGGCGTTGATGGCTTCATTCCAGTAGGAATTTAAGTGTTTTGTTTTTCTTTGCATTTCTCTCTTGCTCTCATGGAGTTTGAAATGTTTGTTACATATTCTAACACAGTAATTATATTACAGTAGTGACAGTTTAAAATTGTGAATGGAAATGTATCTTGCATTCAAGTGTTGGGGGAAAAAAAAGCCCATGCTGCTAAAACGTTGGGATCAACAACCTTCAGGAAGTGAAGTTGACCCCACTGCTTTAGCATATTTGTATATAAACTACATACAAGAATAAACATTTCCTGATAACAGTGTTTCTTTTTAGCAAAACCAATACTATAAATTAATTTAACTGAAAATATCCCTGCTCTGACATTGCGTCTATCCGTTGTCCTTACCATGAGTTGGTCGATGGGCTCCTGCAGCCAAAGGCGGATGAGTGTGGCCAGGGTGTAATAGAGGATTAGCAGCATGATGGGATTGACAAAGTGGTACCACTTACGATCCGGGTGCACCGTGAGCTTCCACGTGCAGGAACAGTTGGTCTGGACAATGGGGGCGATACCAAAGACCCTGTAAAGGGAGAAGAAACATGGATGTGAGGAATACACAAGCACTGTTTTTAGGGTAAAGTGCTAAAAACCCTTAGCAGTGAACATTTAAAAATCTCACATTACCTCTTAATTATTTTTATATAGTCAACTAGCTCAAGTCGTGTTCTTTACACTATTCCCAGCATCAACACAGATCTTGGCAAAACATAATTTTTCTATGCAACAACATGGTCGTGGCACAATATTCAAAACTCCCTGCAATTGCGGACTCTTATTCCGCTACAGCATTTTAAATCACTATTGAAAACCTCTTGCACAGAGAATTCTAACTGTTATTCTAGAGTCTAGTTTATGATTGATTTTATTATGTTGTCCTGTGTTTTTATGTCTTACTGTACTGCTGCCTCTTGGCCAGGTCTCCCTCGAAAAATAGATTTTATCTCAAGGGACCTCCTGGTAAAATAAAGGTAAAATAAAAAATAAATAAAATAAAAAAATAGAACTGCTTGAGCTGTATTCTAATTTCATTTGATCCATTAAGCAGAGAAACATTCCCAAGATGAAAATCTTTGAACCCTGGAATCTGAACAATGCAGCAACGGTAAGGATTTGTTTGTACAACAAGTGGGCCATCTGATTCACTCTCTTCCTGACTGAATCAACAAAGTTCATCCAGTCAGGAACTTCACTGACGTATGTGACACAACTACCCAGATTTAGTGGCTCCCCTGAGACTATTTATGCCATCTGGAGGAGTGAACCCCCTCCTCATCCTGACCCAAGCTCCCTTCCTGGACGCTTTCTGCTCAGTCCGGGAAGGCTGGCTGGTCACATGACTGGGAACTTCCATTGTAAGGAGGGGAGGCAGGAAGTGGATTGGAAGCCAGGCCTCTCAACGGTTTCACTCAGCACCAGTCGCAAACCAAGGCCGAGTCACTGTCAAAAAGCACAATTAGGGTAGGCACTACCATGGCCCATTATCCAATGGGGCTTGAAAGTATTGGTGGCTTAAGAAGTCAACTCTTTCAGCCTGAAGGTGTGCATGAAGGAAAAAACACAGTTCTGAGGGGGAGGTGTTACATTTAACACAGCAGAGGGCAGAAATACCTCAGCTTGATAGAAATTTAACATAAACACATGATAACATACTACAGTTTTAGGTGTAAATATACTCATTATCTGTAAAAGTCTGGGCTTTTTTGTGTCAACTTCATCATTGCATATGCAAGCTGAGTATTTGATAACTCTCTCATAACTATTGATATTGATCATATCTAGTTACATTATTTATTAATAGAGTGAAAGAATGCAGCAGTGATTTCCATTAGTTTACTTTTAATTTAAGTGATTTGAAAAAGTTGCTCATGAGATCGGTAAAAAAAAATATAAATGGTAAATCCAGTTTTGGACCGGGGGAGGGTCCTGTTCATTTTTCACATTTTTTGCAATGAAATGTGTGCTGAAGCTTGTGATACAACATAAATTCCTGTAAATTTAAGTTTGAGCATTTTATGATTAATATCGATAAATAAATAAAAAAACGAGTAAATGTCACTAGAATATGACCAAATCTGACTTAAATTTGATCTATTTTTCTCCGATGACACTTTAAGACGCTTTTTGATATGATTCATTAAACTAAACCTGTTGCACAATCAGCACTGGATGCATGAATGTAAAACAAATATCCACATGCTATGATATCTTTAGTTTCTCACATCTAAGCCACTATATCTGAGAATGTGACTCCTGTTTATATTTTTGCTTCATGTACTTGAATTTAGCAAAAAAACAAATAGAAAGGTCATATGGAGCATCGAGCTGTGCAATGTACAGGTGTGTCCCAAACTGTGTGCATGTTGGGGTTGCAGAGCTGTCCGTTTTTTCTCTGTAGAATGATACACCGATTCAAAAGAATACAGAAGTTTTTGTTTTTTAACAGTCTAATGCTACGGTCACACCGGACGCAGTAAGAGCAGCAAAATCGCGTCTGCTGCTTCATTTTTGCTGCTTGTACCAGTTAGTTCTGACGCGCAGCTGAAGCAGCTCTGCTGCTCTCGCTGCGCAGCCCAAAAGTGTGTCTGACGCGCATTGGGCGTAACTACTCTATCCTTTCTTTGCCTTGCAGCAATATTTGCTGTGATCAGTGGGAATAAAGTAGTTTTAAAGCTACAGTGTGTAACTTTTAGCGACATCTAGCGGTCAGACTGCAGACTGCAGCAACATGAACATCTCCCCCCACCGCTTCTCCCCCCCAACAGTACGGCGAGCGTTACGGGACAAAATGTCTTCCACGACGTCCGCATCACCTACCTTCTCAAGTGAAGAGGTTTGTTTACATAGATAATTTTACAGATAGTATTTCATTAGTCTGTGTAGGGTATAGATTTCATGTAGACTTAAGATAATAAATATATCCGTTATTTTTTCTACATTGTTGTGACATTTTGGCGATCTCGCAATCGCTAGTTTGTTGGCTCTGCGCTGCCGTAGCGCAAAGATGTCTGCCTCCATGGCTGCGAGACCCGCTCCTATGTAATTATAAATAACGAATTCTAAGGCAACGCAAATATTAAGGTTAAGAGGCTGAGCTCGTAGATGATGATAAAATAACATAGTTATGTATAATATATTACATTTCTGACTGTATATCCCTGTAATTATTACACACTGTAGCTTTAATATGTTTTTAAGTGAGACAATCCACCTAAAAACTTAATCAGTGCAGTCAGTTCATTCAGATTATCATCCTGCCTTCTAATATTATTTCTGTCGCAGCCGCTCAGACCCCGACATACCGGCAGTGCGCCGACAGTAGGAATCCCTTCAACAGCGGCCTCTGGCCAGGTCGCCTCCTCGCGGTTCACCGCGGCAGCTGGTAGGTGGTTTTCATCTAAATAATCCAAACTGCAGGCACCGGGATAATAAAAGCGAACATATTCTGCCTGCAGGTTTCAGCATTTTAAGTTAATTTAATAAACTGTTTTAGAGGAGTGATCACAGCGCTCTGTATCATCAGCGATGTGTCTGTCTCACGGCCAGCTCCCAGATCAGCTTCTCTGATTGGTTGATGTGGCGCTCCCGACGCGCTGCTTCAGCTGCTCAGACGCGCTGCGCCTGCTGCTCAAAACGTGCTGCGGGACCTTTTGCTGCACCTCGACGCACGTCAACCAATGACTTTGTATGTAAACTCGCTGCTTCTGCCACACCTGCTGCGTCCGGTGTGAACGTAGCATAATTAATTTACAGTTTATGTTGGATTTTGTTTGATATAGATTTTCTCGTGCACTGGGAAGGCATGAGGAGTTCTCAATTGCGCAGGCTCATATCTTCGAGGGAGCACTGACCATGACGCTTTACCATTACTCGTACTCAAAATCATTCTTTTGCTTAATCCCATACCAGGGTTGTGAGAGCAGCAACCTCAACAGGGAGCCCCATACTTCCCTCTCCTAACTTCCCTCTCCTTAGATATATTGCTCAGCTCCTCTCGTGGAAGCCAGATGGTTTTTGATTGCCAGTTAAAAGGCATAGTCCCTCCATCTTGTCCTGGGCCTTGAACACCTCCTGAAGGAGACGTTCCTCAGAAGGAATATCATTTTATCTACTTGTATCCAGGACCTTGTTCCTTTAGTCGTCAATAAGATTTCATGACTATAGCTGAGGGTAGGAAGGTAGACTGACTTGGCACTTTCTTCAGCGCAACAGACAGGTGCAGCATCCACATTATGTCCATCCCCTGCTCCATTCTCCTCTCGCTAATGAACAGAGCCTTAGATAGTTAATCCTCTACTTGAAAGAGGACTTGACCCTACTTAACTATGCTTTGACCTGAAGAGGGCAAACAGCTTTTTTTCAGTTGAGAATCATGGATTCAGACCCGGAGAAGCTGATCTTCATCCCAGCTGATTGACAATCAGCTATGAACTGACCAAGTGCCTGCTGTAGGTCTTGGCTCAAAGGAGCAAGCAGAATTACATCATCCCCAAAAACTAGAGAGAAAATCCACAGGTCCCAAAACAAGACCACCTCCAGCCCTTGGCGGTGATTAGAAATCCTGTCCATGAAGGAGCCAATATGCAACAGGAACGGGTCTGACTTATGACCAGAAATGCGGAACAGACTTCCTCTCTGCCTGTACAGAGAACAGATGGCCCCTAGTAAAGGGCACCCAACTGCATAATTCTGGGTGATCCTCACTTAGTACCACAGGACAAAAAATGCCTCCTCCAGGTCCACAAAACAAATGTGGACCAGCTGGGAAAACTCTAATAAACAACTCAAGCACTGCAGAGGGTGTTGGGCTGAAAGAAAACCACACTGCTATTCCTGAAGCCAAAGTTAGGCAAACAGGCAGACTCTCCTCTGCAGCACCCTGGTATGGGCCTACCTGGGGAGGCTTAGAAGGATGATCCCCTGATACTTGGAACCTTCGCATTATTTAGACTAAAAGATATTGAATAAAAAAAAAAGAATCTCCAGCTCCAAATCTGGCAACTGCAAACTCAAATAAAGCCAAATAGCTCCAAGAGAAGAAGCAGGCCACAATGCTGAAAGGGGTCAAGATGAGGCTACTGAAACGTAAAACACTGCACACCTGTCAAACATGACACTGGAATCAGGCGGACAGTCTGCTGATGTGTTATCAGATTCACAAAGATGCACTCAGTTAGCTTTTTAAAGAGGAAAATTACCCAGAAAAGGCTTACATTATGCTTTTGGATAGCCCTGATCTCAGTGATAACTCAAAACATGTGGACAATGTCTGAAAGCCAGTTAAGTTAAATTTAGCATTAAAGTTCCACATAGATTCCTGTCAGATTGTCTAGGTAAGATTTTGACCAAGCAGTAAATTTAAAGCTGCAATCATTTTTCTATTTTTATGATTTCATTATATTAAGCCACCTGTGGAAATGCATTTTACTCTTCTAACACATTTAACTTGGCTATAAATTTAGAAAAAAATTGAGATTAAACAGCTATGCCTTTGGGCTGTAGAAGGAGAACAGAGAACCCTTGAATGGCATTGATACAAATTCACTCCAGTAAACTCTAAACCGGTATTCAAACCCACAACCCTCCCACTGCAAGTCAATCGCACCAGAGCAGGGTTCCTCTATCACGTCTCTGCTTCCACACCTGAATCAAATGAGTATTTAGCCTCCTCAATTAAATTAAATTTCACAATTTTCTTAAACATTTTTTACTCCTTTTTTTTAAGAGATGTGCGTTTAACTGAAAAAAAAAAAAAAACTTAAGATGCTTTCAGTCTAGAAACCAATACAGATAAGCATATTTGAGACCTGAAATATAAAAGAACATCAGATAAGGGAAAGCAGATCAGCATCTTTACCTCCATGGATCTCACATGTTCTTTGACAACAATTTAACAAACTCTATTTAGAGTCACTGCAGCTTCAATTTAAGCTTCTTTACTTCTTTGCAGCAGCAGTAGAACAGTTTTTCAGTAATACCTGTCAATGGTAATAATATGAGATTGTCTCCAGCAACAGAAAATGTTATCTACCATCAGTGGCAAGAGGATGAGGAGGACTCTTTGCTTGCTCAAAGCAGTTTTTAGCTATATAATGCTGCAAATAGCTTGGATACTGACACATAGTAGCAGCTTTCAAATGGGGAAACAGTGAAATCAATAAAACACTGCAAAGCTAAGGGCACCAACACAACACAAATACTGCTACAGCGATGCTGAAGATGGATACCATTAAAAATAACCACATAAAAAGTGGTATGTTGGAACGCATACATACATACATAGAATAATTATTATTGATCAAGCCACCATTTTTTTGCTTTTTACAAAGCAATCAAACCACAGATGTCCAGATCAATTAAAGTCAGTTATGCGTAATCATGTGCAATGGCACAGGGAATAAGTATTGAACACACTTACTGAAATTCATTTAATACTTTGTAGAAAAGCTTTTATTGGCAATGACAGCTTCAAGACGCCTCCTGTATGGAGAAATTACTTGCATGAATTTCCCAGGTGTGATTTTGGCCCATTCATCCACACAAAGTCTGATCTTTAGTTTTTTCGCAGTGTTGTTTTGAAAGCCATCTTAGATTTAGTCTTAGTCTTCGTCTTCAGGACCAAAACTATTATTAGTTTTGGTCACATTTTGTTATGATTTTGGCCCGTCTGCCTGCTCTGCTCTGCCTGTGAACAATCAACTCCAGCTTCTGCCTGCTGCACTACAGTGCAATCAGCAGCATGTCTCTCAGCTGTTATAAGTCAGCCTGTGGCAGGCAGACAAGGCCAGATAATTGCAACCAACAAGCAAGTAGTATCCAGCACTTCACGTTGACTTGACCAAGTTCTTGACCACATCTTCGCTTCACGGATTTTCCCTTGTGCCTAACCCTCGTCGGATTTCTCTGCCTTCTTGACAATTACCCTGTTTCTACCCCTTGACTTCTGCATCCTGCCAAGCCCCCTGATCATTAAACCTGAGTCTGGCTTGCAGGACCTTGATCCTGCCTCTTTGCTCCACTGCCACTCTACTCAACTGTTGGCCACCCAACAACTGTTAAAGGAGCAGCCCGCTCTGTTAAAGCTGCCGGTCCCCGCTGAAGGGAGGATTCTGAAAAGTTATCCCTTGTTCTCAGTGGATGTGCTCCTGAAGTCCTGAGTTCAGAATAAATGGTTTAAATTCTAGTCCTGTGTTTCTGGCTGAAAATTTGGATCTTCTGTCTAGATCATTAAACATTTTAGTCGTTACTATATATGATAGTTTTAGTCGATTTTAGTCGACTAAACCTAAAAAAGGTTTTAGTCTAGTTTTAGTCAGTTTAATGCTTCCCTTAAAAAAACAACTAACCTTTACAATTTCAAATAACGAGATTCTTTACCAGACTGTCAGCTCTTGCCTAGATACCACAATTGCTGGAGATACAATGCTGCCGTGCAGTTCATCATTGCTGTTGGGCAGAAAACTTTGATTTATAGAATGCAAAAAACCTTTAGGAATGAATGCTCTACTTAATACAAAAGTGTATCAAAAAAAGGTGGGAAAATAGCAGATCTAGTTCAACACATCATATTGGTTAATATAGCACACAAGCTAACAAAATTTACAATAAAGGAATGGTTTTAAATATTTGCTTTGAATATAATTTAGGGATTCCGAGTGGTAAAAATTACAGAAGGTTTTGCGTCACCTCTTGTGAGCTGGGGGAAAAAAAATTATGATAGTTTTTATGCTTGGCAGAGGATGATCAGCTAAATAGTTTATTAAGTAGCGAGAGCAGGAAGAGCCTTACTGCTAAGAGCAGACCATCATTGTGGAGCGTAAAGCGCAGACTCTGAGCAACGTGCGTGCAAAGATGCATATATGTACAAGCACAGTTGGAAGAACAGAGTTTGTCAGAGTTGAGCGCGCAGTACCGGAGCATTCCAGACTACTTTTACCCCCTCCACTGCTGCCATTGTCCATCTGTGGCTATGCAGGATGCCAGGTGGTGGGAGAAACCAAACAGGATGCTGCAGCACAGCTGATACTGCTTAGTTTGTTTAACAGTTTACAGCACAATGATGCATTTTAAATGCCTGCTAGTCCACCCGCTAACTATTTTATTTCTCGTCAACAAAAACTCACACTAATGACTGTTAATGTTTTCATCATTAAAAATCCATCTCAAGCTCATCAGTTTTCGTTATCGTCATGAAAAAAGGAGCGTCTATGAGATAATTTCATCATCGTCATCGTTGACGAAAACAACACTTTACTTTCAATAGATTTTTCTATTTGATTCAAGTCAGGTGATTGGCTGGACCATGCCACGATGTTCCCACCTCCAAACTTCACTGTTGGTATGGTGTTTTTGGGATGATGTGCAGTGCCATTTGACCTCCAAACATGATGTGTATTATGGCATCCAAAGAGTTCAGATTTGGTCTCATCTAACCAGACTAAATTCTCCTAGGCGTGTCTAAATGTTGGGCAGCAAAATATAAACAAGTTTCAACATGTTTGAGTGTGCATACAGTTCCTGGTGGTTGAATGAGTTACTTATTGTATTCTTTGAAACAATTGTAATTCCAGGTCTTTCTGAAGTTCTCCACAAGTAGTCTTTGGCTCTTGGACAACTCTTCTGATGATTTTTTTCACTCCTCTGTCAGAAATCTTGAGGGGAGCACCTGGTCCTGGTCTGTTTATGGTAAAATGATGTTGTTTCCACTTCCGGATTATTGCCATATTGAACATTCAGAAGTTTAGATATCCTTCTGTAACAAATACCATCATTAAGGTTGCAAAGGTCTTGAGAAAGCTCTTTACTTTCACCCATCATGAGTTGTTTTTTGTTTGATGCCAGGGATACCTTTATATAGGCCATCATTTGTGACTGAACCAGCTGATATATTATTGCTTTCTTCACATGTTCAATACTTTTCCCCCTGTGCTATTCCACATTAGTACATCTAACTTCATTTCTGGATATCTCTGAATTAATTTCTTTGTATGTGTGGATTGCATGGATTGTTAAAGAAATCTGCTAAAAATGTCATGTTGATAGCAGCTGTAGAAATATATTTACTGAGTAAAACAGGTTACAGGGAGTTACCCATAAATATATTTTTATTTTCCTATTTTATTTTTCCTCTGTAATGTGAGAGTTAGTTTTCCTTATATATATCTAGTGTAACATTACACTGCATTACAATTGTCAGCTTCTGGCTTCTTGTGGTTTTCAGTATGTTCTCTTTGCCAGTGGGGGTTTGCCATAATAGTTAGGTGTGTTTATTTTTTACCAGTTGTTTACTAGCTCATTTTAGAGTGGTTTGTCCCTATTTTCTTTAGTCCTTATTTCTACATGTTTGATTCTCTTAGTTCATTCCTCACATCTTTCCCTTTTTAAGAAATTCTCCCTTAGCCAAAGCCTTCTGTAAATTAGTAGATTTCATCCACCTGTGTCTCCACATTTTGCCACTTGTTTGCGGGTGTTTTCCTCATTACTTATAGCCTTAAGTTGGCTGTCAGCATTCATCAGGTCCACAGTTAATCTTTCTGTCTACACAATGGTTTCGCTTTTTTACCTGTTTAAGCAATTTCATCAAAGTCTCAAAACTTACTATGCTGCTCCGGAGTTTGAGTCTGCCTTTTGGTCCAGGACGTCAGATAACAGTTTTATTTTAGCAATTCTTCCCTGTGTATTACTATTCAGTCCTTTAGCTGATTTAATTAGTCAAGTGTTTTACTTTTTATATTCTGTTAGATATGGAAGTAAAACTTTAATAAAAAGGTAAAATATGTTTCCCTTAGATTTAATGTTTATCCAGTGTAACGGAACAGACTTGTGGTGTTCAATCTGCCTAAATTTAACACAATATTTAGTTAGGCTTATTTAACTTTTTATTTGGTTCAAGCTATTTTTTATTTTGTGAATTAATTGTTCTTATCGACTGTGTATGCAATGCTTTCCCACTGTTTTCACCCCAGTGACCACAGGAAGCTTATAGGGTCCAAATAGTGTCCCTGCCTTTAATATCGATGAGCAGTGAGTGGGAGTTTAAAATGTCTTCACTGCAGCTGGGTTTGTCTTTCCTTTTTACCTTCCTGTTTGTAACAAGAGCAAATATTTATTGACATTTAAACAAACTCAGTGAAATAAATACCACTGTTTATGCTTGGTCATCAGAACTTTGTCTTTTAAAAATTTGATTATTCACATTTATCTCAGTTCAAAGCAACATCTTCAAATACAGCTACAGATTAAGTTCTGCCCACTCATTGGTTAGGTAAACCTCTTTGCTTCTAACCTGACGTATGTGTCGTTTGGTGAGATGGACTCTTGGAAAAACTGGAACTGGTAAAGGTAAAGCACCACAAGATGTCCGGCACTGAAGATGGCCATCAGGACACACATGCAGCTGAATATGAGGGTGTTAAAGGTCCGGCAGAGAGACCACCAGGTGCACAGGAACAGGAAGATGGAGAAGTAAACAAAAGAAGTCAGCGAGGGAAGCATGATCCCTGTAAACACAAAAGCAAAGGAAACAGCAGATTAATTGAAGAAAACAAAAATTCCAAATACATTGTACATTCTCAGTACATAAGAATTAAATGACTGAAAGTTTGCTTTCTAGCTTTGTTGCTGATCTGGAAATCAGTTGCTGAGATATAGGGAGCAATGAAAGTATGTAATTCTGATGAAGTTAGGATTGGGTTCTCTTAAACACTTAATAGATAAAGGGAGAAATAAATCCAGATGCATGTTTGATACCAATTTCTGTTTTTTTTTTTCTTATTTTCTGTTTTGGTCCCACTTCCCATTTCCAGTTTCTTTCCATTTTAAACATTTTTCTCAAATTACTTTAACAGTTAAAAATAGTTTTAAAAAATTACAAAATGTGCTGTATTTTTTTTATTCTAACAGGAAATGACAATTTTCAAGATTGTCTTAAAATGCAAATGCCCCTAAATTTAAGCAATTTTTCCTGATCTTAAGAAGTAGTCACGTCTCTAAAAACTAAAGAGCTGTGATATTATTATGAATGCTTGTTTGATCCTTGACTTATTTCTCCTTTACATTTCCTCATGCCAATATTTCTTCTTACCATCTTCTAGACTGTTTAACAGGACAGTGAAATATTATTTATAAAATATTTTCATTCACTTTTATTCTTTTCAGGATCAAAACAGGAGGATTAACCTGTTTTTCTTGCCATTAAACCTTCATTTTAAGCAACAGAGCTCTCTTAAGAAATCTGGTCCTGAATTCAGGGTTAAGATCTCATTACTGATCATCAGTTTATATAAAATGAATTTCAAAAAAGAAGTGGCTATAAAGTACAGCCTTACTTAACAAGTCTGCGCAGCATCTCAAACCAGAACAGATAGAGAATTTTGATAGGTGTATATTAAAAACATAAAATTGAAAATGCAGCACAAAAGGCTGTTGGATGGTTTATATGCTTATTGAAGCAGTGAGCGGTTATTCTAATGGAGAGATCTGAGAAATGTATTGATGTTGTCATTTTACTTTTATTTTCATAAAGAGGGGAAAAGACTAGATGTGTTTACCTGCACTGTCTGTCCCTCGTTATTTTGTTTTTTGTTAGGCTCAAAAAGGATTGCTATTTTACTTCATCCGTTTTCCTGAAGATTATGTTTTCTTTTTGAGGAGTGATTAACTGCGTTTTCTATCCCTCATTTTTGCAAGGCTCAAAGAGGATAACTACTTTATCCATTCTCTGTTCTTCTGAACTTTTATCATGGGTAAAGTATTTTTTATGTTTAATTGAATGTTTTTGCACAAGTCTGTCCTTCTTGCTATATATGCTCTCTGTGACTCCAAACCTGACTGTTTCCCCGTGCAATTAACAGATATTATTTTGCATTTTCCCCCAAAGCTGATGTGCTTACCTTGTATCCGTGTCTCTCTTCCTGTTAGACTCATGAAATTGCAGCTGAATTGCTGCTTAGTCACACTTAAATAGACCTGGGCTCTATCTAATCAGGAGGCCCCCTTGCAGAAAATCCTGTCAGTTGTGATAATTTCAACTGACTTTTAATGAGTGCTAAATGCTACGACCTCATCCAACACCATTTTCTGTCAAAATGGATGCAACATCTGATTTGGTGAGTTAGGGGCTAAACAGAGGCTTAATATCAACATACTGCACTTTGTTTATATGTAAAGGTCATTCATTCGCAATATCAACTCTTTATGGGTTTTTTAAAAGTATTATTTCTGCATATTTCTGGTCTCTCTGTTAGTTGCATCATGACTGAGACTTGGTCTAAAATTAATGTGTTGGTTACATTCTTTAATGTTTTTTAACAATCGATCTCTAAACAGGAGTGACAGTATGCTGAAAGTCAGCAGTATGGGGGTTGTTGATCAGTCTGTCTGTCTGATCAGAATGTAGGTATGAATAGAGGTATGGAACAACCATGTCTATACCTTTGAACAGATATCTGTCGACAAGAAACTGGTGATGAAGTCACGTGATCTATTCCGATCAATTGTTATGCCTGGATCGCTTTATTCTACTAGCACTTATAAAAAAAAAAAAGTCTTGTTCTACGTGTGTCAGCTCCTCTTCATATTTTTACAGCAGAAAAATCTTTTTTGGAAAAAAATACAAACAACTGACAAAAACTGTATCAATTTTCCTTTCCAGATGAGAGGCACGACATAATAATTGTGCTCAGGGCATTTAAATGGCTAGTAATGTGCCCGATCTTACCTTTTATTTTATTTTTTCCTACCGTATTTTTCAGTCCTTTGAAATGGCACTGGCCACATGATTGTACAAAAACCATTTAGTGTTGAAGGGATGGGTTTCTTTTGATGGAATTTTTATTCAACTTGCTTGCTGAAAGAAAAGTTCTGGTATGTTGATAGGCAAAATTTATGTCTTTTTTTTTCATTGCAATGTTATCCACTAAACAGCAAATATTTGCACCTACAGTATCACTTGTCTAATTGTTTTTTGTGCATTGTACTGTAAAAGGAGTCGCAATTTGTAAAAGCAGTGCCCGTATGCTAGATCTGATCATTACATGGAGAAGATGCAGGCAGAGGAGAAGCAGAATAATATTACAGTTTGTAACCTTTGTCGGTAATATTCCCAGCAGTGGGTTTGTAATCTGAGCTCCTGCCCTGACCAGAGATTATTTCTCTTCTGTGCAAGGTCCCTTCAGTGAACTGATACCAAAAGAATAAAGAGCCCCTTGAAACTATGGGATTCACTGCTTTCCTGTGATGAAATGTCTGCAAACACACTAGTCTATCTGCATATGTGCTCCAATCTTATGCTTAATTCAAAGATACCTGTATCTCCCTTGTGCTTACCTCAAATACGTAACATATGTCCTGACATGCATAAAAAAGGAAGCGGTGCAGCCAGACAAAGCCGAGATATGCAGATGCAGGCTGGCTCAGAAAAGAGGCTGAGTTTAAATATTGAATTTAGCATTTTTTGTCATTTGTAACACTAAGTGGCTTCTTTTTATTTTCAACTTGCACATTTTGCAATAGAACAGAAATCACTTTTTTCTTAGAAGATGTTTTTCCCCCCTTTTTCTTTTTTATTTGGGCTATGCTAACTTTTTTTTTTACATTACTTATAGCACATAAAATTGAATTATTTAATCACACTGACTTGGTTTGTAAGTGAAGTAAAAAAGTAACTGTTATTTTAAAGTTGTAGAATTGCATTAACTAAAAATATAAACTACTACAGAAGAACAAGTTTTCTTTAAAGTAAATAACACATTTAATCATAGCAATCAATTAAAAAATGAATCATAGATAATTCAGAATCAGCTCAAATAAAGTTTTACTTCACAGTAAGGTTTTCTGGATACTGGATCTTTTCCATCTTTTGACTAAACTCATAGCTTGCTCAGAGGTTATAAAGATCAGCATGATCGCGAGTCAGGAGACGTTAATTCCCATGTTATTAGAAATACATACCATGACAAAATTGGCGAGTTGATAAAGAGAAAAATGAGCCCTCATGGTAAAACATAAAAACACCTGGCACCTCACTCTAAAACCCTAGTTTGAAGATGTTTAATTTTTAATACAATCAAACAACATTTTTATCAAAAGATGAAGGCTAACTCTAGTTTAAATTTGTTGTTGAAATTGATTGAAGCAATTAATTTGAATAGGTCTCTTGATATAGTGTGTATGATGAAAAAGGTAACAATATGTGTATAATCTTTCAGCAATGGCCTGACGTGCCATTTCCCTGCTTTTATTGATGGCAAAAGTAGTTTCGTTTTTATTTAATTATAAATTACTCCTCTGAGCTTTTTATTTTAAACATCTTAGCATATCAACATGAAGAGAATGACTTCAGCTGGATAAATTTCAATGTTTTTGAATAGGTTAGACAGAGTCCAAGACTAAATCAAATCAGACCATTTGAAAAGGGTTGTGGATAAGAGGTCTGCAAGGCAGCATGAGAAAATATTGCAAGGTTAAGATGAGAAGTCTACAAGCAAAACAGACTGAATGCTAAAACAGCCAGGTTATAGTTTCTTTTTAGTTTTTGTGCTTCTTTCCTGATTTGCCTTCCATTTGATTGATAAAGAAAGTGTACCTTATTAGATGGAGTCTCTGTTTTCTTCTAAAAATGTCACAAACTCATCGGATCCACCATATTCTGTTTTATCCAAAGTTTGGTTTGAAACAAAACTAAAAGAAGAGATAAGACCAAACTTATTGGCTACAAAAAGAAAAAAACTACTGAGGCTTAAGGCTGTTAAAATGCTCAGTTATACTGTCCATGTTGTTAAATGGACTGTGTACTTTATACTACTCTGTGTAACATTCTGGTTATTCCAGTAATAGAGTTGGTCTGATGAAACCGAACCAATGTCCCAGTAAAGGTTTAATATTTTCAATTATGTTTCACAATAAAATGTTATGTATTAGTGTTGCTGGGAAATCCTTGCCATAAATCCAGGAGTTCAGGTAGGAAGAGAGAAAATTTCACCTGTCATGCCCAGCAGGATGGTGACCACCACTTTCCCTGCAGTGGTGATCAGATTCCCAATGATCTCCTTCACTTTTGAAGCCACTTCTGCCACCATTCGCAGGATCTTCATCTTAGTACTTTCTTTTGCCTCTTCCTCCTCCTCCTCCTCTTCATCCTCCTCATCTTCATCAAAAAGCTCCTCGTTCTCCTCATCCTCCCCTGCCTCATAACCTGCCTCCAGGTCGTCCTCCAGCAGGACATCGTCATCATATGGACTCGGCTTCTCCTCGTCCTCCTTACAGGTAAATAACAAAAGAGTTAGAAATCAGAGCTCTCCATGGTGCTGAAAACTGTTTTATACAGGTAATGATAGAATAAAAATCTGTGAGTATCATCTGAGTTTATTTTAGCGGATTCGAGCATAAATCTGTCAAGCAAGAAACAACAAGCAAAGCAGTGTTTTGGCCTGTTTTGTTTTTCCTTGGCTGTGGTATTTGAATAAAGTGTTTCTAGTCTTCTATAGTGTCTGCATAAGGCAAACACCAGCTGGTAAATTCAATACATAAAGAACCCGACAGACAAATGAAACAGGTAATATAAATTCAGTTTTAGTCAAAACATAAACCACAAAAGCCTGTAGAGATAAACTTCCCTGGTGTTTTTCCCAGCATGAGACAGAAGGAGAGAAATGCCATCTGTGCCAGTCGGAGCACACAGAGCGGATAAATGTGGACTTAATTAAGACTGAGTCATGAAAAGTGATGGCAGAGGCTTGCCAGACATGATGGGAGGCTGCTTTCTAAGCCATCAACTCTCACACAAAAGTTATACTCAATTCTTGATTTCGAGGCTCATCCAGAGCGGTGAAAACAGACTGCTTTCCTCCTGGCTTTAGCTATCAGTTGAATGGAGCATTAAAATAATGATTAGACATTATCAACCAAGCAGTTTTTCTTTGTGCACATAAAGCCTCAAATGGTGCATGTTTTGACTGTTAGTAGACCAGAAGAGCTTTATATAAAAGTGAATAAACATGGTGGCGAAATAACCCCTGTTGTAGCTTTTAAGTAGAAAAAGCCATAGCCAATCATAGTAAAATGGATTAATCGATTAAATAAATTATGGGGCTATACAATATTAGATGGAAAAGTAGCCTATCACTTTCTCTGGAGAATAAATCACCATAATGACACCAGTGCATTTCAGTACATTGGGATATAATCAGAAAAAAATTTGTTTACACAAAATAGTGTGAGCTTCAATGAAAGGAAAACAGTGGATTGAACACATTTTGGAGTAATTATGGATTCCGATTTTACACCAGATAAACAGATCAGCCTTGTTTAGCACCAAAGTTTCCTCAACTTATGGCAAGTAGAAAACCTTAAGCCTCTTTAATTGACGTACTAGTCAGAGAGACAAACCCATGATTTAATCTCAAATATTCTTACTTGCAAAGAGACATGAATCCATCTTACCTTCTTCATTTGCTCCTTTTTTTTGTAAGTCATTCCAGCTGGTGAGTAATACAGTTTTGAGTTCAAACACTGGTAGTGTTAAAAAAAACTCTGTGAGAGTTGTATGTCAAGCTAGGATAATGTAAACACCTCTAATTGAGTTACAGACACTCCGGCTGGAGTTGATTAGAGCATCCAGTCTTGAAGTTCACACCTTATGTAGTATAGACCAGTTAAATCTATTAATGAGCATTAAGAGGATTTGTAACTTGGAAAGAGTGAGTTTTTCATGTCAAATTTCAGTAGCCTTCCCAGTGTCTACAAACAGTTCCACATTTGCCGACTCGAATCTTGTACCATAGTGACTTCTCTCTGTGATATAGTGGCCATAATGTAGCTTAGCAATAGCATTTTTTTTTGCACATCTCTGGAGTTGCTGCTATTTTTCACATATCCATTAAAATGTCCACAGCTGTTATTGATTTTTTTATCATCCAGATAAAGAGTGTCTAACCACATTGTGTGACCACTTCTACTATAACCTTTGCTGCTGTAAACACCACAATTTTCACATTGTGGGACAATAAAAGGATTTACTACTCTATTCTATCAGTACGTGAATTAATGTGTGTAGAGCTTTGGAGTCCCTGGAATTGATATACTTAACTGAAATTGTACTTTTAACTTTTAAATAATTAATGTTAACACATTATTGGAATTGTATGATTCTTTTGTGGAGAGTCATCTTAATTTCCAATTAACACCTATGTTGAAGAGGAATAACGTTATATCAAGTTCAAAATGCACTTATGTGGTGTCATCAAACAACACTGTGAAATATTTAACACAATATTTTGAGGTTGAAATATTAACACTTTAGATTTAAAAAAGCGTTAAATTTAACACACTGAGTTGCATTAACCTTCCTGATTTTACAGTGTGTCATCATTGTTAGTTACTTCATCTGCTTCATTCCTCTTTAACACCCAGATCTACTCTGGCTTTATATTTCCTTAGATCAACTGAGCAGCTGCTTTTAGTTGTCACAAAGACTAGATGAATAGATAAGATTTATCTTTTCTGTTTCTTTTTCTAAAATACTTTTAAAACACATAACTTTTATAGCACTTTTTTTACCAGTTTGTTCTATATTATAAATGTTTTTTATTGCTGTTGGATATCTTGTCTTCATTTTCTATTTATTTATCATGCTATGTAGAGCACTTTGGCAAACCTGCCTGTTTAAATGCCTTTTATCAATTGTATTTGAATTTCAGATGTTTCAGTTATTAGTAAAACCAATTAATATGATTTTATCTAAACACATTTTATTTAATAAAACATATCAAATGGGAAGACCGCTAACTTCACAGTAATTCCAGCAGACACTTCCTGACACCATCTATACATTTAAGCTTAAAATGGTTATTGATATTTTAGAACTGAATGAAAGCAACCTGAAGGTAAAAAACTCAATTTTGTTTTTTTTGTTTGTTTTTTTTTATCTGAGACTTGGTTTTATTAAAATTAGGTGGTTTAAGGGAGCCCAGACATATTTCTTTACAGCAAGATGTCAGGATCCCTTCCCACAATGGTTATATATTCCCTCCAGCAGGTGCTCAGAAAACTTCCGAAGGCTCACAGGAGTAATCTATAAGCAAAGGTAAAATCACAGCCTCAAGAGGAGGCAATGCTGCTTAAGGGTTCGCCTCAGCTGGAATCAATGGTTTAAGTGCCAAAATAGATAAATATGTATCCAGGGCAGGAGCAAAAACTCTCCTATTTATTGTGTTTGGCCTCTCCCCTTATCTAGATACAAAAGGGAAAGGCCTGAATTTAGAAGAAAAGGACTTAAGCTCTATTGTTTTGAGTCCTCTTTTCAAACCAAAGTATATTTTGCATTTTATTCATAAATCAAACATCCCAGAGTGTGGAGGATGAGTGGAGAGGCACATAATCCACTTTGCTTAACCTTAATTGTGAGGCTTCTACCCAGTAATGATTTATATTATCTAATGATCTTTGTTTTATTTTTTCTGAGGATTTCTCTGAAAAAACAGATTGCCTCTTACATTGTAGGTCTTTTAAAATTATCTCAACACATAAAAAAAAAAGATTTTAGAAGGGATAAAAGGGCTTACATCGGACTACTGGAACTGCCGACCTTTGACTGTTACAATTATTAATAAATAAAATGTTGAAATCGATTGATGGTTAAAAACAAAAAATGTATGTAACAGTGATGCTTAACATTTTTTTTTCCCAAATCTAAGTCCCAATTCTTTAACTGATTAAACAAACAACTCATCAAATTCAAACCATATGGATCACCTCTAAACCTGAATCTCAGTAGGTAATTTGTACCATTTATTTTTAGGCCTAAATTACCACTGTAATGTTTAACATTCACTTTTTTTTTTATTTATCAACAGTTATCTTTTAACCATTTAAAACTGAATGCACCGTCCTGTTCATTTCTAGAGTATATTATTCAAAAAAATTAAGTAAAAGTTATTGTTAACCAAATAGTAATTAAAATCAGCTCTCTCGTCGCATTTTAATAAAATGTAGAGGGTTTTCTTTGCATCTAAATCCATATTCAAAGCCTTCACTGTCTGTTATACGTTACAAAGATGTTCAAATTTATGGTAAACATTGCAGCATACTGAACAACATAAAGTATAGCAAATAAAAATAATCAGTGTTAAAGTTTTGATATTTCAATTTTTTTCAGTGTCTCCTTGTAAAGTTGTAACAAGCTTAGCAGCGAGACAGTGTTGGACCTGTTTTTAAGAAATGTAATATATTCCTCTTTTTTTTTTTTATGAGATTTTACCGCACTAGTGGCTGGGACTAAGGCCTCCATACTTGGGTCTTAAGCACTAACCACTGCGCCACCAAAGCACGCCCAATATACTTTTTCAGGTGCTTATTATTAGGAAGGGTCGGCTAATAATATTAACAAAAAATAATGATCAATTAACATCGTATAATCTTAAAACTTCACTTTATACTCAAGACAACTTTTCAAAGTATAACAGCCGCAGTCTTTAGCCAACATTTTGTGCATAACCAGCTTCCTTCACTCATCACAGCAAGATGTAAAAGTTGTCACTAACGATGGAGTCTTAGACCAGCAGTCTCAGTCTCCAGTCTTTAGTGCATCACTAAATGTGAGGTCTAAAGTCTTTTATTTTTGATTGACTATGCCATGTGTTTTATCTTCAACTTAATAAGTCACATTTAGCCTAATAGCACTAGGGGTATATGGTGAACATGTGTGGATTCAAGAAAATCTGCATCAGTTTCAAATCTGAGCACCAAAGCAAAAACCACTGAAGTGTTATATTAAATTTGAAAAAGGAGGTTTAAAGTTTATGTGAACCTCCAGACTGACAATTTACTCCCACAGCGTTTTAGCCCCGAATCTATTCGTGTCAAGATGTTTACATCAAAATTTTATGATCAACAACATTGTTTGTAGAGAGTTAACTCAAACCTCTTCATGTTTATGGGAGCACGGTTTTTATCTTTTGGTCATCAAGTAGGTTTTGTGGAATTGAATCTCTGCATTTATACAGCGATTTCCAGATGGAGAGCCTGTGTACAAATGTCTTCACACTGCAGTTTTCTCTCTTGGTAATGACAGAGGCTGAAAGCAAACTAGTTATAAGGCTCTGATTTTATTAAAATTTAAAATCTAACTCTTTTACACCCTAGGAACATAATCCAGAAACTTCTCTTCTCCAGTTTGGGAAAATACATAAGCAGGACTTTACTGCAGAAAACTGTCATTTCAGCCATCAATGATATTGTTTTACGACTTAGGGTGAGCAATTATTTCAACATGTGGTTGCTTTAGGTCTCTCCTTGATGTTGAGTTTAAAGTAAGAAAAATGATCTCTGATTCCTGTAAATGTCAAAGTAAAAAGTCTCATAAACCATTAATGGTTTGCTCTGTTTAAAAGGACAGTGGGATCTTTGGAAGTGAGATTCTACGAATATCTTCCTTGCTGTAGTCAGCTTGCTTAAAATGTTCATCTTGGACAGACTCCAGCTTTGCGTACTAGGTGCTTTAAAGTAGGGCTGGGCGATATAGAAAAAAAGCTTATCGATAAAAAAAAATGCATATTGATCGATATCGATAATTATTGAAAAGATTTGAAACCATATTTTATGTGCAGCTCTGCCTGGACTTTTTATAATATTGCTAAATGATTTAATTTTAATAAAAAACACAAACACAGACTTCGAATTAAATCTTTATTTAACCAACTTTTTTAACCATAAAAGAATTGTTTTAAAGATAAATAACTTAAGAGACCTGAGTTATGTTATTAAATACTGACAAAGAATAAACTAAAGTGACCAGAAAGGTGACCAAAATAAATATAACAAATAAATAAATGCCCCCCCACCGCCGCCCCCGTTTCCTGCTTTAACCTGAGTTATTACTTCAAAGTTTCTGGCCCCTCAGCATTTTTCTCTCAATTGTTAGAAGTACGTGGGAAACTGCCCAGAAAATATATATATATTTTTCCCGAAGATTCCTCGGAGGAGAGCCGTGTCGGGGCCTACACAGCTCGTACTCCTGCGGCTGTGAGCGGCTGAGATGATAAAAAAAAAGTTGGTTGCGTTATCAGACTGGTTTTCACTGGTTCCCGACACATTTTCTAGATGACTGTGGTTTGTTTTTGGTCCGACTTGCCATGACCGAAATACTGCCAGACTGCCGAACTACAAAAACCTTTCTTTGAAACAATTTCCTCCACCTCTCCTTGCTGCACAGCTTCAAGTGCTCTGTGTTGTGGTTTGAGAGGGCGGCGCTTGGTGACGGCGTGCCTGGGTCCGCGATTGTGATTGGTTGGGAGGAAGCAGTGACTAGCATAAACCTACATGCTAGGCTACAATGAGAAGGAAGGAAAACTGCATTTCTTTTTTATCGAACTTTTATCGACCCTCTTTTTTTCTATTGCGCCACACGTCTATCGATCGATATATATCGTTATTGAATTATCGCCCAGCACTACTTTAAAGCCTAACCTCAGACACTTTCTTATTGCTTTCACAAGATGTGTGCAAAAACTGAAGAACAGCATCAGGTAATGTAATCACAGAGCCAAATAGGCAGGTAACTGTCATGTGGAGCTTTATCACAACTAAAGGAGCTGCAGTCACTCACCATTGCTACGATACCATTATTATAATAGAAGTATGTTTTGTCCTACAGACTCAAAGCTCTCCAAGCTTACCTGCTGTTGCTACCATCCATCCTACCCCACACAGATATCAGGTCTGATCAGGGTTGTTTCCTGAAAATCTTCATATTTCCTTAGATAAAATAAAGGTCTCTTCAACTACACCATCAGTTTTACTGTTGCTCTGATGAAATATTATTTTCCTTAGCTTATCAGAGCATTAACAAATGGAGGTGAGTGTGGTTTGAGCATGTCAGACATTTTGCATCTAAACTGAAGCCTGAAATAAACATGTCCTCTTCGAGTATCCTAGCAGCCAGCCTTTATGTGTATTTTGTGTGTGAGCTTGCTCCTAGCCTGGAGTCCGATTTACAAGCAAGTACAGCAGTGTTTCCCAACCTTTTTTGACTTGTGTACTCCTTCAGACATTTAGCCTTACCATGAGTACCCCTCTCAGTCAAAAGTACTGATGATTGTCCAAAAGTGGGACGTACAATTACTGAGATGAAAACTATTTCAAGACTGATCTCTGTGAGAAGTAGAATGGAGAGATATAGAAGATTTTGTCCCAACAGCCATTAGACTGTTTACTGTCTCTTGAAGGTTTTTATTATTATTATTTGATCACATTTTGAGTTTTTTATCCTATTTAATATGATTTTATCTTTGCTATTGGGCAGGCAAATCTATCTATCTATCCATCCATCCATCCATCCATCCATCCATCCATCCATCCATCCATCCATCCATCCATCCATCCATCCATCCATCCATCCATCCATCCATCCATCCATCCATCCAAAATTTGAGCACTTAATTTTTATAATTTTATGTTTTCCATCTCAAATAAAAAAACATAAATTTCTTGCCTGAAAGTTAGTAAGGAATCAAAATAAAATCATATTATAAATCTGTATTTATAAAACCAGACCTCCTCTGAGTAACTGCCTGATAATCACATTTAAACTTGATGAATTGGAAACAAAATGTAGAAAAAAAATTATAGTCAGACTAACTTAATTAATTTTACTTTGTTTTCATCAAGACACCTGAGCTGTTTTGATGAGCTCTGATAGCTCAGTGTGAAAAACAGCACATAACAGGCTGTTCTCTACATCCAGTCTGTTCCTGTGCTTGGTTTGGATGTGGGTCACAGCTCAAGATTATAAACATATAAGAAAAACTTAGTTTTTGGTTGATAAAAGCTTGTTTAATTTTTCAGAAAGCAAAACAGATCCCAGCCCTATGTTGTTTTACTATCTAAGAATTTAAATATTTTCATGTACCCCTTTGTTGTTTTTGCTTTGTGTCAGAGAAATCCTGGGTTATTTGTTTCAGTTACTTGGAGACAATAATTTTGTTACAACCAGAGGAGCAGCAGGATGAGGTCATTAGCAGCAACTGATAACTTGGAGTGTTGTAGATCTGACACTGGAGGGCTTGGATGTAGTCTTTACATGCGCCCAGGATAGTCAACATGGCTACCAATTTAATGAAGACCAAAGCATACAGGTGCATGCTTCCTAAATGGTACTAAGCAGCAATTACTGCTAAGCACAGTGGAAGAAGTTCCCTTTGAATGAACTTCTTGAGTGAACATCTTTTTTTCCCAATACATATTTCAGCTCATTACAATGGATCATAACCCTGGGTTTTGTTGTTTTAGAACAATAAATGTTCTCTTTGTACTGCAAATATTCTATAGCTTAAGCCTCTATCCTCACTAACACCAGGTGGAGAGTTAAGAGAATTACAGGATCCATTAAGCCACAAACATGAACCCCTGCATGGTGCTTTAGTAGGTTTATCATAAAATAACAAAAATGTTATGTATCTTTATGTAACTTCAGGACACCAACAGTTCTGCATAGTTGAAACCTACTTGTTCCTCTGCATCGAAGTCTGCGTTGTACTGGCCCATTTCCTCAGGCGGCCTCTTCTGGACCAGACTGCGACACAGCAGCCAGATGGCCAGGCCGACCATGAACATGCCGATGTCAGGGATAAACACTCGGATGCCGTTCCCTGCATCTGCGCCAATAACACTAGGACACAGAGGAAATAAAGGAAACTCGCTAAGAAAAGGCAGATGCATGTTTCTTGAAAGAAGTGATGACATTGTATTCCAGGATAAAACCACCATAACAACCACAAACTTCCATTTATAAAATAGACCAAAATAACACAGTACTGTAGGTCATTGTAAAGTGGATGGAAAGTTATATGTTCTAGCTGTATCTTTAAAAAAATACAAATGTAAAGTGTTCATAATATAGTGACTATCGAACACCTTTTAATCCTTCTGGGTGCTGGGAATCTTAGTATTAACGCGCTTAAAAAATGATGTCCAGCCTGGGAGATAAGTTATGGGACAACACAGCGCAATTCAACAAACATCAATTCAGGGGCCCCAAAAATGTGTAGAACCAAGCGGTGAGTTGCTGAGATGTTTCCCTTAGTTCCTGAGCTTTCTCCTGAAGGCTGAGTGAGTGTTTCTCTGTTAACTCTTCCTCCTGCAGGGCAGGTTTCTCTTGCCAGCGATGCCGCAGTGCAGTTTCTCTAGCTCTTCTTAGTGGTTTGCCTGGACCTCTGATACAGCATTGATGAGGCCTTGCGAACTCTTCTGAGTTCAAAAAGGAGGTGGAGCTTCAGTAGAAGTTTTTTGCAACTTCTTTGCAAGTTCCTGCTTCATATTTTCTTCATTTTGTTATAGCTTTTTGTTAAAGCGATTTTCAACTGATCCTTCAGATCTGCCAAACTCTTCTGACACTGATCCTCTTAGGCCTTATTTAACTGAGCATGAGCTTCCTTCAAGCTTGTGTTTTCTTGTTGAGTTTGCAATAAACTCTGCTGCAGGTCTTTAATCTCCCTAATCTTTACTCCTAGATTTTGTGCTGTGGAATATTCTTTCTTATGCACGGTTTGCTCTCTAAGAAGTTCTTCAAATGTATTATGCTACGTTCAGACCGGACGCAGCAAAAGCAGCAAAATCGCGTCTGCTGCTTCATTTTTGCTGCTTGTACCAGTGAGTTCTGACGCGCGGCTGAAGCAGCTTTGCTGCTCTGGCTGCGCGGTGCAAAAGTGGCTCTGACGCGCGTTGGGCGGAGCTTCACTATCCTTTCTCTGCCTTGCAGCTATATTTGCTGTGATCAGTGGGAATAAAGTAGTTTTAATATGTTTTTAAGTGAGAAAATCCACCTGAAAACTTAATCAGTGCCGTCAGTTCATCCAGATTACAATCCTGTCTCCCAATGTTATTTCTGTCGGAGCCGCTCAGACCCCCACATACCGACGGTGCGCCGACAGAAGGAATCCCTTCAACAGTAGCCTCTGGACGGGTCGCCTCCTCGTGGTTTACCACGGCGGCTGGTAGGTGTTTTTCATCTAAATAATCCGATCTGCAGGCACCAGAATAATAAAAGCCAACATATTCTGCCGGCAGATGTATATATTTTAAGTTAATTATGCGTTAATAAACTGTTTAAGAGGAGTAATCAGAGCGGTCTGTGTCATCAGCGCTGTGTCTCTCTCCCAGCCAGCTCCCAGATCAGCTTCTCTGATTGGTTGACGCGGCGCGTCGAGCAGCAAGAATTCAATTTTTCCATCTCGAGCAGCAACGCGTTTGCGGCGCGTCACGTGCGTCAGATGCCAAAACGCGCCCGACACGCTGCTTCAGCTGCTCAGACGCGCTGCGCCTGCTGCTCAAAACGCGCCGCGGGACCTTTTGCTGCGCCTTGACGCGCGTCAACCATTGACTTTGCATGTAAACTCGCTGCTTCTGTCGCGCCAGCTGCCCCCGGTGTGAACGCAGCATTATAGCTTCTGCTTAAAAGTTTTTTCTACCTTTTCGATAAAAATGCTGATGTTTGGTGGGGGTGCATCTAGGCATAATCGGAGACAATGACACACGAAGTGTGCTCCTGATGTCCAGTCTCCTCCGTAGCTTTGTTTTGGTCGCTGTAACCGCAGAAAATCCCGCTTCACAAAGATAGGATGTTATAGACAGGATGAGTCTTGAACTGAATCAACCTGTGTCAAGAGGCACAGATGCACCGACTGATGTAATTGGGAGACAATACCGCAATTTTTTTATATTTTAAAAAATAAAACATCACTCAGACTCGGATTATATATATATATATATATATATATATATATATATATATATATATATATATATATTAGTGCTGTCAAAATTATCGCGTTATTAACGCGTTAACGCGAGGCCATTTTAACGGCGATAATTTTTTTAACGTGAGATTAACGCTATGTGGTTTTATGGTACAATTTTTCCAAGTACATCCCGCTGCAGCCTGCGGGAAGGCGGGGCTATTTTCCCCCAGTCTATGCATTTCTCATAGGCTTCTAGAGCGGAGCTCCTCAAGGGAAAAAGACGCTCATACACTGGGTGACGCTAGTGCCTTTTCTTTAAGCCCCACCACCAACAAACAAGTTGAGTGTCTGGTAACTAGTAGCAACCTGAAATACGCTGAGAAAACTGATTACTGAGGTGAAATGGAATCTCGTAGCAGCCCTCTTGCCGTCTGTGTACGCAACAGGTCAGTATCGCGTGTGTGTGTGTGTGGGTGGGTGTGTCTGTGTGTGGGTGAGTGGGTGTGTGTGTGTTCTCATTTTTGTTAAGAGGCTGAAAAGTAACTTTCTAGAGCATAGACTACCTTCATCTAGTAATGTCGGTCTATTGATTTTGATGTATTGATTGAAAATTGTTCATTATTACCTTGGTTAATTAACATCTAATGTTAACTCTACTGCATTTTATAGCGGTAGGGTAAAATGCTTGTCTTTGTTCAAAAGACTGTATTAACTGTAAAGACTGTCTTTTACATCAGCCTGTTTTCAGGGCCTTTTTTTTGCCTACATATTTGTTATTTTTTGCTACATGCCTCCCCATCTTCTTGCCATATGTTTCTATGGCATAAATCAGTATCTGTGACCTGTTTTCATTTTAAAAAAAGAACATTGGCACAAACCTAGCCTGTATGTATTTTTTTGTATGTCATCGAGAGTATTTAAATGATTTTCAATCAGGAAAAAAATGTGCGATTAAAATGCGATTAATCGCGAGTTAACTCAGGCATTGATGCGATTAATCGCGATTAAAAAATTTAATCGATTGACAGCACTAATATATATATATATATATATATATATATATATATATATATTAGTGCTGTCAAAATTATCGCGTTATTAACGCGTTAACGCAAGGCCATTTTAACGGCGATAATTTTTTTAACGTGAGATTAACGCTATGTGGTTTTATGGTACAATTTTCCAAGTACATCCCGCTGCAGCCTGCGGGAAGGCGGGGCTATTTTCCCCCAGTGTATGCATTTCTCATAGGCTTCGAGAGCGGAGCTCCTCAAGGAAAAAAGACGCTCATACACTGGGTAGCGCTAGTGCCTTTTCTTTAAGCCCCAACACCAACAAACAAGTTGAGTGTCTGGTAACTAGTAGCAACCTGAAATACGCTGAGAAAACTGATTACTGAGGTGAAATGGAATCTGCTACGGCACTCTTGCTGTCTGTGTACGCCACAGGTCAGTATCGTGTGTGTGTTTGTGTGTGTGGGTGGGTGTGTCTGTGTGTGGGTGAGTGGGTGTGTGTGTTCTTATTTTTGTTAAGAGGCTGAAAAGTAACTTTCTAGAGTATAGACTACCTCCATCTAGTGATGTCGGTCTATTGATTTTGATGTATTGATTGAAAATTGTTCATTATTATCTTGGTTAATTAACATCTAATGTTAACTGTACTACATTTTATAGCAGTAGGGTAAAATGCTTGTCTTTGTTCAAAAGACTGTATTAACTGTAAAGACTGTCTTTTACATCAGCCTGTTTTCAGGGCCTTTTTTTTGGCTACATATTTGTTATTTTTTGCTACATGCCTCCCCATCTTCTTGCCATATGTTTCTATGGCATAAATCAGTATCTGTGACCTGTTTTCATTTAAAAAAAAGAACATTGGCACAAACCTAGCCTGTATGTATTTTTTTGTATGTCATCGAGAGTATTTAAATGATTTTCAATCAGGAAAAGAATGTGCGATTAAAATGCGATTAATCGCGAGTTAACTCAGGCATTGATGCGATTAATCGCGATTAAAAAATTTAATCGATTGACAGCACTAATATATATATATATATACACTTCTGTGCGGCCCTCTACCAAATAGGGATGGGCGATATGTTATCGTGTGCGATATATCGTCAAAGAAATTCCTCATTGTAACAATTTGTCATCTCGCGATAAAAACGATTAACTCCCACCGGTGACGTATACTGTACTGCGCGTGGCACACCTGCAGTCCAACTCACGTGCGAGCCATTTGCAAACAACAAGCATGGCGGAAGGTGGAGGAGACGTGCCCCAAGACCTGGTTCCTAAAAGAGGCTCCAGCTCCGTTATCTGGAACTGGTTTGGATTTAAAAAGTCTGATACGGAGCAGAAAGTCGTAATATGCAAAGTTTGCAGACAACCTGTGACGACAAAGGACAGCAACACTACCAATTTATTTCACCACCTCAAACACAAACCGGAATATGATGCTAGTCAGAAGATGCGCTGCGATGCAGAAGCCTCGACTTCAAAAACCTCTTTTCGCTTCACTCTGTGTACTCCGACGTCGAGAATCAAGAATCCACCTTTCGTATTCCATTTTCAGAGTTTTTTAAAGTGTTTAACAGAGACGTTAGCACCTCGCCGTCGGAGTACACAGAGTGAAGCGAAAAGACTACAACTGTGTAAACAGGCCCCATTTCCGTTTCCGGTGGCAGCGGAATATTGACTATTCCTACAGAACTCAATGGGATTTACAAAATGCTAAATAAAACACTACAGGAACGTTTTTTCTTTACGAAACTTTTTTTGGAACGTCATTGAACAGCGCTGACGACCCGGTGAGTAGCATATTTTAAAAAAAGAACGTTTAAGGTTGTTTTAAGGAGATTATCGGACATGCTCTATGGAAGCCATTCTAAAGCAGCCAGGGGTTGATTCTAAATGAGCCAAAAAGCAGAGACAGGAGCAATTGTCAAACTTTTGGTGTCGATCATTCGATTTCATCCTGGACACTACAGAAAATGGGCTTAAAGTGTAAAAAACCGAACTTCTCCTTTAAGGTTAAGAGGCTGAGCTCATAGATGATGATAAATAACATAGTTATGTATAATATATTACATTTCTGACTGTATATCCCTGTAATTATTACACACTGTAGCTTTAAATAAATGTGACATTTGTTCTCATATTTCAGGCTTGTTTGATTGGTTTGATACATTAGGCTGATATTGTGTTTTTGTTTTGTTTTTTATCATCACTTATCGTTATCGTAGTAAAACCTAGAAATTATCGTGATAAATTTTTTTGTCCATATCGCCCATCCCTAGTACCAAATGACCGACGGACCGGTACCGGTCCGCGGCCCGGTGGTTGAGGACCGCTGGTTTAAAGGATCCGGAAGAAGCAGTTTCCTGAAAAATTGTGGTGCATTCATGAAATCTACCCTTTATTGGAAAACTGGCCAAAGCAACCTAATAAGTCCAGTTTAAATTGTTCCTAGCAAGGGGTCAGAATAAACATAAAATGTTTGTTTTTTCATATGAAAAAAACACTCACTGTGGCAGAAAGCATTGTCTGGAACAAAATTTATATGAAGCGTAAACAGAGTTAACAGAAAAGATGGAGGTGGAGGACGGGGCAGTCTTTGAAAGAAGAATGTTAGATGCTGCAACAAACTGCAACAAAGCCCCACCTTAACTGAACCCTAAAAACAGATAGCTCACACAGGCTGTTCTCTCATGGGAACAAATATGAAAGTAGCAATTATATCACTCAGAAAACACCACAGAATACACGGGAATCTGGAGTTTTCCGCTACTTAATTGTTCTTTCAATGTGTGCTGTGCTGAGTGCTTTACATTTTATATGGAGTACCACCCTGTGTAATAAAGTTGGGCTTGCTGCTTTTAAACTTATTGCTGTTGACTGAAATTCCATAAAACAAAAACAACTCATGAGAAAGTTTATTTGGTTGTTTTTTTCAAATCAACTTAGATCAAAAATATTTTTTACTAACTAAAGAAATATATATCACAGGTTAGCTCCAATGGCCAGAAACTCATTGGGCTTTTGATTCAATAAAAAAAAGATAACTTTTAAGATTTTTGTCAGCATTGTTGTTAGATTTATCTCCTCCTTCCTAACTAAACATCAAGAGAATTATTCAGACGAGAGGCCAAACACTATCTGCACAATGTTGCCATGACAGCTACCATAATATCAGATTCATATTATCCACTGTGATGTTTTTATACTGCCTGAGGACACATTTTACAAGGTGTCATGATTGCATGGGCAATTACAGCAAATAAAAACTGTCCTTGAAATGGCTTACAGGTTTCCGAACCTTTAGAACGCTCTCTTTTTAATCAGCCAAACTAATTTCTATTTCAGTTTTATTGCAATCAAATTGCATCCTGTGTTTGGCCACCAAAGTGTTTTTCTTTACATTTCACGCTGAGCTCCAAGTGTAATTAAACAGTTCCCAATAAAATATACTGGTAACTCTGGAGCAGCAGAGAGGATTTGGCTGCAGTTATAAAGCAACTGGTCATTTCAAACAAAACCAATCTCACGCTGGCCTAGAGTGGAAATAAGGATTGTTAAAGTTGAAAACAGAGTGCTAATCGTCATGATGGAAAATGCACACTCGGAACAAAAAACTGTTTGGGCATTTGGCTGCTGTTGGAGATTTTAATCTAATCAAGGACGACTGTTTCCATGCGTTTTATTGTTGAGAAGCTTAGCACATCCTCACACGGATGAAAGAGATGGAAACCATCAGAGCCGCACAACACTGAGGCGGCAACTTTAATGACTCCTACTTTCCTCCGCTTATTATGTGTGGGAACTAGAAAACATCAGCAGAGCCTCAGGCTGCAGACAGATTCATAGAAAAACTGCCAGTTATGACAGTTCAATGTATTTTGCAACTCTGATAAGTAGTTGACACTGAAAACAGCTTGAACAAAGTAATTTGTTTTAACATTAAAGAAAATATTGTAGGGAAAAAAATATTGTTATAACACACTGAGCTTTTAATTTACATACCTGATCATTTAAAGTAGCAGAGAGAACCCATAAATTATGTGAAATAAAAAAATTGAAATAAATTCAACTTTATTGATCTCACAATGGAGAAATTAACTTCCTGCATTTAACCCATGCCCAGAGAGCAATCAGGGGTTAAGTGTCTTTGCTCAGAGACCCAAGAGTGGCAGTCTGTGGGAGTGCAAGCCCAAGGCCTAACCACTAGACCGCCACTCCCACTCTTTAAGCATGTTAAGCTCACACTAAAACTTTGATGTAAACTAGAAAAGACATTATTTCCATCATGTAGGATCGATTTCTTCTAAAATTGATATAGATTCAATTCTAATAGCGAAGAGACCTGTGTATCTGACAAATAACATCCAAACATCAAAAACACTAATACAACTACTGCTACAATTATACACAGGTGATGAATGGACAGTTTTGTGTAGGATGTAAATGCAGAGTTGAGAATAGCCCTTAAAGGAGAAGTTCGGTTTTTTACACTTTAAGCCCATTTTCTGTAGTGTCCAGGATGAAATCGAATGATGGACACCAAAAGTTTGACAATTGCTCCTGTCTCTGCTTTTTGGCTCATTTAGAATCACCCCCTGGCTGCTTTAGAATGGCTAGCATAGAGCATGTCCGATAATGTCCTTAAAACAACCTTAAACGTTCTTTTTTTAAAATATGCTACTCACCGAGTCGTCAGCGCTGTTCAATGACGTTCCAAAAAAAGTTTCGTAAAGAAAAAACGTTCCTGTAGTGTTTTATTTAGCATTTTGTAAATCCCATTGAGTTCTGTAGGAATAGTCAATATTCCGCTGCCACCGGAAACGGAAATGGGGCCTGTTTACACAGTTGTAGTCTTTTCGCTTCACTCTGTGTACTCCGACGTCGAGGTGCTAACCTCTCTGTTAAACACTTTAAAAAACTCTGAAAATGGAATACGAAAGGTGGATTCTTGATTCTCGACGTGCTAATGCAGACGCAAACAAAAGCCTTAAACTACAGACCCTTCAGTTCAGTGTTAGGGGTTAACTGGGCTTTAAATTTATTAGGAATCCACAAAGGAACAGGTTAGGAGGTAGTGAGAAGATAAGCCATTGTGGCTACGTGCAAAAAGGGGTGGTTAATGTTATTGGGAGGCAGCTATGTTTACAATACCTTGTGTAGCCTTTTTAAAAAGATGGCAGCTGTATAGTTTATGTTAACTTGGATTATTAAGTGTGTTCTCAATAAAAATAAATTCAATCCACAGTTCAGCTTGTAAAGTCTACTTTCTGGCTGAATTTAGCCAAAACGATACATAGAAATCCTTAGCTTTATAGGAGGTGCACCCTCGCAATTATTGCCTGTTCACAAGTAACTTATGTAAGGATATTGGGAAAAAAGCAGCATTTTCATGTAGCTTAATTTGAAGTAAGTATTACCAGACTGCTATGAAAATCACTTGTTTTGGATCATTAAATGAAAAAAATATGTGTGCCTTTTATAAGAACATAGGACATAAAATCCCTAAGAAGCAGCCCATAGATAACCAAAGCCTGTACATTTAGAAGGGTTTGTTTACATGCTCAGATTTTACTACCATTTGCAACCTCACATTAAAAATATCAAATAATGCAAAATATCTACATCCAAAATAACAAAGTATGCTCTCAAATATTAGAAGAAGAAGAAAAAAAGCATTCACACAATCTTAGCAGACTTTTGCGTAAAATATTTTATCTTTTTTCCATCTCATCTTGTGTAAGCTTGTAAGCTTTCATTTGACTATTTGCTTTGCTGCTAACACACCTGGATTTTCCCTCCATGGGACAATAAATTACATTTCTATCTTATTTTTGTGGTGTTAAATGTTAATGTCTTACCTTTCAAAGCCAATCTGTCGTATGGATCTCTCCCATGAAGAACCTATGACAAATAATAAGAAATGATTCAATGTAAATATATCAGTTCCAATGAAAAAGACAATTGCAACAACAGTTATTTTACAGACGGTACAAGTGACAAATTAATTTTCAAAAAAAAAAATGCATTAAAATCAGCATTCAGAGTGCAAAACAGTGGGCCTTCTCTGAACATGTAACACATCGAACCTTGAAGGAGCCATGTGGTCTTTGACCCTTGGTACAAAAACTACTTGAACACTGTTACTGCCCATAGCTATAACAAGTAAATTTGATATACTTTGTGAAACATTACAGTTGGTTGAATCTACTCCAGTTGCCTCAACGATCACCACAGCACAATCCACCAAACACCTTTAGATGTGCTGAAACAAGAGAGTTGAATCATAGGTGTGCAGCCAATAAATTTTCAGTAACTGTGATTTCAGGATATGATACAAATGTCTAAAGAATGTTTCAGATACCTCACTGTTTCTATGCAGCAAATAATTAAGGGAGTTCTGACACAATAAAGGGCCTTTATGCAGCATTAATGCTCAACACTTCTTTAAGAATCCAGGGTGTTCAATTTATTGCTGATTTTAATATTTTTGGTGCTTCTTTTCACAGGCATAGGAAAAATAATGCATTGTTGGTTCAGTGGATGAATTATTAGGTGCTTAACTTTACTGAAGTGAGGTTTTGGGTTTACAATGTGTAGAGAGGACAATTCAGGTGTTAAATAGTCTTAGAAAGATATTACAGACAAAGCACTTCATCTCACTGAGTTTATCTGCTGTTTTACAGGAGTGGAAGCTACTGCTACTTTTTTAGGGGCCGATTGTAAAGTTAACAACTGTAAAAGAAGTCCACTTTCAGAGGGGACAGAAAAAGTTCATCATGGATCGCTCGATAGCTTCAAAGAATTGAAACAATACAGATAACAGCTTAGTTTGCAAGTTCCTGATGGACAGAGCAGAAGGACAAAACTAAGGTTTAACCACAAAAACAAAAAAGACACATATTAATGCGCTTTTCTCCAATCAGAACACACAGCTGCACAGCTTTATTGCAATGCAGTACTGTTTAGGATGTCGTAAAGTATTTAAATGGAAAGATACTGAATAACAATGCATTGCTTTAATGTACCATACTGAAAGTCTATACAATCTTTAAATAGAGTATGTTACCTGACATTATGCATGACAAACCCTGCTCAGACTAAGGCTCTGCAAACTGATAAGAAAACACTAGACAGGCAGTTTTATTGTCAAATACACCTAATTTCCCTCCTCAGCTGTTTGGAAATAGAAAGTAATACCTGTGTCAGAATCACAATAGTTCCTCGATCCAAAATCACATAAACACTGATGTCAAAGCAAAGAAGAATAAGTGTTCATTGTCAGTTTTCTGCCAGATTTAGAAGCTAAAGTCAGGGATTATGGATTATTTTTTACTAGTCGGACGCAATTCAATATTTAATTGAGTTAATTAGATGGTAATTAATTAATCGCAAATAATTACATTACAATCAAAAACCATATATTGACAAAATAAACTAGCTTTTCAATTAAAAAATCACTTTTCTCCTCAATTATTGAATGAATAATTATAAACATACAACAACATGTATGCATTTGGTTGTTTAATCAAACTTTTTTCTTTAAGAAACCCCAGATATTTTTTGGAGACTCTTTGAATTTTTTTTAATAAAAACACTATTTAGAAATATGAGCTGTTCATGAACATTAATCATAGCCCTATACCATTATAACAACAAGGCCTGCCATCTTACCTGTAAAGAGAAGATAAGGTTCCATTTCTAATACTGACAGACCAATTCAGTTCAGCTTTGTATAGAGCATTGCCTTTAGGAGCTAAACAATTACTATTCAATGACGAGCATTTAGTGCAGTTGAAACAATTACCACTGAGGCTTCTCGTTTTTAAGTTTGAATATCCCTGGTGGGCAAACGCCTGTGATGCAGCTTATGTGTCGTATTTAACAGTGTACAAGAAACCAGTTGTTTTCCCGCTTGGGACTAAAATGCAATTCATTTCGTTAATTTTTTTAACATGTTAAAATAATTCTAGTTAATCACTTAAAAGGAATGCTTAAAATACCAGCAGCCCTAGTTTTTCATATATGGTACAAACAATGATACATGCAGATTGAAAGGAAGTAGTATGTTAAATTTTGCCATGCCTAATTCAGATCATTTTAATAATATTAACTGTACAAATACACAAAAACGTTATGACATATGTATCATTTCATTGGCCTATTTTGCATACCTTCTTACAATAACATCAATGTGTATTTATAAAAGTTTCTGTAGGCAAAGATCTTAAATTCTAGCATTTTATTAATATTGTATGTGCCAAGTCTTTTTATATGAATTCCATTTTTCCATTTTTGGAACATCAATGTTAAGTAATTGAAAACATGGGTGAAATCTACAGTGTTTGGTGTTATTGTAAAAGAAAGCCTTTATCATACTTTCCTTTCATTTCATTTTAGCTTTGTTTATAGGATCTTAGAGTATTTTAGCTATTCTTATGTTACCTATTTACCCTATTTTTAAATACGGAAATAAATGTGTCAAAATGTTTTCATCAGTAGCTCTATAAAGATATATAAAGATATAGGCGACTCGCCTATATCTTTTTCTAATGAAAGAATAATGATTTTACATATTTTGTATGCATTTCTTTTGGGGTGGGATGGGGATTCACAAACCATTTAGGATTCAGTGGCCATAAATCAACAAACTCTGATAAAATATATAACAATCAGGCAACTTGAGTGGCTAAAAACAACCAACAGCATTTCCCACATGTCAGCACTATAATGCACAGTTCCCACACTGCTAGAGGAAGAGAACATATTCTATGCATCATAACATTGTGAAATTTCTTTGGCTTTATTTGACTCCTATTCTAAAAATAAAGCACATCATTAATAAGGGTGATATACAGGTTTTGTGATAGATGCATACTTATTCAGTATTAGAACAACATGTGTTTGTTGACATGACTCAATTCATAGTACTGGCGCCTTGGTGGGCACCTCACTAGCTATAACTGTTAACTAGGGATGGATGATTAGTAATCAAGACCAGATGCAACACTGGAGTAGAAACAAGGTTGGCAGACACAACATGCAAACAGACAGAAGTAACACATGAATAAAATCAACCTCAGATTATAAAACAACTATGGCTGAAACAATTAATCGGATTTATTGTTGTTAATCAATAATTTAAAAAAATCGTTCAGTAATTTACTTCAAGATGAAAATTTTTTGTTTCACCTGGTTTAATTTCTTTAAAAGTCTTCTTTAAGAACCTTTGACTCTGCAATTATTAATTGATTAATTGTAAAAATAATCAACAGATTAATCGATTTGCAAAATAATCGATTGTTGCAGCTCTAAAAACAACCAAAAAGCCATAGAAATACACACAAAAAAACTAAAACGGAGCAAAAATACAAATGAATAAATCCAAAAACAGTTCCATTGTGAAAAAAAAAAAAAAAAAAAAAAAAAAGATCATAGGAGGCGTTCTTAAGCAAAACTGAACATCCAAACTGCTCTGGGTGCTTTAACTATAGCTGCCCACTGCTGTTGGTTTGTCATTCTCCTAAACATGTATACAATATTCCTCAATGCTGTTTGCACAAATTCAGTAGGGTCAAATGCAAAGCTCAAACTCCTGTAACTTTCAACTTTTACATATTGCAGATGTTTAGTTTATGAATTTTATGCTTTGCTAAAGTTGGGAGTTTTTAGTCTATTTAGTTTTGTTTTTTTCCAAAGATTGGTCACAATCTGAAGAAATTGGGACTTCGGTTGCTCAAGGGGGACTAGAGCGGTCAGTGGGTGGGCGACAAATGGCTTGTTGTGAAATTTAAAAGGGCAGAAACATCTGTGAAGGGAGGAGGCTTCATGACTCATCCCTGACATCAAGCACTTCACCCAGAGTCAAGCTGAGCTAAGAGTTATCTGTCCACCTCCACACAAGTACTCCCATTGATAAAAGCTTAGTGAAGGAAGACATATGGACTTATCACTAATGACCAGCACTAAAAATTAAATCAAGCTTTTTGTACATACTTCTGGCACCTTTAGCAAAAGTAAGAAGTCCACTTTCAGAGGGAACAGAAAAAGTTCATCATGGATCGCTCGATAGCTTCAAAGAATTGAAACAATACAGATAACAGCTTAGTTTGCAAGTTCCTGATGGACAGAGCAGAAGGACAAAACTAAAGTTTAACCACAAAAACAAAAAAGACACATATTAAAGTGCTTTTCTCCAATCAGAACACACAGCTGCACAGCTTTATTGCAATGCAGTACTGTTTAGGATGTCATAAAGTATTTAAATGGAAAGATACTGAATTACAATGCATTGCTTTAATGTACCATACTGAAAGTCTATACAAACTTTAACTAGAGTATGTTACCTGACATTATGCATGACAAACCCTGCTCAGACTAAGGCTCTGCAAACTGATAAGAAAACACTAGACAGGCAGTTTTATTGTCAAATACACCTAATTTCCCTCCTCAGCTGTTTGGAAATAGAAAGTAATACCTGTGTCAGAATCACAATAGTTCCTCGATCCAAAATCACATAAACACTGATGTCAAAGCAAAGAAGAATACGTGTTCATTGTCAGTTTTCTGCCAGATTTAGAAAGCTAGAGTCAGGGATTATGGATTATTTTTTACTAGTCGGACGCAATTCAATATTTAATTGAGTTAATTAGTTGGTAATTAATTAATCACAAATAATTACATTACAATCAAAAACCACATATTGACAAAATAAACTAGCTTCTCAATTCAAAAACCACTTTTCTCCTCAATTATTGAATGAATAATTATAAACATACAACAACATGTATGCATTTGGTTGTTTAATCAAACTGTTTAAGTTATTCAACCATCAGAATGGTTGAAAGTTATAATATTTTAGCTTTTTAACTTTTTTCTTTAAGAAACCCCAGATATTTTTTGGA